GGATGATTCACACATGTAGATTTCCTCGTAACATGTAGAGGACATGGCAGTTACAGCCCTGTCTCCCTTTTAAAATAGCCCCATACAGTCATTTATTTATTATGTCCTGACAAGTGGCCCTTTATACTGGAACACCCATTACTCTGGCTGGGAACCATACATGCGGCATTTTTCCCATAGCGCGTACTGGCTGCTGCCCTGCCTGAGCATTTTTACTCAAGGTGAAGGCTTCAAGTTACAGAGCATTCAGGCAGGTTTCACAAACCAGCCACTGTACTGTTTCTGCCTCCTTCCTGTTACTGACATAGAAATGTGAGTCATGTGGTACCCAACAGACAGCATGTTTTGCCATCTGGAAGGCGATGGTGGAAATCAGTGCCGTTTGGAATTTGTGTTTAGATCTGGTCCAGAAGACTTTCCTTACGTTTTATTTTTCTTTGTTGTGAGAGTGTTAGCATGCACACCTAGATGAGGAAACTCCTTCATGAATATGTTTTCTATGTGCTGTTACACCTACGTGCATTCTACTGAGGGTGTGCCCACTTGAACATAAAGTCGATTTTGTGTGGCAGTGGATGGGATGTTATGAGGGGAGCTGAATTCAAAATGCCCGCCCATCTCTCCTTTAGGTTTGATTTGGCAGGAATTTGTTTATGTGTGTGTGTGTGTGTAAATCTTCCCGCCCTCTTTCCTGCATATTTGCCATGTTGTTGAAACCAGGTCCATTAACCTGACTATTCCTGTTTTCAGAGTGACCTCAATGTTTGAGTATTTGTTCCTGTACTGAGCAGGTTACACAGAGCATCTTTTTCTTGCTACAGAAAGACATCTTGTCCTTTGCCTGATGATTCAATGGAAAACACACAACAGCCAGGCCAACATATTTGCTTGCAAAACTACAAATCACCACCTGCCTCCTAACTAATGGGATAGCTCATGCCCTTGTGTTGCTTTGGCTAGAGTGCCATCTGTATTTAGAGTACATTTTTTAACATACAAGAAATCAGTAAGTTTGAGTTGATGTGTTGATTGGCTCCCCTGGGTGCTTGTCCAATGGGTGTGGACTAGAGCTAAGTGTTCATTTACACTCAGGTAAAATAAAAACAGGCTGATCACGCCTCTGGCTATCTTCAAGTTCCATCTTAGTCAAAGTTTGCAAAGATGTTTGCAGTGATGTATAAATATATCCAGACATTAAAACTCCTAATTAGTGCAGTAATATTTCCATGCTTCAGAACAAATTTAGGATTCAGTGTTGCATGTTTACTGTTTGTTCTTACCAACGTGTCTTGACATGTTTGTCCTGTATCTAAGTGGTTGTTTCTGGTTGTTTGTCATAAAATCTACCAGTGTGAGTTACATTAAGCACAGCTGTGAGCTAATTACAGATGAGATGAGCATGTCAGTGAAAGCTAAGCCCCACTTTGATATAATAACACACCTCATGTACACACAGCACCGATAAGTCAACCAGGTCATGATGATTTTATAGATGTGCTCAAAGGTTCAGCTCATCCCTAACTCCCTGACGTGTTTCTAATGGCTTAAACACAGGCCTTTCCACCACCTGACTGACACTTTCCAGCTTCTGTCAAACCACTGTGCTGATCAAGGCCATTATGATTGGTGTTTGCCTCCACCAGGCTCAGATTCACTGATCCCCGTGGAGCTACAAAATATACTGTCTGGCCATCTTAGAGCCTCTGTGGTTATGTACAGTGTTCATGACTCACACACACGTGGGATTTTGTGTTTGCTTTTGCTCAGGTATCACCAGGTGCACATGGTTGCTAAAGGGTTTAATGTTGCACTCAAGGAAAGAAACAGAGAAAGACCAAAATAAATTCAGACTTTTAGTAAGTTTAAGGCTGGAAGTGCAGTTTTTTTACTAAAAGGTACATCTTTTAGTCTACTCAATCCATCCATCCATTATCGTTACCGCTTATTCCCTAATGGGGTCGCGGGTCTACTCAATCCATTTATTGAAAAGAATGTAGCACTGCTCTGCTAAAAGATTTGCTACCACTTTACTGAGTAACTTGTTCAGATCTCCTATCTGCAAATAGGACACGAAGGTAAATTATTAATTTGAAATATGCTATAAAAGGATGATATGCAGTATATTTTCATGTCATATCTTAAATTTGATTGTTGTGCAAGACAACATAGATATGACAAAAAAAAAACTCATCAGGACACACTTAGCCATTTAATCCATACAGACATTTTTAATTTAGTGTTAACATCTTGTGCCAGTAGTGGAAAAAATCAATAAATGCAGCACGATATTGAGACAAATGACACTACTTGAATTTGTGCCCATACGTGTTTTTTTAAACATATTATACCACGGCTCGTGTGAAGTTCTGATTTGTTCTCGTTCTAGTTGTCCTTTGGTTTGTCACTATCACCGTGCACGCAATAGAAACTGAAAAGTCTGAATAGTTTGGAATATATAACTTCCCACTTTCTGTGGCAGCAGGAAAACCATGTTGAGTTAGTTTAATAGTTTTTGTTTTAGTGTTTACACTAAAGTTATGAGGGCTACCATTTTTAAGCCAAATAGTTCAAATGAGGGCTGTTTATTTTCTTATACCATCACTTCTGAATTTTTCAAATGGAGTCACATTATTGGCTCTGCAGGTTTTCTTATTACTTTTTTTGTTTTCTTATGATGAAATATTTAGGGCTTTCCTGGCCCAGTTTAAGAGGTCCTAAAAGAGCATCATATAATACAGTGACCCAGTTTATATCCAGCCAAGGATGACATCCATTATCCCCACATTTCCTGTCGCTCCCCATCAGATAAAACCTAAAAAAAAAGGCACCATGTGGATTAAACACGAACTAAAAGAAGTCATGTCACTGATTGTGGGCACTGAAAGGTCTGAAGTCACACTCCATGCTCTCTTATTTTTCATTGTTAATGATTTTTTCTTGCCCAGGCAGGAGTCGGCTCAGCTTCAGGAATGCTCAAGTACTATTTCTGTTTCATAATGATACTGGACAGAGATATTCAAACTGTCCTCAGCCGCAGCACTGAGACATCTTATCCACAGTAATGTGAGCATCGTCATTCATTTCAGTGGTTGAGTGAGAGAGATCTGGGTGTTTATATAGAGCAGTGTGAATCTGCAGTAAAGGTATGCTGGCCAGTGCAATGAGACGATCTATACGGCCCACTCACACGCCACCTACTGCAGGCAGACCAACAAGTAAACGCATGGATTTAAAGAAATATATTACAAAAAAGTGATTTCCTGCTTCATGCAAATGACTCGCATAAAGAGTGATGTATTTGAATTAGATTTCATTATAAAGGCAAACACTTCCTTTATTTTTATGTATCACTGGGGACCCAAACATAACTGTTCATTTAATTTTTTTCTTGGGCCAATGGCCTTTAGAATCAGCCTTTTGTCAACAGTTACAAGTCTGAACATAGATATGCCACTCCAATGCCTTTTACTGATATTTTTGTAAGGGTCGATGAAGCCGGTGTTCATTTGTCTTCTGGAAAGTATTTCATTTAAAATGCATGAGCTGTGATCTAAATTTACTTATTCTGCATTATGTGTTTCCGAGCTGCATGAAACAGTCCTCATCCTGCTCGTGTCTGACATCCCCCAGCCACTGTTTCCATAATTATCCTCCTTCTCCTGCATCTTATCATGATGTCTGTCGTTAGGTTTGCCCCTGTTGGGCGTGGCAAACTGACCAAAAAGCTCTGACTCATCATGTTGTGTCCAGAGCTGTGCAGGCTGTAGACCAATGTAGAGTCAGGAGTTTTTATATTGTATTCAATAAAAGGAGGATTTTCTGGAGAGGGTTGAAAAGCAGGTAAAAAAATTGAACAGGCAGCGGCTAACACAGAAACAACAATCATGGAGGGGTAAAATTAACACAGCTGCCTTTTAAAACATACAAATCCAAATGTCTTGAGAACTTGTGTGGGCAAAGATGCTGCATTATAAATTTGTTTTTTTATATTACGTCAATGACACTGAAAATCAAGAGAGATAGACAGAAGAATAAAGAAGCAATACCATTCGAGGGCTGCTGCTGTGGCCTTTGCAAGGCTAAATAAAGCAATACCTTAAAGCGGGTTGGAGGCCATCAGTTCAGGTCAAAGGGAATATGAAACTATAAACCAGGAGTTTAGGGAGCCATGGCAACAGTCACCATACTCTGTTTACTTGGATATTTGTTATCAGGCAAGCTGTCTCTACACCTAAAGCTGAGCTGTGTGTTAATATTTACAGTTTATTATCAAAAGTCTAATAGGTTAAGACCATAGTATGATTCCCTGAATTGTAATTTACAAATAACAGAATTATTTTTAAAAAGGCCTGACTGATGATCATACCTCACCAGCAGCTCAGGGGCTTTGTGGAAAAGGTATAACAAAGCACCATAAAAGAACACACACAAAGCTAATTTGATCACATCTCAGTTGACTCACCATAAAAGTGCGAGCACAATCAAAGCACCAATGCTCACATTTAACTAGTTGTAACAGGTAACACCAGCCTACTAGATGCATGTAACGTTTTATTTCAATTTACGGTGAAAGCATACGATGAACTTAACCTGATTTAATCACAGATTGACCGCTTCCCATATACATTTTACAGTAACAGAGACTAAAAAAGTGGATGCAGCAATCAGAACAAAAGCAGATACTCAGGGGTCCAAAACATGGTCACAATCTTCATTTGCAACACTAACTGCTGCAGGGCCTTGTCTGTGTCATCGGCTTCCAGCTCCCAGCAGCTGATTCTGAATATATCTGAGACGACATACAATGTAATTATTTCAGTCAGAAATTGCATGATTTTGCAAAGTTTTCCAAATGTCAGTGGTGTGAAGGGAAGATGTCAGAATGTCAGCTTTTATCCATGCAACATGTTGATGATTGATGACTTGGGTACTTTGTGATTAGAACAAAGCTTTTCCTAAAAGTCTCGTTTGTCTGTTTTTTTATTGTTTTTCTTCTGTAGAACCTTAATTCCGTGGAAGGCTCAATCCAGAACCTTCTGTCAGTGCTGTATCCGCCCTTCGATGCCACTGCTGCAACTCTGCTCAGCCAGCTCTTCCAAGTTGTCGACGGTCGTTTCCAGGGAGATGCCCTGCGGTGTTACCTGGACTTCCTGGTTCCAGCCAAGCACATCTTAGACACTGTGCAGCAGGCTGCATGTGTAAGTCCTTTACATGTGCACCACAGTTGTGGATCTAAACATACACTTGTGAGAATGGAAAATCAGATATTATTTTCTTGTATTGTATTTTTGTAGTATTTTTTTTTCCCTTGAAGTCATGTCTTGTCTTTTACTTTGGTCCCTTTAGGCTCAGTACCCTGATGGTCTGTTCCTCTGTGAGGGCTGGCCTCTGTGTTTACGTGACCAAGTTGTTGTTCATCTTGCTCCCATCGACCCCCTGCAACTTCAGCCTGGAGACTTTTATCTCCAGGTGGCGCCATTCTGTGACCAATCAGCTCGCATTGTGGTCTGCAGCCTCCTGGAAGAGGCGGACTTTACAGTGGAAGTGGAGGAGACCCCAGTCGATGAGACGTCTTATCCGTGTATATTCAGCCATAACTGGTTAGATGATATCAACTCCGAACGCAGTGGAACTCCTCTCAGGAAATGTCTGGTTGCCACTGAACGAGGCTTGGTGAAGTTACCATGGGAACGGGTGGCCGTGCCTGAATTTGTGGATGTACCACGAAGTGCTGGGAATAGTATGGCCTCAGCTCCTCCATCATGTCCTCCATTACCACCTCCACTTTTTCTTCCTGGTACTCTTCCTGATTTGACAGAAAGCTGCTCATCTAATAAATCCTCAGGTCTCTCTTCTGCTATAAAACAGTGTCCTGCTACTACTCAGAATTCAGCATCTTCCTCTCAACCATCTGCCTTCACTGTACAGACTAGGATTTGTCCAGCAAAACACGGTATTGCGGTGTCACTTTGCCTGGTAGATACTAGCACTGCTTCTGTATCACGACAAGTTAAAATTAAAGAGATTGAAACAGAGAGTAAACCCATAGGCCGGGTGTCCCCCAATACATGGGGCAGGCATTTAACTGGGACGAATCCAGTCACATCCACAAAAACCACCTCTGCTTTAAACGCGTACACCCCTGCAACTAGTTTTAAAACTGAATGTAAAAGTGAGAATAAAGTTTTAACTGTCCCTGGAAATACATTGCAAGATAAACAGATAGAGACAAAAGTGCAAGATATGAGCAGAGGTGGGCCAGTAGTCCACCCTGTTGGAGAAGGAGAATACATTGATATAGTACAGGCCAGCATGCTTTTTGGCAAAGATCAACCACTTACTGAAGAAAAGTCCCATGTGCAGATCCAACCACATAGTCAAAGTGACTCACGGATGCAAAGACATCGACACGGACAAAGTCAGCCCACCACAGAACTGCCGCTTTGCGCACAGCCACAGTCGCATGGGCTGTTACCCATAAAATCGCAAAGCCATTCTAGATCTGTGGATCCTTTATCATTACGTCCCAAAATATCTGCCCAAACAGGACCTCCAGCCACTCACCACCATTCCCAAACACATCACTCTTACTGTGACCCTCTTGAGCCTTTCCAGTGTGGCCGCACTGTTAACTTTGCAGAGAAGCCCTGCACTCCATGCATGAAGAGGCGACAGGGTGGGAAGGCTACCAGAGCTCAAGAACTGAGGTGTCGATACAGGGAGTCCTACCAGGCCGCTATTCAAAACCCTGTCACTTTTAGAACTGAGAGAGACAGAGAGAATATGTTATCTGTTGTGGAGGAGCAGGGTGATTTCTCCCAGTATGAAGACAGACCGGGGACTGAACCAGGAGATCCATGGTGCGATGTTCAAGAAATAAGACGTGACACCAGAATCCAAAATCAGCCAGTCATTGTAGACATTTGTAATGTGCCTGGGAACTTAAACACTACTTCTCACTGGAGGCAAGGCGATTCTAGATCTGTGGAATACAGGGAACTCCGTACCTTTCAATCTGGTGGGCAGCATGAGCAAAAACCTGAGAAGAATAATGCAGCACTTAGAGATGCTCAGTCTCCCGAAGGTTACGGCAACAATCGCAGTGTGAACGGAACAAATCCAGCAGCTGAGGCAAAAATAAACTCTACTCATGTTGTGCCAGTTACAAATGGTTCAGTGTATTCTTTCAGGAATCCTGAATTACCCCCGAGTTCAAGGGAAAAGTCCGAGATGAGCACGACCATCAAACCCCATGAAAAGCAACAAAATGGAAGCAGCTCTCACTTTTCATCTCAATCAGCAGCACAAAACAGAAAAGACACTTTCTCAGATAGAAGATGTTCCTCCCTCTCCACTGCTGTGGTGGACACCTCAGAAAAATGTGAACTGGTTATTGTTGAAGGTCAAAATGTCAGGAGAAAAGAAAAGCCTGTCTCTTGTGCAGAGATTCCCCAGTTGCATGTGGTTAAATGTAAAAATAGCACCGCATTTCGACTGGTTTCCCCCAAGATCAGCAGAAGGATGACAACAGGTACAGAGTTATGCTGTTCTTGAGTTTACTATCAGATTAGAACCTGTTTTTGTGATCTTCATTCTAACTAAATCAATAACCCTTCCAGCTGGTGAGCAGCAAAGCAGTGCACCTTTGTCAAGTGGAAATGGCCGTCAACAAGCCTACCAGTCAAAGACAGATTCACCTCCCTCTGCAGAAAATCAAAGGGTCTCACAGCGTGCCCCTGCTCGTCCCAGACCTGACCACCTGCCCCTGGGACCCCCAGACCCCAGAGCCCACCCTCTTTATCTAGGCTTAGCATCTCTCACAGGTAATTTTGGATTTACTAAATAACATCAGCTGTCCCAACGTTTTACCCAGTTCTCATAGTAAACCTTTTTAAACATTGATCTAATTCAAATGAAGATGTTCTCCTGATCTTTCCTCTCCGTGACTCCTCCAGGCTGCAGGGACAGGACAGGCAGGGCAATAATTGAGGTCTATGGAGACCACCAGGGATGGCGATCTTCTGTAACAAGCCAGGAGCTCTTCCAAATGTTGCTGTACTTCCACTCCATCACCAGGTAAGAAGGACTAAATCAGATTACACATTGCTATGATTTAGTGGGATTTTCTTATGGGATATTTCCAGACATTACTTGCTTGCATGATGGCAAACTTGAACAACCGTATTAAGAGAAGGGTGGCTTAATGGAGCTGTAAACCATCCGAAAATATCAGGAACGTTCTCCAGAAAAATTCTGGTGTAAAACTGTATTACCACTTTTTAAAAAGTTGGACTTATTAAGATAATTTCAAGCCTGCGTAAACCTCTGCAACCTGTAGGTCACTTTTGAGCAAATCTATTTAAATCACTCAATAGACATGTCATCACATTGCACATAAATTCAATAAGTGAAGATCCCTAGGAATGTTAAATGAAAGATTACATTAAATTTTTTATACGAATAGTAGAAGCTCTGACTTATTACATTCAAAAGTTACCATCTCCACACTGTGTGTGTCTGCATTCAGAAAGGAAATCAGAGAAGCTGGGATGCTGCTCATTTTTGATGCTCGACGGACAAATCCTCAGCCACAGTTCTACAAGGGTTTGATGGCTCTTCGGGTAAGAAGCAAAGTAACTTTGGCATCTCAGAAGAGCACAAAAATTCTGAGCCAATTCTGCCAAGCCATCACAGGGTCACACAGAGACAAACAAGCACACACACTCACACTCACTCCTATAGGCAATTTAGTATGAAATCATAATTTGTTTATTGGTTTCAGGATGAGATTCCCAATGCAGTGAATAGTTTTGTACTGCTGGTGGACAAAGAGAAAACCATTCGTCCAGAAAAATGTCCTGGGATACAGGTCAGCTTCTATAACTCATGATTAAACAACACTGTTTTTGTTTACGAACCTTTATTTGGAATTTTTATGTCGCGATGCTAACCTTAACCTTGTTGATCAAGGTCTGCTGAAGCCATTATAAACAGCATGAATAATTGGTTCTAATCATGAGAATAATTTGTTTAGCACTGTATCAAGTTAATTTAATTTACAAAGATAAGGATTTACCTGTTGACGTGGAATGTTTTATCTTGAACAGACTGATGTGGTGACTTCGATGAAAGCCTTGCTTAAGCTGGTAGAAGTTAATCAGCTGAGCTCCCATCTTGATGGCATGCTCTCTCAGGGCTACCGTGACTGGAGGGAGTTGCACAAGGTGAGACACTAATGCCTCCAGATCACTTTTTCCTGTTTTAAATTTCTGGTTGCCTTTATAACAAATTTGTTCTTTATTGTTTCCATTTTGCACCTGCCAAAATCTTTTATTCTCAGAGACTCTTCCCATTTGTTAATGATCTTCATGAGGCGTCCAGCCTGCTACTGAGAGCCATCAGTAAATTAGAGGAGCCCCAGATGACAGACAGTGTACAGGTAACATAACACCTTCCCTCAGAGGATTTGCCTTTTTGCTGTATAGAGCTTGGAAGGTTTATCCTTAGTGATGTAGGTCTGCAATCACTGATAACATAATATGATGACAATAGCCTTTTTTACCCTCAAAAATATCGGTGAAGGCACATGAAAAAAAAAAAAGTTTAAAACAGATTTTGTCTAACAGGCTGTGCAGCAATCCATGATGAACCAGAGAACTCTGATGAGAGATGTCTTGGAGGATTTCCGACTGGTCAGTCTACAAAGGGAGGGAGGAGCCATTCTGGCGAGGCTAAGGAAAGAGAGCGACTTGAAATACCCCCACTGTGAGGACCTCAGGTAAACATAGAGAATTCCTGTTCTCATGCTGTATGTTTATGTGTCTACGGACAAGAGATTAAGAAAATCTGTTGAAAGAGACACAACTTTATCGTCAAAAAGCTGCGACCACTAAGCCTATATTAAGCCTATGATTGGTCAACAAGTGCAGCAAGTCACCTTTTAAATAAGCCAAAGCCAAGCTTATTGCACTTAAATGTATATGATCTTGAATGGTGTTTCGGAGCATGCATTGTTGTATATTGAGCTCATAATGTCTTGTGTTGCGTCACACAGCGATGCAGTTGACTCGGTCACCAGCCTGTACAACCACGTGGAGGAGCAAGCTCACGTCCTTGTGCAAAGGACCAACATGTCACTGGAGCACCTGGAGTACCTGCTGCAGCTCAGAGAGATGGAGGGACACTTCAAACAGGTTAATAGTACTTAGATATGCATAAACGAGTTTTAAAAATCATCTTGAAACTTTGATCTCTCAAATGGAACTTTACACATTTGTCTTCTTTTAGATCTTTACATCTTTTACAGTACTTGGGCATGATGAAGAGTACAAGTTAGAGTTTTTGTTATTAATTTAAATACAACTTCAGATGTGTTCTGAAGAGTCCAGAAATATTGAAAATACATGAAGACTGTCTCTCTTTTATTTTATGTTAGTAATGCATACATTTTTGGCCGCACCAATATTAATTTAAGTAAAATATGTATGCTGCACGAGGAATTTCTATGACAAAACTAAGATATTTTGTATCTCTTTTTGGAAAAAAAACGCTCCTTTAAAAACAACACACACATTACAAAAAGAGATCAAATCAGAATTGAAAATCATGTATCATTGTGCAGGTAATGAAACTATCAAAGTTCAAACACAAGCATAGAACTTAAGTCATATTGGATGTCAGACTGGTGCAGGTATAATTGCTAATACATGCACCACATCCTTCCTCACTGAGTCAAGCATCATTTTCATTCTTTCTTCTGTGCAGATTCATCAGTGGTTTAATGTAGAAGGAGAGCGCCACCTGTTGGAGGCTGAATCAGTCGAGGAATCTGGAGACAGAATGGAGCAGATCCTCAACAGCTTCACTAGTTTCCTAATTGAAGCGACTGTGAGTCAAACTTTTAGTGTTCCCCATCTTTTTGTATTTGTGTTTGATCGTTGGTCTAAATGTTTGAACTATTCTGTCCTTTCTTTTCCAGGACCGCAGACACCATGCCATGACATTAGTGTCAGAGGCAGAGCGGCTCCAGCAGAGTGGGCTCACCTACCCAGAGACAGACACTTTTAAGAATTTTATCTTCACATTCAAATCGCACCTGGAGGACTTCCTATGCAGGGCAGAGGCATGTGGCCGAGAGCTTCAGATCATGGTCAACGTGTGTGATTTTTGTGAGCAGGTGAGCACTCAAAATGAAGTTTAAATGCAATCTTGCCTCTCCTTGAGAGATTTCTCACTAAAGATTCAACTTTAACTGTCTGCTGGTCCTGTACAGAGCATTCACTCTTTACGTAAAAGAAAAATCTCTTCCATACAGGCTACGGCACTAGCCACTGAATGCACTGAGTACCTGAATCAGAATCAGTCCCGAATCCATCCTATGCAAGACCATGACAGGCCCTCACAGCTCAATCAAGCCAAAAGTCAGCCTGCACAATACCGAAAGCAAGACTCCAGCCCAAACACTGCATCCTCGTCTCAGGCTGATGCTCAAGCTGCAAATTGCTCCACCACAGCCACCTCCACTGCTGCACCATCTTCTACCGACAGCTTCATTCTTCAGGCTTTCCAAGAAAGGTTCCTCTACTTCAGCCCAGAGAGATTCCAGCAGGTAAAGGCCCAGGCCAGTGCCCTGAAAGGCTCAAGGGGCATGAGGGTGTGGAATGTTGCCTGGCTGAGATGTCAGGAGGCTCGGCAGCAGCTTCAGGAGAGGATGCAGCACGTGGATGAGGTTTGCCAACAGCCGGCAGATTGGGGCGAAGGCCATTTCATCGACGTGGTGAGCACCAGTGTTGAGACGACCTCTCCCGGTGGCCAGAATTTGGTGGTGCAGTCAACTCCCGGGCCTTGCCATCCTCAGTGGGAGAGTATCGTATCAGGAACTGTGGATTTAGAGAAAAGAGGGCCTGTTCTCAGTAGTACCAGCCCTAATGTAACAACTGTGGCCTGCTGTAACATTATCATCCAACCTGAAGATAGCATTGATGCTGGAATGAGCAGGGAGTCAAAGACCACTCCAAAGCTACCTCACAGGTAACTCTTTGTGGGTCCTTTCATTCCACCCTTTTGACCAGAGAAGTCAGTTTGCTTGGATTCTTAGCTGTTGTTACTTTTTAAAATGATGCTGATGTTTCTAATCAATAGAAAACATTTATTTTGTTTTTCACTATTAACTATATTGTTTCCTAAGGGGCTCGACTTGGAAAGAAATGAACAATTCAATTAAAGACATGCTCTTGTACGAGACTTAACCATCTTGAATAGAAACCATCAGATTGGTTTGTTTTGAGATGATACGGTGAGCATCACAGACAGAGATGTCAAATTCAGCTCTGCTCTGTTTTTGACATTTTTCTAAAAGGCCAACAAAGAAAACAGGAAGGGAAGCAAGGAGGAGACAGACAAGCAGAACAAGGAGTGAGAGAGACGCCGCAGCTCTGTCTCAGTCGCAGCCTGTCGGCTGCCAGTGGTTTCCATGGGGACGGGGTCTTGGAACGAGGTCAGTGAGTGAAGACTCGTGCGCTGCCAGAGTCCCAACAGCTGGCTCATCAGCCCCTCTGGACGAGCGGGCCCGGCCGCCGTCATCCTGTTCCCACCGGGGCCAGCCTTCATGTCGAATCCTCCAGGAAGCCCAGAAGTTTCAGATCTCCCGACACGGGAGCTTCTGCTCGGATGACTCCTGTGTTAGCGACAGGGGGGCTGCAGGGGGTGATGGGACCGTATGCCCCAAACACTCCAGTCTACCCGTCACAAGATACGAGGGATCGTTTGGTCCAAAGGAGAGCCCTAGCTGTTCCTTGTAAGTTGTTTTTCTGGGGGAGGGGGTGTGGGGGGTTCCATCTTAAGATATCAACTTTGATTAACTTTGCTAAGATGACGTTGAAAGATTTATTTATTATTTTACTACACCTTGAATTCTTAATGAGTGATGATTCTTGGATCTTGTTTTTGTCTCTAAGCTGACCATGAAGAGGTACAGGTATTGTCTCTTTCCTTTCCTTTTGATTTAGTTTTTCATCATGGTTAAACTTAATAAGAATCTAACTAAAGTGAGTTTAGTTAAACATGTTCAACCTTTCTAAAATACACAAGTTTACGTATGAAAAAATCAGGGACTGATTTTCTCCAGTTTAAAACTCTCATGGCCAATGCGAGTACAACTGGTTTTAATAGTTTGGAGAGAAGCAACCAGACTCACCAAAATAACATTCAGTTAATAATTGTAAAGAACTTTCAACGTGTAGTCTAAAACATTGTGTAAAGATTAGGGTAATGAGGACATTTTGGATATCCTAAACATGAAACTACTGTTGAATGTAAGGACATTTGGCCCTCAGGAGTCATTGCCTGAAAAAAAGATCAATATAGTCACATGGGCTCAGGGTACCTTGGAAAACTATTTCCACTCCACAGAGCACGCAGAGCCGTAACCTGAAACTGGATTACTAAAGGAAGAAGCCATACATCAACTCTGCTCTGAAATGCTGTCAAGTTCAGTGGACATGAGCTCATCTCAGACAGAAAGACAGTATACACGTGTTTAGCTATCAGATGAGTCAAGGTTTTGGCAACATTTAGGAAGAAATTACACCTGGATCTACAAGGCAAACATCACCCCAGCTATTCTCAGAGCAAGGCACAATAAACAGCATATGTAGAGGTGTAAGAGAGATGTCATATTTCAAAATGATATTTTTAATGCACTGAAGCTGGTCAGTGAAAACACTGAAAATAATTTCTTTCATGTTTTTTTTTCTTGTAACTTTTCCACGCAGGATATTAGTAAAACAGATAAAATGTTTTCGTATAGTACGCGTCCTTTTTCTGGAGTTAACAGAGTGTTTCTCTCTTCGTGTCAACAGGAGGCTGCAGCGCGTCATGGAGGAGCTGGTGTTTACAGAGAGGGAGTATGTGCGTTCTCTGGGTTACATCCTGACTCACTACCTCCCCCTGATGGACAGGCTGGACATCCCCCAGGACCTCAGGGGAAAGCGAGGGGTCATCTTTGGCAACCTGGAGAAGCTTTATGACTTCCACAGCCACTATTTCCTTCCAGAGCTGGAAGCCTGCCAGAGGGATCCTGCCATGATTGCCCGCTGCTTCCTCAGACATGTGAGGGATTCCTGTTCTAACTTTGCACTTTTAATTTTGTGTTCAAAAGTCCAATGTTCATTAGTTTTTATTCTGACTTTCTGCAGAGTGAGAGTTTTGGCCTGTATGCTTTATACAGCAAGAACAAGCCTCAGTCAGATGCCCTCATTCTGCACCGTCGCCATGACATCTTCAAGGTCAGTTTCTATCTGTTATCTGTCCGTCTTTTGATACAAATTAGGTACAGAGTTATAACACTGCAAACATTGAAAGTCATCATTTTCATCTCATACATTTTATCTTTACATTGCAGAAGTTTTACATTTGTATAAATGTCTATAATTCGATTATTAAAAGTCAAGTTCACATATCATATCACATATCACTCTCAAAATACTTAAGATGAGAATTCATTGACTGAAATTTAAAATGCAAAATACTTATGAAAATGATTTCATATCATTTCACACTTCAATGATAAGCTTACATTTTGCTCTCATAAATGTTTTCTTTAAGTCAACGTTTTGTCATGATGACTGTTCATGGTGGGAATTTATGCCAGTCCCACTCTGTTTGTCACCACAGAGGAAGCAGCAGGAGCTGGGGGACATGATGGACCTGTCGTCCTACCTGCTGAGGCCCATCCAGAGGATCAGCAAGTACAGCCTCCTCCTGCAGGACATGCTGTCTCTGGCCAAGTCACACAGGCCCAAAGATGTGACCGAGGATGGAACGTCCTCATCCGGTGCGTTCTCACAAAGTGTGTGTGGCCCTAATGCTCACGTGCCTGATCTGACGGGCAGTGACAGGGAGAGGGCTGAGATCCAGGCGGCTGCGGACTTGGTCCGATTTCAGATGCGTCACGGCAATGATTTGCTCACCATGGACGCCATCCAAGACTGTGACGTAAGATGTCGATCCTGCGGATCACTTGTATTTAGGTCCCAGTAGTTAGATGGTATTGACCAACTTCTTTTCAATTCTGTGCTTCCCACCTCCGACAGATTAATTTAAAAGAGCAGGGGCAGCTGATCCGACAGGATGAATTCACAGTTTTCTTCAAAAAGAAGAAATGTGTCCGTCGCATCTTCCTGTTCCAAGATTTGATTCTCTTCAGCAAACCGAAGAGAACAGATATTGGAAATGATGTTTACGTCTACAAGCAATCAATTAAGGTGTGTTTTAATCCTATTTCCGGCCTTATGATGGAACAGATGAAACATCTGGACATGCATGTTTGTGCTAATGAGTGTCTGCATGCAGCTTAGCACAGGCTAAGCTTTACGTGTTCAGACCACACCTCCAATATGCACAGGAATAAATCCTGCTGTGGTTTTCTCGAGATCAGGGAGTTACATCGCCTTCTTAGCTTATTTTTATTTGTTGAAGGCTGATTCCGCTGCTCCAGGAGTCTTTCCAGAGTCATATATTGCGACTTTATTAAATGTTCAAATAAGTAATGTGTAAAAACAGCAATTCAGATCCAATCATTACAAATTTTGGGGTCTTTCCTTATGTTTTCCAGACAAGTGATATCGGAATGACCCATAACTCTGGTGTGAGCGGTTTGTGTTTCGAGATCTGGTTCCGCAGGAGGAAAAGTGAGGACACCTACACTCTGAAAGCAACTAGCATGGAGGTGAAGAAAGCCTGGACTACTGACCTGGAAAGACTACTATGGGATCAGGCTGCTCACAGCAGAGGTTGGCACAACAATAGCTAGCACTGTACACATATATAGATATGCATTTATATATGTGTTTAGATTACTTTTCTTTTTTTGTGCACAGACCTCAACAATTTCATGTAATCTGCCTTCCAGAACTGCGTCTACAAGAAAGGGTGTTCATGGGAATGGGCCGAAAACCTTTCATGGATATTCAACCTAATGAAGCTGCAATTTACGATCGATCAGTCAGCGGTGTGCTGCCTGGCAAAAGTAAGGAGCCGCACAGCCAACATTTCAATGCATTACAATTTATGGCTTATCTTGAAGGTCTTCGGAGGCGTGAAGGCCGTCTGTAAAAGTTAAAACAGCCCACTAGAGGAACAAAAATTGAAAATCACTTAAAAGGTTAAACTGTCATAATTTGATGAAGAATGTGTAATGCCATTTTGTTAATCAGTGTTTAAAAGAAAAAAGTTGTTGCACCAGGTCTGAATACTTTTGGCTTGAAACAAATGTTAATTTTGCTGCCTCAATAGCACCAAATATGGCCACGTTTGCCCTTTGTGAAAACCATTGTATGCATTATATTATATATGTCCAATATTATACTCACATTCCATTTAAACTAACAGAACAATGTGACCATAAGATCCCTGCAGTCCTGATTTCTCATGAATGTAGCTCTTTATAAAAATCATTGATGGCAACTATCTATGTGTGTCGTCAGTCCCTGTGGCGTGTTGTTCACACAGGGGTTTAGAATATCCCCGGCCTCACTCCATTGGCTCCGGCAGCACCGCGTCCACCACCGTCAGCCAGTCATCTTCCTCGTCAGGACGTGGCTCGCTGCCCCCTACTGGTTATCCCGGGAACCCCCCTCAGGGCGCAGACGCAAATCCAGCCGTGGGCTTCTTCCCTGAGGCTGTGACTGACAACGAACTGAACAATCAGCATCTTCACCAGTATCATCTTCATCGTCACTGTGACCATTGGAAACCGCTCTGTCCACAGAGTGAGTTGATTTTAGAGTTTTTAGATCAATATCACAAGCTATTTTTTCTATTGCTGAGTTCTTAGTCCATAGCACTTGATACTCTGAATGAACACTTAAATCAAATCCAAATGACAAGAGGAATTTCAGGGTTATCCCAAGATACAGCCAATTTAATTCCGTTTGAGAGGAAGGGAAGAAGGGACAAGCAAGCACCATGACACCAGACCAGGGATACATGCTGACTAAGAGAATCACAAGTTAATAAACAGCAATATGTTAAATGTATATGAAGAATAAAGATGCCAGAGCGAGGAAAGGTGCATCATGGGAGGTCTCCTAGAAATCTGCCTGAACTTTTTTTGGTCAATTTTCTATTCCCTTTTTATTTTAAGGATAATGTGTCCCGTTTTTAGTAGCTTAAAGACCACACCCTCCAAAGATGCCATGAATGGAAATTAAGCTTTTTTTTGTATCATTCAAACCCTCTATGTGTGTTCTGTAGTGGACAGTACTGAGTCATCCGGGGAAAGCGTGGCTGTGTTCAGCAGCTCGGAGCACAGCTGCCTGTCTGCCATCAGCGGGGAGGTGGTGGATGACTCCTCAGTTTTATCCCAGAGCTCCCAGCAACAGCTTCCTCAGACCTCCAGCCTGAGGAAAACCAGCTCCCCTATGGTTACTACAAAAAAGCCCGATGTCCCCCCCAGAACTACACAGCCATCTAAGACTCAGGTAAAAGAGCAGAGATACACACGCCGAAAGGTTTTCACACATTGATGAGTACAGCTTTTAAAGGCCTGAAAAGTAAACATTAATGTTCAGGCAGCTGTTGCTCAGGTGGAAGAGCAGGTTGGTTTATAATCACATGGTTTCTGCTAATTATATCAAGACTCCAATGAGAAAAGAAAACGCAAGTTATCACAAAAGCAACAAGTATGTCTTTTCTGTAGAAATTGGTATGTTTTTATAGCTATATGATTTAAATTGTTTTATTCTGTGTGAGAGCAATGCATGATTTTATATTCTTTAAAAATCTTTTACACGTACACTAAAAACCAAGGCACAACACCTTAAACTATTGAGTTGCTCGACTGTTTTATTGAACAATAATATTCAATTTGTTGCTTTGCTCCACAGGGAAATGAAATCATATTTGCAAAATCTACAGAAGTTTAATTGGCAATCCACAGCAGAAGGTGAAGCTGTTACATTCATATAAAGAAACTGATAATTATTTCTTTATTACTTTAATGGCATTTTCAACAAATTGATTCAATCTGAGTGACTGTAGTTTGGCTATATGTGGTTATGTGCATGCATTATTCAATGTTTAAAAATGAGGAAATGATTTTAAAGAGAAACACCAGTAAGGATATTTAACAATCTAGCATTCAGAAATCAGTAAATGTCTTTTAGAATTTTGAAAAATATTTTCAGAAAGAGTCGTTTATGCTTTAAACTTTGTTTCAGATACGTTGTCGTGGCCTGCTGTCAGAGGGATTACCTGACTGAAGGCATTTATCTTTGAGCTTCACAGACTTTTTTTTTACATCATAAGGACCTATATTTAATTTGAATTTATTTATTTATGCAGTTGGGGTTCCCTGTGTGTACTCTGGCTTCCTTCCACCATCCAAAAACATGTATCTTAAGTCAATTGGACTCTCCTCTTGTCAGCTGGGATCACGGTGTTCATTTTCAGATATGCATTGGACGATCTTCTGTCCTGTACAACTTATATAGTTGCAGATTCAGCAGGGATCAAACAAGAGAATGTTTATTTGTAATTATTGCTGTTGTCATGGACACAGGACCGGCTTCCAGATCCAGTTTCTCAGTCCAGTGTTTTTGTGTTACCTACAAAGCTACTTAATATCAGCTGATCAGAAGAAAGGCACTGTTTAGGTAGCAAGGCCACAATGTTTTCTTTGTGGACTTGTTTCCTAAATAGTACAGTGCAGCAAGCTCCAGTTCCAGTGATGAGTTCCAGTACAATGGTCCATCTGCCAACAAGTTGAAGACTTAAACTGCCAGGCCATAAAAGGATAAATATGTCAATACTGTACAAATTTAGATTTACTACTACTTCTCTAACACCTCAGTCATTTATTTCTTAATTTTTTCTTCTTTTGTTCTTATAAACATTTTTTTCTTATCTGTATGGTCTTTGCTTTGCTGCAGTTGCCATCCTATTGATGATTTGTATCAAGGGACACACCACTTCTTTGTGTATTTGCGTTATAAAAAGCAGCACATGGTAACAACACACTAATGGATACACGACATATGAACATATACATAACTGCAGATTTAAACCACTTACTTTCATTTAGGGTCCACTAATACTGATAAGAAGAACACCTTTGTTTATTTCCAGTGACAATTACAAGAAAGTATTTTCCAGATTATTTCCAGAATAGTTTTTCATTTATGTTTTCTTTGTTGAATGTTTTTGTAAACCCAGGGATTTAATTTTCTGTGCAAAATATAAAGTATAAAATCCCAAAAGGATCATGTTTGAGGCATCAGTGTTTTTTATTGGTGTGTTTTTATTTTAAAGCCATTATTGTTTTGTTTGACACATTTTTTCACCATTTTCTTTATTGCTTTCATGGTCTTCTTTTTAGACGTTTTTCTGTTTATATATTCTGTTGTATCCACACAGTGTAAACCAAGTTATTTTGATCTTTGTTAGGGGTTACTGTTCTCTGAACCTAGAGGGGCTGATTGCATTAAAATGAGGATGTAGCACCAGACAAGTTGTGAGCCACTTCCTTAACGCACAAACACAGTTTCTCAGAGGGGCAGCTTCTAAAGTTCAGATTACGGCAGCCTCTGTCAGTATGTCCAAGTATTTCTGAAGTTGTGAAACAAGCATAGATTTGAAAAAACCTCTGAGATATGTGAGTGAACCGTCCAGGGTGTACCCCGCCTCTTGCCCATTGACCACTGGGATAGGCTCCAGTTTCCCCCGCGACCCCATTCTCATTTCTAATATTGTTTCAGTTTATTTATCAAATGAAACTGTGATGAAAAAATTAAAGAAATCACCCCAATTTTTTTTTTTTGACAATTCCAATGTCATGTTACACTTTCAAGAATATACGTAGCAGAAAAAACAAAGAATGCAATGATCATTTTAACCTTACATTTAATGGAGAACAAGAGACAAACTCAATTTAAAATGTTGAAACAGAGTTTCCTTTAATGATACCATACATCGCTTCATAACCTACGGAAATAATTCAGTAGTAATGGTAAGTTCACAGATATCCAAGGCATGTGGAGTACTACTACTGTGTCTGGCTATAACTGATGCAGCTGAACTGTGCGCTGATACTTGAGAGAAATGTTGTATTTCAACATTTCATCTAAAGTCTAGTTTAAATGGTTTGCAGATCGTTGCATTATACATATATGGCATGATGTGCAGACTGAATTTCTGAAGTTGCTGTTCAGGTTGACTGTGTTTATTTTCAGCAGGAATTTTTCTATGACAACTTTGTCACTTTTGAACCCATTAATAAAAAAGGAAGGTATGTTGTAAGTCTGTCTGCACTCTCAGTCTAAAAAAAGAATTACTGATATGAGGACTAGACAGAGAGGGGCGACCGTGTCAGGTTTCACTGGCTACAAATATCCCTCACTAGCTGTTGCGCTGCTGGGTCGTCGGCCAGTGAGCGCGACTGCATCTGAAGTGTCCTTTTCCACACGGAGGTTCAGGGACGAGAACTGCAGCGCAGACATGAGTCAAGGTAAGAAGGAGGAAAACTTCTCTGTCACACTTTCACACATCATTCTGGTGCAACGGAGCTGCTCATGAGTGAATAAAAATGCAACTTGTTTGAGTTGATGCTCACAGACTACTTTTAATTTTGCACTGATTGAGTGTCATAACTGGAATTTGAATAGCAGGAATGGTGAGTGACATGCAATATCTCAGATCTGGAACTCAGAATAACATTGAATGTGAATTGTGAAATTGCTGGTGGATTCTTGTCATTTATCATCTGTGAAGGAAATGTAAGCAGGGGGCTCAATTAGAAGTCGTCTGATATCAGATTTCCATGGTTTCACTCAAGCAATGTGCCACCAACTTTTAGTGTCTTCGTATTTCCACACAGTGTTGGGCATCGACCGCTGTGATCTGAATATCAAGAGCAACAGCAGCATCCATCACACAGAGCTGTACGGAGAGGACCGTTTGATTGTGAGGAGAGGACTGCCCTTTAACATTATCTTACACCTGCTGCCGGGCAGCAATGAGGTCAAACCGAGTGAAGCAAGCCTCATGTTCATTGTTGAAACAGGTACTACTCTATCTTTCGTCTTTATCTTATTTGAAAGAGGATGTGTTTGACGCAGGCTGTATGTGCACATGTTCAGCCTTCCTACATGAAGTTATGTGTCACTTATCTGTGCCCCCCTCAGGTCCATTGCCCCGAAAAGAATCTGACACAAAGGTCTCCTTCAGCCTACAAGACTCCACGGTGGACACTGAGTGGAGTGCATCTGCCACCAGTGATCCCTCTGGAAACAGTTTAACTGTCTCTATCAGTTCCTCCCACAATGCCCCCATTGGGGTGTATTCTTTGACTTTAGACCAGTTGGGTCAGAAAACCAGTTTAGGACAGTTCACTCTGCTTTTCAATGCTTGGTGCCCACGTGAGTCCATAAAGCTGTTCACAGATAGTTTACAATCAGTTCCTTTTTTTTCTTTTTGGCTTAAACTGGCAGATTTCTCTTCCTTTAGAATATGCTGTGCTCGCTGATTAATTCTGTGTTACCATGTACGGCATATACATAGGAAATACTATTAAATGGTCTTGAAGGTTTTAATGTTTTTGTGCAACAGAAGACGCCGTTTTTATGCGAAGCGAGCCGAAGAGACAGGAGTATGTTTTAGCCCAACATGGGCAGATCTACAGGGGAACACCTAAAAGGATCAAAGGGAAACCTTGGAACTTTGGACAGGTATGTATATTATAGTTGTTGCTGTGTCCGTTACTTTAACAGATAGTTATGATGTAGATGTTTTAGATCTGTAATTCACTTAACAACTCAACCAACTCAAACATATCATTAAATCAAACATATCATAAATCATTCAGAATGTTGCCCTAAATTCTGTCTCAATACCATTTTTCCTGCAGTTTGAACCAGGAATATTGGATATCTGTCTGAAGATTCTAGATGACAACCCCAAATTTGTTTCTGATGCCGATAAGGACATCTCAGGCAGAAGAAATCCCATCTACGTCACCAGGGTGCTGAGTGCCATGGTAGTAATCATTTTAGTAATCATTCATTCATTAATTAACATTCCTTTTCTTCTCTATCCTGTTGAGAAGCTGCCCAAAGTGCACACTGCGGATAGGTTACTGCTCTATCATGAGCTAATCAAAGATACAATCAACCTGACAAATGTGCTTTCTCACCCAACCCCTGGGGTCATTTTAGTCGTATGCAAACATAGATAAAAACATTGAATATGTAAATATGTAAGAGTGAAATTTGAATCATTTAATGCCGATTAAATGCCCTAATGATATACCGAGAGCAGCATTCTGCAGCCCAACCGGCAGATTGCTCCACAAAAATGGACCTCTGGCCCCCTTTGGTATTGACTTGGGAGGTGGAAGCATATAGAAGATTTATAAGAGTGTTAAGGTTGACCCAAAGACTAAGGGTGGAACTAGAACACTAAAGGATCATAAAAAGCAGAGTGGGAAGCCGTGAACTGAATCCTAATGGGCCTTGAATAGCCACTTCTTAACTAAAGATTACCATGGTGCACCAGAAAATTTTGCTGGCTTTCTACATTCAGTGTTTCCCACTCTGTCGGACAGCCACTCCCCTTCTTTTGGAAAGTATCTCCTTTCCCTTGGAAACTTTTGTGACACAAAGCAGATGAAACAGAAAGAGGTCCACAGTCAGATGACCAAAGTATCTTTAAGTGTTTTCTTCCTAAATAAAAAATATGTCTAAATAGCCAGACAGAGCGAGGTTTATTGTTGGCTGTAACAATTCAGTAGAAAAAGTGTTGCAATGTTAAAGATAGAGTTTCAGACCATTCTCAACTAAATTAAATCATAAGAGTGCTGAGGATGTTGAAACAGCTACATTCAGAAAGCGCTGGTCCTTATAGAAATCCTGAAAAACAAAGGTTAATGACTACCCCATAAACCTTGCTAAGTCTTTTCTGATTGGTGAGTTCCAAGGGCCTTTTACCCTAATCCTCAAGGGGTCTGAATTTCACACACAGTGTATGGCATATTGATATTATGTTTTGTGGCTATTTTCATGTTGCTGTGGGACTGACTTGTGAGTCCTGTATATGTTCATTTTATTGCTCTTGTCCTCCATTGATGTGATTCTTTTTCTCTCGCCTCCGTCTGTGCCCACAGATCAACAGTAATGATGACCGGGGAGTGCTGGTAGGGGAGTGGGGAGAGTTTGAAGGCGGGACCCACCCTGGCCTGTGGATCGGCAGCGGGGAGATTCTGCGTCAGTGGGCAGAGAGCGGTCCAGTCCGCTACGGCCAGTGCTGGGTGTTTGCTGCTGTGGCCTGCACAGGTGGGAAGAAAATGCATTTGAGGAGACTGTTTGTCTTTCAAACAGCCATTTAAGATGTTACGTTCCATATGATATGATAAGTCAAACAGAGACCATTACAGACCCCTAAAATATTCACACAGCTCGGCCTCTTACCACTTTAATCACCCACACCTCTGCACTGCCAACAATCCCAGCCTTATAGCCAAAAGTCGTATTTTAGAATCTTATGTCATTTCTGTCTGTTCAGTTTAACCTCTTAGATAATCTCTTTACTTTTTAAATTTGATGACAGACACTATCTCAAGTGTGTGCTTGAGTGTGGTGCAGTGATGTAGAGTGGCTCTCCTCCCCCTCCCTCAGTGTCCCGAGCTCTTGGAATCCCATGTCGAGTGGTGACTAACTTTGGATCCGCTCATGATACTAATGCCAACCTGATGATAGAAAACCTTTATGATGAAAATGGTGAGAGGCTAAGTGGAGGGGACTCAGTATGGTGAGTGTAACACATGCCATATAACACAAGTATTTTTATACATCTATCGTGCCATAGGAGGTCATTCAATACAGAATGAAATAGAATGATCATTTCATGCCATTTTTCCAGGAATTTCCACGTTTGGGTGGATAGCTGGATGACTCGTCCAGATTTGGGGAAGGAGTTTGATGGGTGGCAAACCAGTGATCCAACACCACAGGAGAAAAGTGATGGTAATAAAGAAAGCGAAGACAAAACATTTAAAAAGCCTGACCATTTTCTATTTTCAAGTTGCAGCCCTAATACTGTCAGGATGACTTGCACGCAGTGTCAGAGTTTGAGCGGAGTAGATGCGGGTCTGGCATACATCAGATGTGTGGTGACTGTGTTCAGCATGGTTACAGGCTGTCTTTAGCTTACAACATTCTGTTTATTTTTTTTACTTCTGACCCTGACACAAATCATCTGTCCTCCCTGGAGTCTCTCGCACACACATAGAATGTGGCATAGATGTAAAGTATTTTTCCTGTTTGGCTTTTTGTTTTGTTTTTACTAATCATTCATCTTTTGGATTTTGAAACCTTATACCACTGTCTCTTATTAAGGCCTCTCCCCATTCGATTAATAAAATGCTAACAGCCAAACATCTTTTTTCTGGATTTGTACTGCTTTTAGGTGTTTTCTGTTGTGGCCCTGCTTCACTGAAGGCCATCAGGGAGGGACAGATGACCATGAAATATGATGCTCCTTTCATTTTTGCTGAGGTGGGTTTAGGCTCTTCTCATACTATAACGAAATGAAAAAAACACAGATTCTGTATATTTTTGATTATTTATTTGAAGTAATTCTAGATTTGGGCATGTACTGTAGATAAAAGCAAACTCCTTCTGATCATGTTGTGTTTAATGCTTGTTAAAAAGGGTTACAGTTAGATATTTAGTATAAAGCAGACATTACAGCCTTTACGCTTAAACATTTCTTGATTCTCTCTTGTACTTGGACTCAGGTGAATGCGGATGTTGTGGACTTAGTTCGTCTGTCTAGTGGAAAGTTTGTTGAGTTCAGCGGATCGACTAAGTCTGTTGGATGTTTCATCAGCACCAAAGCTGTTGGCTCCAATGAGCGACATGACATCACACACCAGTACAAGTATCCAGAAGGTAAAATACACACTTCAGTTCAAAGTAAACACAAGAAACCATAAATTAATTTCAGTTGGTGCAAAATCTTGATTATGAATACACCAGTTTGTGTGTTTTTCAGTCAGTGCAGTGACTCCTTTCCTACCACATTATTATGTTATAGTTTCAAATGGCGTTAATGAGTAATCCTGATGGTTTTCAGGTTCAAAAGAAGAGAGGATGGTGTATGAGAAGGCCCAGCACCACAACAAGCTACAGAAAAAAGGGGAAGAGCCAGGAATTCATCTCAAGGTTTTTGTGTAGATTAAGTATTTGCTCAGAGCACTATATCTGTAGCACCAAGCATATAATGTATATATATATTTTTTTACATACATGTGCTCATCAATTTGAATCCAGGCTGTAAAAAATCATTCTGATTCTCATATAAGATCAAGCTTGCTGACAACATGATCGTGGGCTCAGACTTTGAGGTGTACGCAATTATCAAGAACAACTACATGAAGGCAAGAACCTGCACCTTCCTCTTCTTTGCCAGAGCAATGGGTTACAACGGAAAACTTGGAGACAACTGTGGATTTTTGTCAGAAAAAGTGGAAGTTCCATCTGGAGGAGGTTTGCTCAGCGCCGAGTTTGAGCTTTTGAGAGTGTTCTTAAATCATGTCAAGATTGTCAGGATGGTTTTGGCATTCGAGTAAAAGCAAAATTATATACTTTGCATTTTTTCTAGAGAAGCGTATCTCCCTCAAGCTGGAGTATGACCTCTACAAAAACGCAATCACCTCTGACAGAATTATCCAGTTGACAGCCATCACCATCGACAAGGAGACCGTAGATTACCATAAAGCTGAGAAGACCATTGTGCTAGATGAGCCAGAAATAGAAATCAAGGTAAGAATAGACTGGATGTCTTTTTTAACGACTATCACAATAATCTAAAACCAACTAAGCTTGAGACCCTCACAGCTCTGGACTTTAGTTAACTGGTAAATCATAAGTTGAACAGCGTGTTTTTATCTGTCAGGTATTTTCTGTCCCTCTGGTTCATAAAAGGTGTAGATTTTCATTTGATGTAAGCTGAACTCTTCTCTGCAGCTGGTGGGTGAAGCCACGTTGAGCCAGCCTGTCAGAACCGAGCTGACCCTGGTGAACCCTTTACCAGAACCACTGCAGGACTGCAGCTTCACTGTTGAGGGCGTTGGACTCACAGACGGCAAACCCATAACAGCAAAGTATGTCCTACCACCAACATGTTTTCATGTCATTTGGATCTGGATCAAATCAGATTAAGTTAATGTAGGGTTTAAAGCAAAGGGTTGGTTTTGTGTTTTAACCAGTTGTGTTGTTTATTTTAGGCTAGACACGGATGATAAAAATAGAATAGTTTATCTATTTATTTCAGGTGCAGTTTCTCATTTTAAGCTCTTTTGCACTCTTACAGGGTTGGGACTGTGGGCCCCAAACAAGAGGCCAAGGCCAGTATTGAGTTCAAGCCAACCATTGCTGGCTCTGGCGCGCTCCTGGTGAACTTTGACAGTGACAAGCTAAAGAACATCAAGTGCTCCATCAGTGTTGTGGTGAAAGAATGAGCAAGTGTACAGTCCAAATGGGCAGCTGGAATTTCTTTTTTTTTTCTTGTGACGTTTGAATCATTAACAATGTTGACAGCGAAGAACCTCATGCTGTATCTTTTTAAATCAAGTCATTATTTGTATCCAGTTAATATACGAGAACATACTAACCATCTTAATACATTTTTTGTAATTCTGTTTAAAAAGAAAGCTGTGTGTTGTGCCTCAGTAACCTCCAACAGAACACATGTTCAGCCATAAAAACATCATGGCAGTGAGTTCTCTACATCACATATCATAAAGGTTTAATCAATCCAGATTTTGATATAATTAAATGATAACATGTAGACAATGGGAAAGTTGTGCGTGCTGTTCATTTACTGTTGCTCACAGTGTTTTGTTTGGTTTTTGTGAACCTACAAAGTGAACATCTCCACCTCGTGGACTGTTGGCCACATTACACCGCTTACATCCATGCTAAAATTTTACCTATCATACAAACTCATGCATATGCAGAATATCATATATATATATATATATATATATACACACACAAGTGTATTTAATTAAGATATTCAATCATTTAATTCTGCAATTCAAGAAAATGCGTCTCAAGGTTGTAATAAATAATTAACCATCCATGTGGTCAAGATATGACCAAATTACTGCCCTGTTAAACTATGTAGACACTGACACGTACAAAGAATACTTTAATTTACTGGACACGAAAATGTATTTTATTTCTGATGTGGCATCAAATTTTTAATATCACATCTAAGATAATCAGGGTTGTGTACAGAAGTAAATGCACTTTTAAATTTGACCATCACATGTTCATTGTGTCATATGGCTCATATGGCCCCTCTTTTGACTAGTATATGCCAGTGTCACTGATGTCCACCCTCAAGACCGCTTCGCCAGTGTCTGACATGGAAGCACTGACAATAACAAAGTCACCCTCATAAGAAATGTTGGAGCCATCAGCCTTTCCTCTTACAAAATTATTTTCACTTCCATTGTACATAGTATCATAAAGACTGTGGTCACAGTAGTTTCCTTTGGCAAGGATCCCCACAGCACACCAGTTGGAGTAGAGGATTCTGTCATAGGGCACAGAAAACATAACTGCCATGATGTGGCTGTAGTCATTCAAGTCTGCATTGAACAGATCATATGTGAAGACACCGACAGCTCCCGTGGCAGCGCCGGTGGTCTTGTTGAAGTGCGCTTTGACAGCCGAGCAGGGACCAACCATGGGCGGCAGAGGGACCTCACAGTAGCCGCTCTCAGTGAACACCCTGAAAGTCAACATGCAACTGGTAAGGTTGGTCAAAACTAGCTTTGAAATTCAGACAGTAACTGAAGTATTAGTAACATAGGCAAATATATTAAATATTTTGGCTTTTGGTCTAGCTACACTTTGAGTATTCAACTTCTAAATCATCAAGGTTGATAATGTATTCATTCATAATCAATTTTCCATTTCAAAGGTCATGAGTGTCTTAAAGTTTGATTGATCAAATACCTTGAGAAAAGTTTAAAAACTGCAAGCATTAAAATAGTTGAAAGAGGCCAAGAAAAACAGAGGTTTTATGGTAGGTTGTGCGCTGTGGGGTACATGTCACTCCTTTAAAAATACAGAATGACAAAATCGTTACTGAATTTTTGTTTGTTATAGTTTTCACTTTATGTTTTATGCACCCCAGAAGCATTCCTACTTGAGTTATGCTAAAATGTATGAAGACCATCAGAAGTTTTAAAGCAGTTTGTCACCTTGGATTGGCCAGAGTGTAGCAGTTTGAGTTGTTTGATATCTCAACAAGGCATTGGCGGTGAGGCATTGTGGTGAAAAGACAAGACGGCAGCTGTGAAATAGAGTCAAGAAAGAAACATTTCACTTATGATCAATGAGTATCAAAAGGTTGATAAGCAAATATGTCAGAAACAACAACACAGTTTTAAAATGTGGATATTTGGAGAGCTTTACATCGACCACCAGTGTCAGCTACTCTAACTCAGGCTCACAGATACAGCACATTTTTTCAGCAAAGCCACTTACCTTCGTTTCCGTCTGGTAAACCAAAGAAACCTGAACCAGTAGTTCGAGCCCACAGAAAGCAAACTAAAAAAGCACATGAGCTCCTTGCACAGCAGGCTTTATTGACCCAGGCAATCAGGTCCTTCAGGTACCAGCTGACATCCTTCCTATCACATGTTGACTATCAGCCTCCTTCACCTCTGTGTTGCCAGACATTTTCTACCTCTTATCACCAGCATAAGATTGGATTAGGCTGATTAAATCAAGCTTGTTGAAACCCGGGTTGCTGACTCTTAATGTGTTAGTCTGTTACAGAAAATTAGAAATAATCATCTTCAACCTTCTGAAAAACATGCTTTATCAAAACAGAGGAAGCTCAAAGCAAAGGACACAGAGGTAAAAATGTTCAAATACCAGGATTACGATCTGAAACAGACCAAAAGCAATTCATTTACAAACAGAAACATTAAAAGATAAAGAGTTCAAAGCTGAAAATAGGACAAAACAGGGGTAGAAAATGTGTTTGAAATGTGTTACTGAGAAACAGCAGAATATAACAGCTATTTATTGAAAGGTAATCAGCTAAATACATCAGCAAAGATTTCAAATATTTGTGGGCATATAATTTGATTCCATGAGAAATTCAGCAATATTTGGAAAAAAACATAACATTATTACAAACAATGAAATAATTACTCAAAAGCCCTCTTTGCTGCACTGTTGTTTATTTTATAGAACAATGCAGTGGGATTTTATTCCTCCACCTCACCCTTCTGCTCACAGGGTAATTGCAAGGAGAAAGGGTTAAAAGAGGCAGCATAATCAGCCATGTTGCTGATCCCAGACACCACGCAGCAGCTCAGCGCGCTGCGGGAGACGTTCATGTTGCGGGCTTCCGACCACTCATGAGTTCTGACGTCATAAAACTCAACATCGAAGATGGTGTCGGAACCGTTGTAGCCTCCCATGACAAAAAGGCAGCCGTTGATCACTGAGATGCCAAAGTTGCTGCGGGGGCACTGCATGGGCGGCATGCTGTACCAGCTGCAGGTGAAGGGGTCGTAGGCCTCCGCAGTGGGCAAACGTTTGGTTCCGTTGAAGCCGCCGACCTGTGCAAGAAAGTTGAATGAAAATTATGAAACAGCCTTCAAGGTAATCTCAATGTTTGATAGAACATGGTGCCATGTGACCCAAAGTTTTTTAAATATCTTTTAATTCAAAATAGTATTAAGGCAACATAGAATCTGTTTAAGTGTCCCTTGATGTGATAAATAAGAATTTCAAATATCCATTGTGAAGAGGAGAGGTACCATGTCACTGCGCAGTGTGTGGTCTTTGCTCATTTTAGTGACAAAAGGAGTGCACCAAGTAGAGACCTCTGATGCAATATGAAGGGAATTCCAATTAAGCAAAACCAGATCAGGAAATCAAACTGCAGTTGATTTTCTCCATGTTTAGCACTAAGAAAAAGGCAGTCATTGCTCTGTAGTTTTAACATATTTTCTTCTTATTTTCTTATATGCTTAATTTTAATTTTCAACATTTGATCTTTAGTCTTTTGAATGCTTTTAATTAGATACATTTTAAATGATTAGCAAATCAATGCTTACAATTTTTAATGATCATTTACTTCAATTCTATTGGGAGAGCACAGGTTAGTAATTGACAGTCGAGCAAAGGACTTTATCAAAGGTCTTGATCTTCTATAAAAAAAAATCAAAATAATCAAATGTAACAATGGTATTTGACAGTTGGGTTGGTTATGGAGGCTCAGTATTTATTTTGTGTACTTACTGCAAATATTTGGTTTGCATATGCGATGACCCCAACTCCACTTCGTCTGTTGCTCATGGGGGCAATCATTGTCCACTGGTTGGTGTTAGGGTTGTAACACTCAGCTGTCGATAGGCACTCTCTCCCATTGAAGCCGCCACAAACGTACACCTGTATCGAATTAAAAGAGACGGTTTTCCGTTAAAGAAAAGTGGATTTCAAAGTTTACTGTTAGAGATTTAGATCAATTGAGTTATTCTTTTTTTGTTGTTAGATTTATGTTATTTTGTTTTTTTAGAAGAAGCTCAGATTTCCCAGACCTACCCTGCCATGGAGGTTTGTGCAACTGGCATCACTCCTCTGCTCATGCATGGATGCGATTAAAGTCCACTGGTTGCTCCTGGGATCGTAGCGCTCAGCAGTTTCCAGTCGCTCGTGACCATTGTAGCCTCCCAGGGCATATATGTACCCGTCCATCACCGTTATGCTGACGAAGCAGCGGCTCGAGTGCATTGGTGACACTTCCTGCCAAGTGTGCGTGGTCAGTTCAAGTCTGTGCACGGAGCTGAACTGCTTCACACCGTCAAAACCACCAACACAATAAACTGATCCATTGAGAAAGACTGTGCCATGGTACGCCCGGGGGAATTTCTCTTTATAGTCTACGTTGACCCAGCGGTCTATGCGAGCATCATAGGCCTCGATTAAGTTGGTAGGCCCACCATTGCTCCAGCCTCCCAGAGCTAACAGGAGGTTGGGGGGCAGCCGAGGAGGGACCAAAGGTTTGCTGGTGAAAGGCATGTGCTCAAGTAAGGGGTCCAGGGTCTTCAGGATGATCAATCGACACTCTTGACTTGACTTTACAATCTCCTCTTCAGCCAGGTTGTCTATGATGTATTCTGGACTCATCAAAGTCAGTCTGACCTGCATGGAGACATGAGAACACGAGATGGTAACGAACAGTTGAAAGTACAGAGGTATGGATGATGTTACCCACACCAACCTAACAGATATTTCATGTCATCAATGCACTTGCATTGATTATGTCGCCTCCTGTACTCAACCCACTTTTGCCAAAACTGACTTAATGTTTTAATGAGACATATATCTACAAACTGTAAGAGGTAAACATTTTAACTTACTTACATTGGACAAAAGGAGAGAGTTGTGTTCTCTTCGTTCTTCGGGTGCAAAGGCGATCCATCGAAGGACAGCCTCATACACAGTCTCCTCCTTTCTCACAATGAGGTGATCACTCTGAATTATTTTAACCAGGTGTCGTACCGAGAGCATAAGAAACTCTTCTGAGGTGGCAACAACCTGCTCGAAATTGTTCAGAATGTAGAGAAGGGCCTTGTGTGTCAACTTGGGGTAGTAGTACGTGTCTGTGAACAACCAGAAGCCGATGCAGTTCTGCGGGGTCAGCTGCTGCTCAAAGAAATCGCTGCAGGCTTGTAAGATGCCCATTATGTTGAAATGATCCGCCGTTACGAAGAGCTCTTGGGCATTTTCGGGTGTCACAGGAACATGGCCAGTGTAGGCAAACTCAATGATGATATTCATGAGGTAAGATGACACGCCAGGAATGTCGAAGACACGGCAGTCTGGCGTTGACCAGTGCGTAAAGAGAGCCCTGTGAAACACGAAGGGGAGAAAACAAGGGGCTCATGAGACTCAGAATGAATATATATACTTATTTAGAGACCAGGTTATACCTAAATGCAACAAAAATTATATTTAGTTTTTAGAAACTGAAACCAAAAATTAATTTGTGAAAGAATTCAGAACAACAAATGAGTGAATTGAACTTTTCTCCTTTTTCAGTAATTCAAATATGGGTGACATCATACTTCATATCATTTAAAAGGGATTATTCCATTCAAACCACTAATCTTTTAGATTTTAATTTTATCTTATACTCAGAGCAATTCAGTATGCAAATCAAATACTTCTGTATATATTACAGTTTATTCTAAAAGTATGTTAATTAATACAATTTTTAACTTCGGCCTCTCTGGGAATCAGCATTGCCTGATAGGTTTTCAATTCAATCACTCATACTTCTATACATACTGGATGTTGTGCTGTGTAAGGTATGAATTTGCAGCATTTCCTTGAAACAACATGATAACCAACTCACCTGAAGTACGGGCTACAGTTACACAGGATGACCTTGTGCACCAGAAATTCAACGCCGTCTGCTCTGATCAAAGCGTCACAAAGCTGCTGCCTCAGACGGAACTCGTTATAGACCGAGATGTCTTCACTCATCTTCACTCTTCAGTGTAAAGCCTCTCCTACCCTGCTCACTCTTGACTTTTTACAGCTAAAGTGTGCGGATGTCATGAGAGATTGTTGAATTTTCCCACAGATCTTCAGCTGGGTTCTAGAATGGATCCATGTGACAACACAGAAGCCCGTTTGGACCAGAATTCCACTGATGAGTTCTCAGAAATAAGTCTGATTTTGTCCAGTAGTCTGGATGGTGGATCACCAAGAAGATACCACCTGATTATTTCTCAACTTTGCAATGAAAACTCTGACAACAGAAAAACCATTGGGTTTACACAAGGTGCAAATTCATGGGTTTCATTGTGGTAGCACTGCTTCCTCCCAGAGTCCCAGAGACAGGCTGAAATGGTGAGTGTAAGACGTTAATTTTAGGGACAATTGTGAGAGTCATGTGATGGATGGTAACATGTGCGGGGTGCACATGTACACCACCATATAAAACCTCCAAGTACTCAAACACTCTGGTCCAGTCAGCATTCACTTCATGCTGATGCACGTCCTGGGTTTGGGCTGTACTGTAGCGTTTTTACGTGGTGTTCAAACTTTGACATTGATGGTGTGGGTTTGCTGAGCATCGCAGTATGAAGTAGAAACTTTGCAACATACAAACATGTTTTTTGTTCAAAATGGTGCCAGTTTATTGCCATTGGCAGAATGACTTTCATTACAGAAAAAAACTACTCCTACCCATAGCGTCCCGGTCGTACAGCGTTACTGTACCGAGAAGCACAAAACCAGTAGGAAAGAGAGTATCTAAACACTATAATTAATTAAGTTCATCTGGGTTAAAAAGGTACTAGAATCCCGTCTTGTGTACAGCATCTGAAAGTTCATTTGACAGGAGGGATTACTATAGGCCAAACATCTGATTCATAACGCCGTGGACGACCCCACACTTTCTGTTAAAAAAAAAAAAAAAAAGAATTTTAAAAAAACACAAAGAAAGCTGTTGATCTTCAACACCCGTTTCAAACATTCTGTGCTTCCAAGCAAACAGGAAATGCCAATCAAGAGTTTACTGAATGGGATGGTTTTTCTCAGCGGGTCGGTCTGAACCACTGACTCGCAGGAATCCCTGATGGAATCAGTAGCAGCTCTGTAATGAAAGACCAGCGTTCCAAACATCATCTGTGGAGGATACAGCTCTCTCAAATGTCAGTTCCTACGACAAAGACTCATCGAGTGGTCAAAACAAACAAATTATAGAACTGCAGATGTCATGTTATACCTTTAATCGCTGGACTTCTAAACAATTAAGATAGAGCAAAGTTCAATTATTGATCATTATAATCATTGGGGGAATTTAACAGTGAACCATTATGTTTTTAGCAATAACTGCAAATGAAAAAGACTCTGGTCCATTTGACACTCACATTCATTGTCCCAGTTTTTCTTTGCAATTCCAAAACAGGTTCAAATAAATTACAATGGCTGAAAAGGTCATGAACTTGTCATTCTACCTTTAAGTTCCCAAACCCTGCAGACTGAAATATAACAACCTCAGCACTAACCTTTTCAGATGATATTGGATACGGTTCTACCATACACTTACATTCCAAATACTTTTTTTTCAAAGAAAACTTTAGATTCTAAATGTCCAGGATTTATTCATTTGACATTCAAATGAAGAAGACTAAGACACCAACTACAGCATCATTTTTTTTAGCATCTTTCCAAACTAAAGCATGTAAACTGGTACTTTTAGCTGCATTTGCTGTCTAAAGTGGAAAAAAAAAGGTTTGTTTTTGCAAAACAGAATACAAACACCAAAGTTTGCATGTTGACCTCATAATATCTGTCTGCGTGACGGACAGATCCTGTTTGATCGGAGAAGCGAGTGTGAAGCTACTGAGACGGGTGTGCTGTGTAACAGCTGTCGAACAACCAAAAAGCAACAACAACCAAAACCAAATGGATCTTTTTGCTAATCGTACACACGCATCAAAACTGTCTATTTGACTACGTGCCATTAAAAAGCCACCAACTGAGGGCCAAAGAAAATAGAACTAATAAAGGGTGCTTCCTTTTCACAGTGTAGCCATAACCTAGATGAACTTAGGGAGCAAATGCTCCGTCTTTGCTCGCCGACTGGACAGACAATTCGCACGTGAGGATGCTTTGACGTCGCTTCCAGTATTTAAAACGAAATAAAAACAATCACAAAAACAAACTTCCAAGCTGGTGGAGTAGAATCCTTGACGATCAGTCCAGACTGACAGAGTTCGCGGCCTCTGCAGAGCGCACTGATTCGAGCAAGCCCTCCTCGTCGTGTCTCGTCTCTTCCTCCTTCTCGCCCTGCAGGTCTGAGCTGGCTACTCTGCTGCGAGAGGTTTGACCACGTGTGCTCTCTGGAGAGTAGTTTTTGTGAATCAAACATGGGTCTGAGTTAGGCTGGGAAGGGGCACAGTGGTAGTTTATCTTCTCAAAGAGCTCTTAGTCGGTGGAGAAGAGGTCTCCGGCTGAGGGGAGCGGGGCCAGACCCCCGGTCACGTTGGGTAGGAGGGACAGATCCGGAAGACTCTGGATGTGGGACTTCAGCTCTTTTCTTACTTGTGTCACCCTTGCTAGTTTCTGTTTATATTCCTGCAGCAAAAAACAAGATACAGTACAAGTAGCATTTAATGCTTTACGTTTCAAAGAAAACCTTTGGAAACCATTTGAATCAAATAAAATAATAATAATTGATATAATAATAATTTTTTGCAATTTACACAAAAAAAAAGGTTTGGTCAAAACACCAGGTGGTTGTACAGCTACTGTGACTTAACCAAAGGAATTATGGCCAGAAAATACAAAGGCACAAAGTGATGGACTCAAACTGACAGTGGTTACCTCCAGCTTCTTCTCCCTCTCCATCAGCGCCTCCTTCTGGCTGCCGATGTACTCGGTCAGCATGCGAGCCAGCTGCCTGCGGTCCTCCAGCTCTGCCGCCAGCCGCCCGTTGTACTCCGCCAGCAGCAAGCAGGCCTCGTCCACCGTTTTTGACAGTTTGTCTGCTGCTTCTTTGTCTAAAATAGAGTTAAAGGAAGTTAGTTACAATATATTCTGTCTCAGCGTAAACTGAACTAAGTCGTTCTGGGTCAGACTGTGATCTAAATCACTCACAATATTAAGTTATAAACCTGATTCTTGTAGCACTGAATTTCTGAATCACTGAATTTCAAATATGTACAATAACCATTATCAGGTATTGTTTTTATAGTTTGTGCATCAGATTGTTTTATTCTAACCATCTTTTTTTAACTCACACTTTGGGTAGAGAGGAAAAACTGGGAATGGTAAATCCAGCTGGAAGGTCTGCCCTTACCTGTGATCTTCTCCAGTAGAGAAACATCCTGGACTTCCTGTGGCAGGGAGGCGATCTTCTGACGAACGGCCGCGTCGCCGGAGGCAGCGTTTTCCAAGTCTTGCAGGGCTTTTACCAGCTCCTCAGTCTGGAGAAAAAGATTCACATTTAAGTTAGCTTAAATCCTGCATAGCTCAGGATGATTCTGCCTTCATCCAACCACTCCTTCATCTGTTAGAAACAGCACACTCTCAGTCTGATCGAAGTGTGGGCTGGGCCCTCACCAGCTGAGTCGCAGAGGCTTCTGAGTTGCGGGGAGAAGAGTGACTCCTGTAGTCATCATCGTCGTCTTCTTCATCTTCCTGGATCTTCTGATAGCTTCGTTTCACAGGTTTCTTCTCCTCTGCGTGGTCAAGTGTAGAAAAAAAAAACGTAACAATATTATAATATTCCGAAATAATGCAGTTTATTTAAAACAAAAAAACAATTTCTCTCAACTCATTTAACATTTTTACAAAAACAAACAAACTACATGTTTGTGCTGTCAATCACCTCATTGACCGCCAGCGGTCAACTGCCAGGTCTTGCCAACATTCGTGTGATTCATTCAGTAAATGAAATAAACATGTTTAATCTCTAATACTAAGTCAGAAATTATCTCATAAGTGGTAGTTTTACCTTGTAATTTATGTGAGCCGTGAAATTAAACTTTTCTACGATAATCACGCAAAAAAAAAAAAAGAAAGATTATGCTTGTCCTACCTGAGGGCCTGGGGCTGTTCGAGTCCTCTATGGCCAGTTTGAGCTGCTGGATGAAGTCACCTCTGTAAAGGCTTCTCTCCTTCCAGATGTTCAGTAGTCGCTCCATGTGCTTTTTACAGTTCTCGTCAGCTTCACTGCAGGAAAACAGCAGGATGAGTGGAGGACAAGCCGAAAAAAAGATTTGGAAACAAGTTGTTGACAATTCCCGAAAACAAAACAACTCCTCTTTACAAAAATCCACCGTAACGAAAATTAAACAGGTTGTGTTTGTCAGACTGTATTTCTGTTTTTTGATCAACAAACTGTGAGTCTCAGAAAGAGTTCAGAAAATGAAGTGCCAACATAAAAGTTTGAAAGCCGTGTCAGTCAGGTGACTTCTTTAAACTCTATTTGTTGCCTCGGGCCCTTCTTTTACTTCTCTTCACTGGAACAGCAAAAATGGAGTTAAACCTCAATGACTCGATACCTCTAACATCCTCTTCGCAGACTTTAACCGTATGAACTATTTATACAGACCACAACATGCAGTTTTTCTGGGAACAATGTTTAAACGTATACCTGGCAACGTGAGAGCAGGCATCCACCAGTACAGTCTCAAAGTCTTTGGTGAACTCTGGTCCTTTCTTCTTGCTGTTCTGGATGACATCGTTCGCCAGATAGAGGAACGTCAGCTTCCTGTTACTTTTAGCTGAGGGTCACATGAGAGAAACTGTATTTCAATACTGATGCCATTGCACATCATCTTCTTCATCACATCTGGCACACTACAAAGTTTTACAGAGAAGCATCAGGCTGTTGCAGCTCACAGACGGACAGGACCGGACAGAGAGACCTGTGCAGCAGCACATCTCATCTCATTCATTCATCCTGACGCTTTATTTTACTGCTTCGAGAGTCAAATTATCCAGAAAGTGATCATCACAGTCACTAAGTAAACTGACAAAACTTACAGCACAAAGAAGAGAAGCATCTGACGCTTGGAGAACAATTCAATATCCTGGTTTAAAAAAAAAAAGATGTAATCTCTTTTGTACTTTTTTAGCTCCCCATGTGTAGTTTTATTTATCTGGAATTGTGAAATATTAAGTTATAACACCCTGTTGACTGTGTGATTATCCTTCAGTGTTTTCATTCTTTGCATAAATTAGGCAAACACTGAGGAACTTAGCAGTATAAAAACAGGTAGATGGTAAAAAGTTAGGTTACATCCAGATGATGATAACGTCTCATCTGTATGACAGCAAACCTGGTAATGATGCACCAACAGCTGACACCTGAGTTACTTGTCCTTTCAGTTCAAACTTACAAGTGACCTGTTTAGGGGACTCCCAGGTTCAACACTGAATAAAAAGCAGCGCGATCGGCAGGGGTTAGATCTCACCTTTCTTCAGCTCTCGGTGCCAGACTTTGACGATGAGGCCCGAGTGTTTGCGGTGGTGGATGATCCACAGAGACAGAGTCTGGACGCTCTGCTGCGAGCTGCTCAACTCCAACAGCTTCTTCTCCAGGGCCGACTCCGAAAAAGACGACATGTCGGTGACAGTGTGTTTGCTTTCCGACCCGTTCTAAAGCAACTGAGGTCTGAGCTATTCTGCATAAACTCGCACCGTCATCAAACCCCCCTTAGCTAACAGTTTACGCCGCTTCAAACATGCTCTACCTGACTTCACGATGGCTCTTAATGAACTGAGTTATTGATTTGATCCACAGAGCAAAGCAGCAGAGAGTTAATTTGCAGGTGTTGTTTGTTTACAGCCTCAGCTAATGTTAGCTAGCCGAGCTGAGCAGCCATCTGCAGAGCAGTGCAGCCCTGAGCTATTCTGCACTCAAGCGCGACTGAAAATAGACAAAACTCCTGAAATATTTCGGTATAATATGCCGCACACACCCGCGCATGAAACAACACTTTCAGAGTGTGTTTTTTTTTTTAAAACACACTTTAGCTTTGGCTCCCCAAACTCCCAGAAAAAATCTCCTCGAAAAAATGGCAGCTTGCACTTTCACCTCGACATGTGCGTCGCACATGAGTGACGCAAGCAGAACCGGGGTTCCATTCTCTTTATCCGGGATACACCATGAGGATGGGGGTATAAACAGGTCTTATTATATTTATATTTATAAGGGCTTACTTAAATGTTAACAATGTAACACAAACTATGCTAAACTGAACGAGAATCAGATCGTGAACTTTAATCTTTCTATTTGGAAGCGGTTAAAACCAGTTTAGAGTTGCCAGTTTTGACCAGTTTTAAGTCATTGGTTAATCTATTTAAAACTACATTTATGATTGAAGAGGGAAAAAAGTGCAATGTATGGACACACAACAATACAATGAAATTATGTGATGATAAACAGAGTCATTACAACACCATGTATTTAAAAGAAATGCAGAAAGACACAGAATGTTATTATTTATTTATAAGATTTTACTAACATATTTAATTTGGAATACTATAGACAGCTTATTGAAATTTAATTTCATTAAATTAATTTTTTAGATAGTGATAGCAGAGAGTATTTGGGAAACTTTCAACACTTTGTTGCATCACTGTGTTTGAATAACATAGTTTGTGATTAGGCATCAAGAAGACTTGTGCACAACGCCAATTCTTTCTTCTTTACTATTTTTCCTCATCCCCTACCTTCTCCTACGTCATTTCATAGAAGTTCCTATTCAGATCAGGGAGTAATGATGAACACTTCAAAGTGTGCCTTGTGGGATATAAGATTACTTCTCCTTAATATCCAATGCTTTTTAAACCACTACAAGAACAATTGAGTTACATTGTACATTTGATTCTTTTCCTGCTGTCGACAGTTTCAGTGTATGCGAATTATTTCTAATTTTACAACATCATCAACAACAAAGACGAAGAAAATTTAATTAGGCTGTCTTACCTATTACAGAACACTTGTTCCGGGGGACGAAGCATTCTTGATGCAAATGTTTTCTCTCAAATCTTTATGGCTGAACAGACAAACTCATTTTCATGGACATTTGCCTTCATGGTGCTGTGGTTGACAAAATGCACACTATTCCAATCAAAACAGTGGCTTTGGAACCAGGATGCTGATAGTCATCAGTCAAATAGTATGTGTATACAACCGGTGTGTTTGGTAAATTTAGGCTCAAATATCAACCAAAATGCAAACTGAGCCACACCTTCAAATGACTTTTGCATGACAGATTTTAACTTGTTCAAGCGGAACGTTAATGTAGTGAATGTTTTGTCCAATATCTGTAAGAGAATATGTGGAATTGATAGAATATTTAATGGGCAGCATTCACATTAGAAACATCTTAGAACAAGTTAACTTAAGTGGGATAACGTGTTATATTGTAAAAAATAAAGTAATACCAAATGTGAGATTATCTCTGCAAAGTTAGATAAGATTTTTAGTTATTATGAATGTATTACACATAGGTTTGATTATTTAAGTCTTTAGTTGTTTCATAGACTGAATATTAATCATATAAATCAGCATCATTGTAATTGTGCCAATCAAGGTGTTGTTCTGTGATGTGCAAATAATTTATTAGAGCAAGAGAATAAATGAAAAATAAATAATAAAAGGATAAATCAATAACACTCTTCAGTTGTGAAAATGAAAATGCATACACTACTAACAGAAATTAATAAACAATACTGCTGAAATATTTACAGCATTGACATTTTATGGCTAAAAATCCCTTTATATGAAGGCAATACAATCTTTTAAAAAGCATTGTAGAATCCCGGCAGCTTTGATTACTTTTTAGAGCACCTAAAAAGAAAAGTGGAGTCCAATTCTTTAGATCCCTTAAATGTGGAGTACATGGAAGATCTCCTATTGGGGGCAGATTTATAAAACATCTTCAATAAACGTAATAATATTTTGAGCCCAAAAAGCAGTTTATGTTTACTTGTTAAAAATTGTTTAGCACTTTTGGGTTTTTTTTGTGCCTTTTTATGTTTTTTGTGTTGTTTTGTTTTACAATTCTGCAGCTCATTTTGATAAGAGGAAACACAACACCCCTATAAACAAATAAGATATGCAAAGACTCTTCTCCGTAAAAGCATTTCCTAGAATGATACGACCCCTCCTTTAGAAAGTCCACGCACTTAAATACAGCCTACAGCTCGTTGTTACAGGCTTTGCTGAGCTACAGAGGCAAAAGGTGAAGGATGTTTCTGGCTCTGTTTCTGCCCCTCGGCTCACTGATGCTTCAGTTTACTGCAGGTGAACTGGATTATACCTCTCAGGCACAGGGAATGCAATTGCAGGGTGATTATTCTTTTGCCGGACTGTTTCCTCTCCACTACACCGACGCACCGAGTGATGGTTTGCCCGCTTTGGTTCCATGTGATCAGTAAGTTTTTCAACCTCCAGTCCCAATGATCAGTTTATAGTCTAACTCTAAAATATTTTTAACCTTTCATACGTTCAATGAAATCTGTTTCAGAGGTAGACCCAACAAGCATGCATTCCACCTAATGCAAGCCATGAGATTTGCTGTGGAGGAAATCAACAATGGCACCGGCCCACAGCACCTCTTGCCAGGGGTGAAGCTCGGCTATCAGATATATGACATCTGCTCGATCCCAGCCAGTGTTCTGGCCACATTTGACCTTCTTGAGCAGCAGTACCAGAACCCATCCGAACCTGAGGTAGAGGAACACACACAGCTGAACTCCAGCAAAGCTCAAAGGGCAGTGGCTGTGATTGGCCCGGACAGCAGCAGCAAGAGTTTCACACCTGCCGCTTTACTGGGGTCCTACCTGGTACCACAGGTAAGATACCATCTGGAAAGCTCTAGTCATCTCCTTTAAATGTTCCACAATTTAACCAAAGGGATAAAGATGTCATTAAATCATTTTTCCTGTCCTCATTAAACATAGATCTCCTATGAAGCATCAAATGAACTGCTGAGCAACAAGCTCCTCTATCCCGCTTTCTTTCGCACAATCCCCAGTGACAAGAACCAGGTGGCAGCTATGATCCAGCTCCTGGTCCGGTTCAACTGGACCTGGATCGCGCTCTTGGGCAGTGAAAATGATTACGGGCTGCAGGGGATGCAGAGCCTGTCAGAGCAAGCGCCACAACACGGCATCTGCATCCCCTACCAGGGAGTCATCCCCACAGCCGGCGACGACACCGTCCAGACCATGAGGACGATGGTGGACAACATACTGAAAACCAAAGTCAGCACCGTTGTGGTCTTCTCCAGCAAAACGAAGTTTCGCGGCTTCCTCCCATTTGTACTTGAGAGGAACATAACCGATATGGTGTGGATCGGGACGGAGGACTGGTCGCCGTCTACCCTGATATCGGGGATTCCCGGGATTCACACCATCGGCACCGTGATCGGAGTGTCCGTTAAAGACGCGTCTATCTCCGGCTTTCTGGACTTTCAGAAAAAGGTATTTGAGGCGTCAATGCAGCACGCCACCGAAGGCCCAAACGTTACCGTGAGCGGCGGCGACAGCTGTCTCCAGAGCACAGACCTGTACGTGCTCGCCAGCAAGAATTTCAGCATGGACAAGTACGACACCACCTCGTCCTTCAACGTGTACACGGCAGTTTACGCCATGGCTCATGCTCTGCATCGAGCACTCGGTTGCGATGCCGGAGAGTGCAGAAAGAGAAGCCTGAGTCCACACGAGGTGAGCTGGCGCAAAACAATAACCACGATAACCTGCCGATGATTGGACGATCGAGTGAACGTTTTCTTTCTTCTCCATGTCAGCTTCTGCCATTTCTTAGGCAGGTGCGATTCTCTCTGGACAACTCCTCTGTGTATTTCGATGTGAATGGTGACCCACCCACAGGGTATGATATTGTTTCTTGGGTTTGGAGGGGGACGCAGTGGTCCCTCAGAGTGGTGGGCTCTTTCATGCCAGATCCCCTCACGCTCACGGTGGATGCTGACCGGATAGAGTGGCACAACAGAGGAGACTCAACATCGGTGAGAGGGTTTCAGGTGGTGATAAAGTCACAAATGAAAATAGATTTCTTTTTTTTTTAAATAAAAAAAGAATAAATTGCTGGTTCTTGTACATCTCTCTAAATTGCTAATCTAGTCCCAGCTAAACTGTGCACTGTGCTTTGAGTGTGAGTGTTATCTGGCTTTACCTACATAGAGATTTCCTGATTGAATAATTGCGACAAATATTTCTCCTCTTTTCTTTAAAACTGCCGCAGGTGCCGCTGTCCGTCTGCTCCCCACCCTGCCCGAAAGGTCACAAGAGGCTGCTGACTGGCCAACACATGTGTTGCTTTGACTGCCAGGCCTGTCCAGCTGCCACCTTCCTCAATAAAAGTGGTGAATAAAGATGAAAAGCACAGGAAGTACTGGGAAAGATATTAGAAATAGAAATAAAAGGACCAATATTGAGTTGTTCAGTGAACAACAGTTAAAGTATCAGATTCTTTTCAGTAACTTCAATTTGGTACATTTCAAATTTAAATATGACATCATTTAAATTTCACATTTACATTTTTAATTCACCTGAATATTGATATTCAATTTATAGAGCCCTATTGATAGAAACATTTACTTAATGTGAAATCTTTTTTAAGCTTTTCATGATATATTTTGATGAATGTAATAATATTAAGTAAATCAAATAGGACATCTTTAGATATATGTAGCATCTCAGTTAAATGTTTGAATAGGCTTTTTCAGATTAAATCCTTCTTTTTTAGATCTCTTTTGTGCTTTCCAACCTTGATAACTCTAATGATAACAATTCTTCAGTTGCCAATTTAAAGAAAATGTATAGCTGTTTGTGGCTGTGCCCAGTAGATGGCGCATAATGCTCATCACACCGGTGTGACGCTGAAGCCAAATGAAACAAACAAACAAAAAAAAGAAAGAAAGAAAAAATTACAACTGTGCATGCTTGACTGATGTTTGCTTTTGTTAGAGCTGACAGAATGCCAGCCGTGTCCGGCGGAGCAGTGGGCTCCTCCGGAAAGCGAGCGGTGCCTGAACAGAGCCGTGCTGCTGCTGGCCTGGGACGACCCTCTCTCCATCGCCCTGCTCTTCTTTCTGGCCGCGTGCCTCCTCCTGACCTCCGGCACCGCCATAATCCTCCTGGTCAACCTGAACACGCCAGTGGGCAGGTCTGCCGGCGGCCGCACCTGCCTGCTGATGCTGGCAGCCCTGACCGTGGCCGCCTTGAGCACGCTGTGCCACTTTGGCCAGCCGTCCCCGCTGGCCTGCATCCTCAAGCAGCCTCTATTCACCGTCAGCTTTTCAGTCTGCCTGGCATGCATCACTGTGCGCTCCCTCCAGGTCGTCTGCATTTTTAAGTTTGCCTCCAAACTCCCGCCCATCTACGACAAGTGGGTGAAAAAAAGTGGGCCCGAGATCACCATCTTTCTAGCGTCTGTGGCCATCGTGTTCATATCGGTGCTCCGCGTTGCTCTGGACACTCCGCGGCCTTCCCAGGATCTGGAATTCTACTCCGACAAAATAGTGTTGGAGTGCAGCAAAACCATCTCGGTGGGCTCGGGCATTGAGCTGGCGTACGTGTCGCTGCTCAGTATGCTGTGCTTCTCCTTCAGTTACATGGGAAAAGACTTGCCGGCCAACTACAACGAGGCTAAGTGTGTCACCTTCAGCCTCATGGTGTACATGATCTCCTGGATTAGCTTCTTCACCCTCTACCTCATCAACAGGGAAACGTTCACCATGGCTGCTCAGGTGTTTGCCACACTCTTCAGTGTGCTGGCCTTCATCGGAGGATACTTCCTTCCAAAAATGTATATTATTGTCCTGAGGCCACAAATGAACACGACAGCACATTTTCAGAACTGCATCCAAATGTACACCATGAACAAACAGTAGGGCCTGTTTGACAAAGGCCTGTTTTAGATTTTATTGATAAGATTTGGAAGGAAATTGTCTGTGGAAAGTAGATTGTTCCTCAAAGAAATAAAAGTCTAATCTTTAAGACTATTTCCGTTATGTTTACTGACTTTCTCAAAGAAACACTTTTACAGTTATATTCAAAAGTCAAATAATTGACTTTCCTTTCCTCTAACTGTGTTCCGTCTCTCCAGGCATTGATATTCAATTAAAATGCAAATTTCTAGCTTTTCCCTCTAAAAATGCTCCACCTCCTGACCTTTGTTTACATTACCATAAATGACAACACAATTTGTAACCTTAAGAAGCCAATAACTCTCCACTTGTGGTTCTACTAGAACACAATGCACGTCTATATGAGGGAGGCTCTTTCATTTTGTTTCCCAACAATATATTTTTTAAAAACTAGTTGAACGTGTCACCACATCTTAAAAAAAGCAATATACGTGCTTTTGATGTTTTCTCTGAGGTGAGGCTGCTGCATCAGTGGGCTATTACAGCTTATAAACGTCATTTTTGTTCTCATTAAAAAATAAAGATTGCTATTTCTTTTCACTCAACAGGACGTAGCAACCTTTTGCAAATAAATACACCATTGGTCTGTCTGTCTGTGTGTGTGTGTGTGTTTGTGTGTGTGTGTGTGTGTGTCACGCACACACACGCACCGCTGCCGTTGGCTGTTGTTTGAGAAGAGAGATGAAAGGGCCTTTTGTAACTGGGAGGTCAGCACTATTGACCAGTAGATGTGTGAGTAGAGTCCGATCTCGGCTTTCCCACAGTCTCTCTGTCCACTCACAGCCTAATACCCTCGGTCAACAATCGAAGTGTGCCATGGCTGAACAAGCAGCGGTTTTATTGTCACAGCACAAAGGAGCGGGGCAGGGTGCTCTGGAGTTCAGGCGCCTGATTTCACATCTTAGTTTGAAATTTATTAGTGCTCATTGTAGAAACCTTAATGCGTGGTGCTCATTGACGCTAAAAGATCAGATATTTTGCAGAAAATAAGTGCATACCTATCTGTCACAGCGGCAAATGAATCTGTGATATTATTCTTTTGAATTATTCCCCCTAAATCCAATTAATGCAGTAAGCAGAGGTTTAATTATTCCCTGGATGGGCATCAGGTGCTGCGGTGTGCGTTCCTCTGAGTGACTGGAGACGGAGATAAGCGGCGGCTTCTGATGAGAGATGGACAAAACATTATTCTTAACCTGGCATATTTTACGGGAATGGTTTTATCTTCAGGAGCCAGCTTGTGACAGCTCCACCTCTTAGTTATTGATGTCCCTCCGAGCTTCTGCAGGTCCCAGCCCTGCCTGGGTCACGTGGCTTTGTTATGCTAATGCCACACCGTTCAACTGAGGAGAAGCTCTCTCAGAGATATCAGAGCTGGCGTCCCGGAGAAGCAGCTCCCTCCACCCGCACACAGATGCGCCACCAAACGCCTCACCAAGCACACCTGGAGCTTTGGGGAAAAGTGGGTGTGAACCAGGGATCATTTCAGATCCTGTCTCTGCCTGTGCTGTACAAATGTTTCAGTGTTTGTTGCAGAGTGGAATCAGGGTGTTACCTTTCTGTCCTCTCTGGCCGAAAAAACGATTGTGGGGAAAATTAGCAGGGATTGTAACCTGCCCGTGCCGTGTTTTTAGAGTTTCTCTGTATCAATTAGGACATTTGTGATTGACGTCTACAGTGTTTAGGCAAGAATTTATGTTAAATCAAGTTTGAGTCTATGACTTTTGATTTAAATTTCCATCAGAAAGTTTCAAAACCCCTACTCATTTTGGTTTCAGAAAAATAAAGACAGTAGCAAATCATACCTGCCATTAACCCACAGGTGGTGTTATCCTTTAAAATGGAAATCAAATTCACGCTGTCAGGAGTTCTTTTTAAATTTGTGGATATTGCTCACAAACATTCGGATTTCATCTTGTCTCTCATTTAAATTATTTCTAGATTTCATCGAAAAAGTTCAGATTGATAAAATTAAGTAAAAACTGTACGTTTTTCTTACTTTGACCCACTCCCATCTGGAGTTTTATACTGACAATTTATGTAAGGTTCTGAGATAAATGATTGGAAACGATTGGTCTTTAGATTCTGAAATATTTAGTTGTGCAGCATTTTAAAATGCTTTTATATTATCTACAATGTAAACTCATATAATTGTGTTTTCAGGTTGTCAACGTTTGCTCCTCAGAGCTGTTGTTATGTTAGTGTACCAGCCCTTTTTACCTGTAATGTGTGTGCACTGTGTGGAAATACTCTGCATTACTGGATGAGTCATCTTATGATTGAGTTCAAAACCATTTTTAAAACACAGTCATGGAGAAAATGAACATACTGTGTTTTACGATGATTGTTTCTTTTTTAATAATTGTCATACAAACACCAGAAATAAAATTGCCGAAAAGTGACATCAAGACGTTATAGACACACGAGAAGACATCGTCACCATTCAAAACAGCATACTTAATTCAGAAGAGAAATATTCTCAACAGGAGCTTTCAGTAAAACACAGCATGACAGATACATATGCTGTTACATCAAGCAGTCCAACGATCAACTCCACTGGAGTAAACAACCACATGATTTGGCAAAACTAGCATCACTCATAATCATCTCCAGCTTTAAACACAAAAGAACGAACATATCAAGTCAAAGCAGGACGATCTTCAACGAATGAGAGCCCATCGCTTTTACTCGTCCACCAATGTGATGAGACAATAAGCAAACCCACAGTGAATGAGCCCAATGGAAATATATTTCCTACACGATGAGGGAGACAACAGCCTCCCTCAGATCTCAGAGTGTTTGTGGGTTTCTACCAAGGCCTCCACACGGGGCCTCTGCTCCTGCCGTCCGGCAGGGAGGTGGGCCTGAGGGTGGAGCAGGCGGAGGAGCAGAGGCTGGCTCTCTGGGTCTGATGGAGTGTCTGGTTCTGCGGCCGGAGAGCCTGCAGAGGGGCGGCGGGGGGCTCTGCGCCGGTGCCGGCGGAGGGGGGGGCCAGCAGGGAGTCCCTCCAGCAGGGAGGGAAGCCCGGGCCGCCGCACAGGCCCGACTGCAGCTGCTGCCTCAGGAAGCTCACCGTCATCTCCAGGATGTCGGCCTTCTCCAGCTTGGAGTTGGGCTCCTGCTTGTGAAACTCCTTCTCCAGGATGAGTCGGAGCTGCTCGATGCAGGTGTTGATGCGATCGCGGCGCATTTTCTCCACAACAGGCTTTCTTAACTGAGGAAGAGGCAACAGACATGTTAGCTTAGATTTCAAAGCAGAAAGAGAGTAAAATATCATTTTCAGATATAGTAAAATATATTTGTATATAGATCTGTACTCACTTTGATGTTGTCCTTCTCAGACATCCTTGTGTTGTGCATGGAGGAGTAGCTGTTTGAACAGGGGGCCATGTCTGGGCAGGTAAGGTGAGATGCTTCCTCTGAACAACACTATTAGCTCTGAGGTCTCTGGAGGAGCCGCTCCTCATTTTATACCCTGTGATTAGCATAACAAAGCCATGTGGCTGGGGCAGGGCTGGGGTTCCCACACTCTGACCGCTGGGACTCCCGGCCCCATACAATGAGGACATGTCAATAACTCAGAGGGAACGTATCTGTGCTCGGTATGTTTCCCAAGATAAGCAACAGGTAATTAACACTTTTATCAGGCGGTCATCTAAGAATTTATCGCAGTGTCACAGGCAGAATGTGATTAGTTGGAAGAGTATGGTGGTAGGGGGCAGAAAAACGAGCCCTATCTTTAAGAGGCAACTGCAGCCAAGAGGTAACAGCTCCACAGCTGTAAAACAATATAAGATGGATTGTTATTGTCTCTTCCTTCCTCCTGGAAAAAAACACATTAAAATGAAAGTATCAGCATTTGGACGGTTAACAAATGTGATTCTTGGCCAAGTTTTCTGCAGACTAAGCAGTGTTAGGTAGATGACAACAGATGATTGTATTCTTCCCTTTGTTATTTTATTCAGAGTGCCTCACATCCGACCTGTGGACTTTCTGATATCAGGTCCTTAAACGTGAGGATTTTCCACGCATGGGGGATTAAAAGAGAGAACCGGGGTTATCTGTGCAGAGAGGCGCGGACGCAGCTGACCCGTGTCTCATGCACGTGTGAACGCGGGCAATCGGCGCGAGGTCTTCCACCGCGGGTCAAGCCCCGCGTGCGCAAAAGGGCAATTAACGAGGCGCACTTAGCGGAGCTCTGCAGGAAAAGTATTTCCAGACTGTTGTTTCTGTCATTAGGAGGCGTTCAGATGTCAGACTTTGATCAGAAAACCAGGCGGGATTGGAGCAGGGGCAACAAAGATTTAAGTTCCTTTCCTCAAATCCCTTAATGTAGGGCTTTTTTTGCTGTTGGCTTGGCTATATTTTTATAGATTTTTTATTTTTGAATTCATTACACAATAACGTAATTAAAAATAATTTAATAATCTGAATATTCCTAGTGTAACTTTTTTATTTTACTTTAATGGCTAGTGATCTACATCATATTTTGTTTTCTCGTGTCACCTTAATAACATGGATTTGAACAGATCCCATCTTTTTATTGCTGTTTAGTCACAGAGTTTTGCTGAAAGCTGTAGACATCCTGCAATCACAAGCTCTTTCCCCCGAGGCTCTGCAGGCTCAGCTGCAAAGGAACTGTGTCAAATTAGTGTCAACCTAATGGCATGAGGAGTGGGCTGGCAGTGAGTCTCGGAGGGCCTCCATCACTGGCCGGCCCCAGATGTGAAACTGGCCTTGTGGGTGCAGTGTGAGTAGTTCTGTCTCTCTGGTTTCCCACCAGCCTCCAACATCAGGGTAAATGAGCGACAAAAGCAGCGCCTCTCCTCCTCCAAGCTCCACCGGGAATGTTAATTGATCTTCTGTTGCAGGACAAACAGAAACTCAGTGTCCTGGTCCATCTGGGAAAAATCAAGTCCACTGGCTTGTTTTCCCCTCCCGGCACAGAGCACTCAGTGTGGCTTTGGTCTAGGGTGACAAGTCATTAACCAATTGTTTTACAATGGGGAAAGAAGAACTAGAACTTTAGATTGGGAGGAGACGATACAGAAGTACAGAAGATTTATTTTGAACTCTTCCATCAGTCTTTGTAAAAGAATTGAAACGACTCATTTAAAGATTTGATTCATTCAACTATTTGAGCACAAGATGCCTGATTCCTGTGAGAAGTGAAATCCATAAACTTATATTGAGTTCAGTTTTTTAATCATGTGCAGGTTTTTGACCTGTGACCCATGAAAATGTCCATATAAGAACCAACACCGCATGTCTACTAATGATAATGACAATAATCTACAGATCCAGTTCTCCTCTCTTTCTTTCCATCCGTATCATTCTTTTATTTAACATTTAGTGTGTAACCGCCACTCTGTCCAGTCACTTCCACGCTTGGCTTCACTGTCTGTGCTCCTCATTCCTGACATGTTTGTGTGAATTTGTTCCTCCCCTCAAAGTTAGTGTGCACTACATGGCTGCTGGGGGTCTTTGTCTTCAAGTGTGTGGGAAGATGAGCTCCCCTCCCACCGGCGGCCCGAGAGCTCTGAATTCCTGCCATAAAGTCTAGGCCATTGCTCAGACCTGAGGCGGTGCAGAGCCGCTTCCCGTCAGCCATCGCTCTGTGAGTGTGGTATCTCCCGTTTCCCACACTCTGCGCCTATTCACTGGTACCGAGATGGGGACAATAGAAGTGTGTCTTGTTACACATCACATTAGCTACGGTGTTTGATCTCCTGTTGGAGGGGAGGAGGAGGGGGGGGGGGGGGGCAGATTCAGCCAGACCATCTGGCCTGGCAAACTAGACCCTGAGAAAGTCCCAGGCATACCACATTCTCCCCAACTTCTGCACACACAAATAGTTGTGAAAGACTTTAGAAGCACTTGAGACATAATTCAAGCATGAGACGTCATACCACCACCACCACCACCACAACAGAAGAAGTGTGGGACATGTGGCCTGCAGCGGCATCCATTTTCTCAGTTTTTTAAAACACCTGCTCTCCAAAAAGAGATGTTAATGATCCCTGTGGGAAAGGGTGAATCTTTCAAAAAAGATTTGGTTGTGTTAGAGAGGGAAGGATACATTTCAAATGACTAGATGTTAAGTAAAAGTCAGACATAGACTAATATGATCGACATGAAAATTGAAAATCCCCAAATTTCTGTACAAAGACTCACCACTCAGTATGATTATACCTGTTAAACCAAACAACATTATCTGTTATAGCACAACAACAACGTGGAAAACATCATCAGTTTTTGTTATGATTTGCAGAACCTTCTCAAAAACTGAATAATAATCTTATCTTGGATTATTATATTATTATATTCAAAATGTGTTACAGCTCAATAACATCCTCTGAATTTCTTGAAAATTTGGAAATTATTTCTATCTGCTGTAGCTATCATTATCATTAAAAGCAAACATTACCAGTTAACAAATCTGCCCTGACAGACAAACATCTGGCATGACCCCAGCAGACTTTTAGATTAACCCAACCCCCTCTTTCTTTTGAGGTTGTGTAAAAATGCTCACTAATCTGGAATAACCTGTTTTTAAGAGTGTAATTTCTGATGGAGCTACCCCGAAACTTAGTGCCTTGAAATACATTTTTCTTTGACTTATTCAGCATATTTCAGTGTTACAGAATACAATGAAAAAAGTTAAGGCCACCAGTAATGTTTTTGATAATATAACTTCACAAGAAGTTGTCCTTTATTTCTTTTCCACATTTTTAAAAAGAAACCTCTCAAGGAGGAAAAACAAGAAGATTCTTTTAAAGAATATTATATTCAACACAAAACGCCTTTACAAAAGGTGTATATTCCAGTTTTTTTCACTGGTAGATGAAAATCATCTGTTATGAACATCACAAGCGGACAATTAACAGCAAAAAATGCCAGTAACATGCATTCACATATATGCCAAATAATGGATACAAAAAGTCATCATAAATTGTTAACAATAATCCTAATAGGATTTACATTAGAGGTGGATCCATGGGATCCTTTCATGGCTTGTTTTTAATTCATCAGCAAAAAGCTAATGGAATATATCACTCAGAGATACTTAGTATCAGAGATTGACAACACACATCCTTCAAGCAGTGTCTCAGACACCATAACAGTAGGGTTAAAATAACTCAGTTATGTTTCTCAATAAACAAATCTGACGTTTTTTTTTTCCACAGGAACAATATCTTTACATATGATGTATATATTCAGTAAAACCTGAATCATTTCAGTCTTTTCCTCGGAAAATGAGGGCACACTGTGCCATTTTCACCACATGGTGTAACAATGAACTACATTGCATCTTCTGCCAAAGCAAAAGGCATCGAGACTTCAGTGAGTCCTCAACTTTCTGTCCATGACGTTCACAGACGTAGTTTTTTCTCTGGGTGGAGGTCAGGCTCTGCCGGACCCTACCAGGGTCTCCACAGAGTGCTGCCCGCTGGGCCCACACCCTTGCCGGAGTTGACCTGACGGAGAGGAGAGCCGGGAGGCGAGAGGCCGCAGGGGCTTTGACCGGTCCGGCTGGAGGTCTGGAGACCCTGGAAGTGGCTGAGCAGCAGCCTGTGGGCCTGAGTCTGGACCTCGCAGTGGGAGAGGAAGCTGACCGCCTCCCGGACGCAGTGGGAGTAGCCGTCACCGGCCGTCATGAGGCCAGGGGTCAGCCTGCCCGGCTGCTGCTGCTGCTGCTTCTGCTGCTGCCAGCATCTCAGGTATGACACGGCCATCTCCAGGATGTCTGCCTTCTCCTGCTTGGAGTCGGGCTGCTGCCTGAGAAACTCGGGACCCAGCAGGGATTTTAGCTGCTCGATGCTGGTGTTGATGCGGTCTCTGCGCAGTTTTTCCACCATCGGCTTTCTCAGCTGAGGAAACAACAAAAGAAACACTGTTAATTTCACTTGAAAACCGCTTTAAAAATGACTCAAGTTCCTCGGTACAAGGTAAGACAGATAGGGGATTTTTTTCTTCAAATAGATATTTACCTTGTGAGCAGGGGTCAGGTGGTCCTTGGTTGTCTGTCCAAAAACAGTGGGTGCCATTGGCGTGGATTCAGAGCGATTCTGCTCAGCCTGAAGAGCTAGTGAGTCTGAGCTGCCTTCCCCTCTTCCCCTGCCCTGTATTTATATGCCCCAATCTCCATATGAATGTGTGAGTCTTCGGCTTGTTGGAGTTTCTCACAGTCCACGGGCCAATGGGAGGGCTGGGAAGGGCTTTGGGGAGCGCAGGGCTGCCACATGCTCAATGAAGTGTTTATAGCCGTGGGGACAATGGCCGTGCCTCTGGGGAGCAGGTGGAGGAATAGAGCACGAGAGAAAGAGCCTGGGGTAGAGTGGGTGGGGGTGAGGGAGTGTGGGGGGGGGGGGGGTGTAGCTGGGAGACCGACCCGGCACTTGTGCTGATATGGGAAAGTGGTGACCCCGGGGGGAAGCATGCCGCTGGCTCTTGTCATCTCCACTGCCACGTAATTGAAGACAAAGTGCCTCCGCCAACAGGCACACGTGGGTGTTAGTGAGGGCCGACCGCGAGAAAGGACCGACGTGCAGCCACTTCCACCTGTTTGAGGAGGCAGGCTCCAACTTGTGGAGCCGCACAACAGTTGAGATGTCTGTAAGCTGAAAGGAAAAATAATTAAACTGCAGGTTTTGGTACCAAAATCACATCAACTGAGTGTAAAGGGGGTTTTTGTCCACATACCAACATTTTCAGATCGAGGGTAGAGTTTAGTTTATTTCTTCTTCATAACTAAGTGAGGTGGTTGGTGTGTAAAGGGATCTTAGCTGCATCAATACAGGTAGCCTCTGTTTTACCTCAAAATGAGGCGTAATGGAGTAGAAGAAGCGTTTCCTTTTTTATTATCAGGGAGGCTGAGTTTCTTTCATTTACTGAATATTGTCGCAGTAATCTAACATTATTTATTATGAGTGTGATTTAAATGTAACAGCAACAGAGATAGTAATACACATTTTAAAATTCTGGCTGTATTTGTGCTTCTTGAATTTTGAGAGCTTATCATAAATAAATGTATAGGGATGAATGATAATACAGCTGGACCTGGTTCACGTGGCTCTTAAACCCCACCTAATGTGAGCTCTGCAGATGTGCACAGATGCTGAGCGTTAGACTGAACTGGACACATCTCTCTTTTAGATTTGATCGATCCTTCTTCGTCACATTCGTCATTGACCTGCTTAATGTTCATTACCCGTTTCTAAAATACTGAAATTGGGCTTATGAACGATTACTATTGAATAAAAAATGTTAAAATCCAAATAGAATTTAATTTAAGAATTAGTTGAACTCAAGGTAGATTTCTTTTCATGAGGAGGAGTTTGTGGTTTGTTGACATTTACTTGATGTGATCTGTGAAGAAGGAGCATGCTTCAGCGGTTAGACTTCCCTCTCACAGCACATGTCGGCACATCAGGCAAACTCTCTCGCACAGCCAGCCACACTCTCATTCACCCGTCCCCGCCCGACACACACACAGACACACACACAGCTGGCTGACCCGCCTGCCGCTGGCCACGTCTCAGTCACACGCTCCTTCCTGCCTGTGTGGAACGTGGGAGCCGCTGTGGTCCCAGGCTTCCCACACTTCAGTGTTAATGACTCCGAGGCAGACTGCACAAAGGAAGTGTGCCCCACCGAACAAAGACTGAGTGACCAGCCCCCCTCACAACACACGCACACACACCCAGGAAGACAGGGCTGTCAACAGGGCTTCCAGGCACACCATCTGGATGGATTGTATCCTTTTGTCGGCCAATCAAGCATGGGAAAGGCTCACCGTGAGAATTGGGAGAGGCTGAAATAGAGACAGAGCGAAAGATAAAAAGAATAAGGAGTGTCTGTGTGTGTTTTTGTGTAGTTGTGCTGAAGTTGGGGAAACTTTTTGGTTAGTCTGAAAGTTTTCAAATCTATGATAGAAAGTGTATATTTAGAAAAACAGAAAAAGTGAACACCAAGTCACATTTTTTGAAGCCGGAAATTAAACGTATGTGGAAAAAATGGAATAAAAAAGTTTGAATAACATTAAATGACTGCTGGTGTGTATTGGTGCTGTTTTCTGCTGACCTCTTAGAGGTATTTCTTCATTCAAATGTACTCCATAACTGTATTATGTAGAAATCGATTTCATCCACATAACATCTCTTTCCTCTGTGCTGCTGAACGAAAAACAGTCCATCAGCCAGATGTTTTCCTCCACCTTCCCATCACATATCACTCCCTATCGATACAATAAGTAAAATATCAACCACATTGTGGAATATTGACAGATTGACAAGAGGCTGACGAACCGCCCCTCCCACCTGTTTGTTTGCGCGGGGGCCATTGTACCCCAGACCGAGTTCCACAAATTCATTCATGTTCTATTGTCACAACTCTGCCTCGTGATTGGCCAGAAACTGTGAGAACCAACATCTCATCAAATCGATGGGAAAGTTGGCAGAAGTATATAAACGGGGGAGGTCTCATTGGGTAAAATCATAACTTCAAGACCCTCTTGCACCCCACACAGGCCTGGATACCACAGATACCACAGATACCACAACTCACAATGAGGAATCAGCACACAACGTGAGTCCAAGTAAAGACAACCACCAGATCATCCCTGTTTCATTGTCTGAAAATGTTGTTTGATTTAAAGTTATTCTGTTTTTTATTTGGGGTAGCAGTTTAGTTCGGGCCTCATAGTCCTTACACAGTCGATGCTTCAGCAGCATCACCTTTGGGGCAGCATGAAGAGATGTTAAATGCAGATGCAAATTATCTAACTAATCTGATAACTCTTGTATCTGAAACTTACCATGCGTTTATGATGGGTTTTGGAAATATTTTAGCTGTTTGAATTTATTAGCATTTCATGCATCAACCATTTTCAGGTAGTGAATGCTGAGAGAAAATTGTGTAAATGTCTAAATTTAAATATTTTCTTCTTCTCTTTGTCTTTACGTTTCTTCTCAGATTGTGTAGGATCAGCATTTTGGAAAGGAAGTGCACAGACAGAGCAGTAAAGCTCTGCTCAGCTCTGGAGGGCCAACTCAGCAGTGGGACGACCAGCTCAGATATGTGGGACAAAACGGTTTCCTTCTTTACAATAAAGAGGGCCCCAATTTTCCATAATGGCTACTCCAAGTCCTCCAGAGAGGCCATGAGGCGGTTTCCCTCACCTGCTGAGGACGTGGCACCATTGTGCTGCCAGTGAAAAAAGGACTGGACTCACTACTGGACTCAAAATAACAACTTGGCTTTTGGGCAGAAAAGTGGACTATGGAAAAAAGAAAATGATGAAGTGTTTAAGCTTTTTTTTTTTGTTTGTTTTTGTTTCATCAGAGCCTGTGTAAGATATAGAAAAAGTGAATTATTGTGTGCACAGTGATCTTATTGGCCCATATCTGGGCTTTGAATGTGCATTTTATGCCTTAAACTTTAATGCTGGTTAAAAAAAAAGACCTTAATTCTAAGGTCATGTTGAACAGTGAGCCCTACTCCTTTGTATAAAGGTAATTGTTTATGCTAATGCATATTTTTAGCTGTTTTTTTGTAAGTTGCCTTCTTTCCTCCTCATGTATGAAATGTCTTGCTGAAAGCCATAACTGAAAAAGAGCAATATGGACTTTCATGTGCAATTTTTAATAAATAATCTGAGTTTTCAGAAATACATTTGTGCCGCAAATATTTTGACCATCATCTCACAGTTTAAAATCTGACACATTTTGTTTTGTGGAGAACTATTCCAGATCAGTTGCTCTGAAGTATATCGTCATCTAGTGGTAGGTTAACAAAAAGCACTCTCTGACAGAGCTGAGGCCGTTTGCCTGAAACCAACCCTCCACATCAGATTCAGTCATCAACTTTCTTGAATTGTTTTACCTAAAAAGGTCAGTTCTAGCCAATACAATGAATAACCTGTTTTAGAATACATTCATGTATGAAGACATGCATTGATACGACTAAGTGGAAATACAGCCATCTTATTATTGAGAATACTTCCTTTAAATTCTGATTGCAAGTTAGCAGGTGGGAAGCACTGCTGATCTCGCCTTAAAATAACTGTCAGATATAAACAAATAGAATATGCATCCATCCATCTAATACTGGTGATACGATTTTACACGGTATGCCCAGACTTTTAAAAAATAGACTTTAAAAAGGGTAAACTCATCTCCTAACTTTTCCCCCCTTTTTTTCTTTGTAAAGTCCACCAGCTTTTTCCAGTGAAGGAAATACAACCTTTGAGTGAGTCTAAGTGTTTTCTGAATAAGCAGTTGTCATTGTAATCTTATATGATCATTTGAAATAAATTTGTGTGTGGTGCCTTCTATCAGGGTTTTTTTAAGCTTCACTGTGGCTTTATAAATGTGGCCATAATAGATAAAGTTGTAATGGGCAAACAGTAGGGGAAAGAAAAAGTTACCCTGAATGAGATTTGAAGTTATTACGGTTTTATTAATCATAGTCTAAATTCAAAAAGCAGACATTCAGCAACAGTTAAACATTATAGCAGCGGGAAAAGGCAAATTAACAATAAACCGAGGGAACTCCACACCATGCATTCAACTCTAGAGTACGTTACACTGTTTTGGTCACCTGGAGGTCAAAGAGCTGAGCATCAAACTGAGCGATGCTTTGCTTGTCATAGATCTGTTCAGGGAACTGACACAAATTGGCAGTTCTGGGGAAAATATAACTCCAGAAAAGCAGAAGCAAAGGAGGAGAATGCTGTGAAGAAAATTGATTACAACTATCAGTCAAAGAAAAAAATGTTTTAGGGTATAATGTAAGTCTGTTTTATTATTATTCATTTAGACAAGTTGGATATTACATTGCAACAGATGGAATCTTCCACAAGTTCAAAGTTTACTTCAAAGGCATAGCTTTAGGGAAGAAAATAAAACAAATCTTGTCCATCGCTCTTTTCCTGGTTCTGTTTCTGAGGTTCATAAAGTAAACCTGACACATACACACAATTTTTTCCCTGTCTGTTACTCAAATTCCAGTTAGAACCAACATGTAGACCGAACAGCAAGAGCCCTGAAAGAAAAGCACAGGGGCTTGCAAATGTGAGACAACGAGACCGTCTGCCATTTAAAAAAAGAAACCAAGACCAAAAACAAACTGATAGCAAATAAAAGGAAAACAAGATAAAATCAAATGCCACTCTTAATATGAGGTGGGTCAAATCCCAAAACATTTTAGTTACCTTAACATTGCACCCCAAATATCATGGGAGGGGTTTAAAGCCAAATATGTGATCACTCCAAAACAGAATTCACACGTTTTGTCCTATAAACCAGATCAGCATTTCAAAGTGAACAACCTAATTCTCTGAGCTGCTAAAGAACAGCAGAACAATGGTGAAGTTTCAGCTTTGATAGAGACAGCAGGAAAACAGAAAGTAGACAACTGTTTCTGAAAGGCCGGATGGACCAGGGACCTTTTTTTCTCCCAGGCCTGCTCAAAACCGGAGGGATGTCTTCTGCCTCTGACTGTAGACTTTGGAGAGCAAAGAGTAAATTCTGCTTTAGTGTCTCCTCCTCGATCTTGAACAGCACTGTCTTTGTGTCACAGAGAAATTGCCAAGAAGTTGATTTTTTTTTTCTTTATTAGACTACACACACAACTTCTGCTTTGAGTTCAATTTTGAGAGGTCTTACTGGGGAGTGGGAGCTGAGTTGGAAGCATGGTGTTTACTATCTGTGTGTGAGTCAGTGTGTTAACGGCTTTTTTTTTTCTTTTTTTTATGTTGGTAGGTGTCCTAACATTATTTGTTGGGCTGTTGTGTGTCAGAGGGCGTGTGGTTTGAGGATGGATCAGGGCAAAGAGTTCAACAAATCTTGCAGGAAGAGGTCTGGGTCTGGGATTTCAGAGAGGACACCTGGAAAAAGAGAAATGTGGAGTTGAAATAAAACTAAACAGTAGCTGTCACAGATACAAAAAATAACAGACTAAATGAATCCCAAAAGATGGGTCGTTGTTATCCACATTTTCACGGAATATTTCTGCTCTTTGAGCATATCTACTGACCTACAACATCACAGAACTCAGACAAGGACTCTGCGGGCATGAGCTCATCCTGGAAGGACCTGAGCACGCGCTCTGAGGCCTCGTAGATGGGCATGTCGTTGTGACGGACATATTCCGCCAGTGAGAAGGACCAGCCCCCCTCTGTGTTGCTGGTGGGTACTTTCTGTATACAGAAAAAAAAAAGGAAAAAATTACTGTCAGCTACTGTGGTGGTCACATTTGGATCAAACCATCCTGCCCTTTGTCGGTTATTTACCCTAAACATGTCATAGACGAGATCGACCAGGCCCCAGAAGAGAAGAGGTGAGCGGTAAACTGCATATTCCTTTGGTGTTTTGTCTGTGAGTCTGATAACGGAGCAAAGGATGAAGATACGGACAGATCATTTAGCAGTTTTAAGACATTCAAATACACAAGTCCTACACACACTCCGTAGGCAGAAATGCTGGACACTGCTTACTTCGCACAAAGTGAATGGACCTTGTATTTGTAGTACATAAAAAACAAAAGATCAACCAAAACTAAATAAATAAAGCGCCTTACTTGTTTGTGCAGACCGCAGAGACTTTGCGGGCATGTGCAGTGACCAGGAGTCTTCTCAGGAAGTAGAAACGAGAAGTCCTCCACCTCTCAGGCGGCATGATGTGCATGGCCAAGATGGTGTAATAGTGCGGTCCTTCAACATCGTAAGAGCTTTCCACCCACTTCTCGCACGGCTGCTCCTGGAAACTCTGGAGGTTCTTCTCCTCTCGGGACGTAGCCCTCGTACTACAGAAATACATTTTAGTTTCAGTCGAAGCAAAACATTTATCTTGACGGTCAAAGGACATGTGGCATATCCCCCCCCTCGTGCAGCAGTCAGTAAGTTCTCACTGTGGTCAGCTGTATAAAAGTGACTAATATTATAGAAAGTACACATACGTATTGAGCACATAGAGCACAGTGTGGATGATGTAAGGGATGAGGTGGATGTTGCTCTCCCGGCCCCCGCCGCCTGTGTCCACACTGAACGACTGCTCTGTGGCAAAGCGGAGGAACAGCAGTTTGGTGTCGTGGATGTTGAGTTGGTACGTGGGCTCCCGCTGACCTGTGCACTCCTGAAGATATGTGTTGTGCCTGGGTGCCAGAGGGAGAGAGATCCAGCTGTGAATTTCCGACTTGGTGCAGAAAACGTTTGCTGCCTGTACGCGAGCGTGCCCTTACCGTGCTAAACATGTAGCAAAGGCTGATTCTGGCACATGTGGCCCCCACACAGGAAGCAGACCATTGCACTTGGTGTTGGCATTCTGGAGAGCGGCACTATCCCACTCCTCTCTCCCACGAGCCAGCCTGACAGAAGCATGAAGAGGCCGGTCATGTCAGGAAGTTGAATTACAAAAGAGTCAGTAAGAATCCAGTCGTTTGTAGCTACCTGACAGCTGCCAGATGGCAGTCGTAGTGGACTATGTTAAAGTGCGACACAGTGCTGTAGCCCTGCTGCTTGCGAGGCTTGTTTTCAAAGTCCTCCAAGGACACACGCTTTGTAAAAGTGTAAATACCCAGGACTTTGGTTGGCTGGTAGAAAAAGTAAAAAGGAGGTAAAATGTTAGTTTAAAACATATCTCAGCAAAGCCATAAAAGCATTTTACAGTACTTCAGAGAGCAGATCATCACATAACATCTATGTTAGCGCAATTACAAAAGCATCATTTCCAATATCTATTGACACCAATCAACCACAACGTTGTAACTACATGGTGTTGAAAAATCTAATCATTTTATCTTAATGTAACAGTCTGAACTTTACCAACGTGGCAAACCCAAAATCTTATTTTTCTTGCCCCAGAAGGACAGCACACCTGACCCTGCTACAGATACTGTCAAAAATATGTCAACGAACAGAGAGTCAGCTCTGCATCCAAAACTAGAGGCAGACAGTTCTCCAAACCCACAGGATCTAGAAGATCAAAGTTACCTTTTGGGGGGATTTTCACAGTATCAGAGAACTGTTTTAATGCTGTGACTCATTAGTAAACAAACAGTGTATTATCTGATCAGGTGAAGCTCTGACAGGCAGAGTAATCAGAATTTTGGATGAGTTGTGGTACCTGGAACTTGTAACCCTCCCTGCAGATGCAGCAGGTCAAACCCGGCTCCTCTATCAGCTCCTCCATTTGCTTCAAAAGTGATGTCTTTGTAACCACCTGCCCCTTCTCATTGGTCTGAAAAACAGAATACATAACATCCACATTATATCAAAATCTGAACTGTTGCAGCAATACAGACGAAGCACTGAACAGCATGAAAAGAAAGAAAGGGAAAGCAGACTACCGTCATGCCCAGAGTTCCCAAAGCTTTCTGTCTCATGGCCATCGCCATGCGCTTCTTCTCTGCTCTGGTCTCCCTGCGCGCTGCGTCGATCTTCAGGTTGACGTCACTGTGCTCCCGCAGCGCCTCCAGAAGGTTCTCTGCCAGAGTTCCAATGCCTTCGTCACTGGATACCTGCTCCAGCTTGTGCAAGTTGGGTATTGAGTCTGTGCCTATCAGCATCTATGCGAAGACGAAAACATCCAGTCTAGTTAGGAAGAATAACTCCTGATGGTCTTGGTGCTGGGCTAAATATTTTTGTATGCATTTAAAAAAAAAATATTTCTCTATAGAATGAATAAGCTGTCCAAAGGAACCATTCTGTACGTTCGTTCTAGATGAGATTCCACGATATGTGGTACCTGTGTAGGTGGATGCTGGGTAGCCAAACCACGGAGCAATCGGAGAATGAAAGGCAGAGCTGGTCTCGAGAGGAACTTCTTCCAAACGTCTGCATCCAGACTGTAAAGAGTTCAGAAGAAAAAATTGAACACCCACAGTCAAGCCACTTCTGCTTTTGATAGATCTTCTTCAGGCATTCAGACCTACTTTTTGGCATTGGGGATATGTTTCTTCATGTAGTCCAGTGCATTCTGTGTGATTCCTTTCTGAAGTATGAGATCTTTTAGCTGATGGCCATTGCTGTTATTTTTTATTCCAGCAGCAATTTTGCAGAAGCAATCCAAAAACACTTTGTCATCTGCGCTGTGCTCCTCGTCGTACCTTAGGCAGTAAATACAGAAGTCAGTTTCATCAAGTGTAACCCAGAAACAGAAGAGGTTTGCCAAATCAGAGTGAGTTGATCTCTGAGCTCTTGGCACTTTTTCTTATAGCTTCATATAGATAGAGAGAGCAATGCTCACTTGTCAAAGCTGCAGCACGGTTTGAAACGTTCCACCAAAATCTTCATCTTCTCCAGTTCACCAAAGGAAAGGTAGGGAATGATCCGCAGCAGGCCCTGTAGCACGCTGGGGTTTGAGCGCACAAAGGGAGTGTTGATCTGATCCAACAACATGACCAGCTGATCTTTGTCTCCTGTGAGCAGAAGGTTACCCTGAAAAAGGAATAAACACACCGCTTTTATATCAGAAAAAGGAAAGCATTTGAAGCAGGTGGTCATTTCTCAACCAGGGAGTAGAACAGAGTTGCTGTTCTTACCTTATCCTCTGAGATCTCAGCATTGGCCTCATCCAAAATGATCTCCATTATGCTCAGAACTTGTTCAGCTATAGAGGCCCCGCCACTGTCCTTACTCTCCTGTTCCGCCACCAAAGCCTGAAGTAAAAACAACATGAAAGGTCAACCTATAAAAGCATTGTTAAGATTGTATAAATTTGACTAAATTTACTATCAAACACATTCACTGCTCACCAAGTTCAGAGTTCCCAGCATGACGTTGAGTGTGTTCATCTCTGGCTTGACAAGCTGCTGCCTATTGATCTTAACCTTCACGCAATAACTGAACAACTTCAGCAAAACCTGCAAGAGATAGAAACACCCAGCTCAACTACAGGAGATGACAAACACAGCAGACTCTTTCAAAACATGTTACATGGGAAAAGTCAATTTTGATGAATATACAGAATCCATTGTCTAACTATTTTATTCATCAAACATATTGAGCAATATAATAATCCAAAAATAAAGCATGAACATATTTAGCTTACAGTGAGCAGATGTCTTCCTTGTTTGAAGTCTTTGATTCCAGACAACCGGTTGAGCATGCACTCCAGTCCTCCACACTGTGCCATGACTCCGGCCATCTTGTACACTTCCTCATCATCTTCCTCCTCATCTAAAATAAGGAAGCACATTGTTTTTTTTCCTCTTTTCTTGAAACAAAGCAAACTGGACTTTTCTGTGATGGTGACGAATATACAAACCAAACCAGTATGTAACAAATTACTTAATTAATAGAATGGACGGAAAAAAATCAAACCTGTGGTTGAATCCAATGACTCTATAAACTCTTCCGTGGCATCTCCAAGCAGACCTCTCATACGATAGATGATCCTCATTGGCTCCCCCTTTGAGGGTGAATAAAAATATATAAAGAGAGGAGACTGAAAGATGCACCATGTAGTCCTACTTGTTTACTTGACTATTTATGTTTATTAGAAAAGCTCTGTTTTGTTCAGATCAGTGGAGCTCACCTCATTTGTGGGGCACCAGACCTTCTTGTAGACTTCTGCCACTGACAAATCCAAGCTGATGATTTTGTTGTTGACAAGCAACTGTAGAAAATAAGAGGTGCATATGATTAACTTCTTGCCATATGATGACAATAAAACAAATGACAGTGCAACGTTTCCTGACCTCCATGCCACTGTCATCCTCCAGAAGTGCCACCAAGTCACAGTCTTGACAGATCTTGTTCTTGATGTCCCTCATTAGTGGGCCGATGCCGGGTTCGTTGCTGCTGTACGGGTTCCCGGGCATCCGACCCTGCAGGAAATCTTCCTGCTGAGGATCCTTTTCCAAGGTAACGAAGAACTCTGTCACCTCATTTTCCTCCTAAATAGAAGATAAAACAAACAACATGAGGCTCATACATGATGGTTGTCTAAGAACAAGAAAATTGTCTTTGAAAATCTTCAACCAGTTTCTTATTTGAAATGTTAATCTTCAGAGTAGAAATGTTTGTTTCAGTAGATTCATTTGTTGTTGTGATCTATGAACTGTGACAGCTCTGCTGAAGATAATGACGACTTACAGGGTAGATTATGCTGCACAGCCTCTCAAAAATGAAGACGGGTGTCCGGTAGTCATCCAGGTTGTAGCGCTTTGCTGTCTCTATGCACACTGCCATAAAGGCTTTGGTTTCAGACTCGGTACCTGCAAACAACAGCAAGTTCAAACAGAGAGTTTTAGTTTTCGAAGAGGAATCTAAAATGTATCTGGAAAAAACATTTCATAGAAGGTCAAACGTCAGATCTCGACTGCGAGTCAGAACAGACCTGTCGTCATGTCCTCCAGCATCTCCAAAAGCATGTCCTGAGTCTCATCGATCAGCTTGGTTCGCTGCACGACTAGCTTCCTCAGACACAGGTACCCGTTCAGAACCGTGCCAACCAAGCGACTCTTGAAATGTCGCTTAATTGACTCAACCTCCACAAAAGAGGAAAGCAATCCTACACCAAAGAGAAATATTTCACTATTCTGGACAGGTCTTAAAGAATCATTTTATAACTTTTATAACATGAAATCTAACATACCAGTCAAGCTTTTGAGGGCATAGCCCTGCTGTAAATCTGTGCTCAGAGTAGCCTCCTCCAGAGCCAAAAGATTGGCTATTTCCTGTTTAAAAAATAAACAAAGAGATAATATTAATATTAGAATATTAAATGCCAATTAAATGGAAGTAAACTATTTATCCCATAGTTGAACATTACAGATACGAAACATCGAACATATTGTGAAAGTTGTACTGTACTAATAATTAGAAATTAACAGTTGAATACAGTTAGGATTTATTTTACTTAGTTTCAGTGTATATTCATGCTCTATTACCTTGGTGATTAGGTTACCAATGTAGGGCAGAACTCCACGTGCAGCCAGATAAACCTTCCAGTGGGTTGGCTTGATCAGCTTCTGGTACAGGCCCAAATACTCAACTGCACACTCTCCAGCCACACTCAGCTCATCCAGGTAACTGAAACCCAAACGTCCTTGTTAATGTGACTGCTTCCTTTTAAGAGCTTTCGACTGGGGTTTTATTTGATCTGATCTATTTACCTTGTTAGCAGGTCCAGGACTTGCTGCTTGCGGCTGGGGATAGCAGTCAGGGCCTCCACAATTGTACAGGCTGCCTGTCTTGCTGCCTGGGTGGCTGGTGTGAACAGGACCTGAAGCAAAGATGTTACATTCTTAATTTTGTGCACTTCTGCAATGGATTAAAAAAAAGTGCCTGAAAAATGTCTCATTACCTGCCGCAGCCAGTTGTTATGGCTCAGTTTTAGCAGGCGAGGGAAAAGGCCTTCACCTTTCCGGGACCGCATGAACTGCTTCCACTTCCACACATATTTCTCTAGGAGATACTGTTTCCGCAACTCTGCCTTCCCCTGAGGTTTAGACGGTGTTTCCTGGCCTGCAATCATGTGAAAATTCATCATCTTCTAGTAAACTAAAAGAGAACCACGTTGGTTGATATACTGAATACTTGCTACAGTGCTTACATCTTGCTGGGAGGCACTTTTTCCAGGCTTCATAAGATGCTTTGGGGTCCTTCTTGAGCCAGAGCTGAGCTTGGGCATGGATTTCATTACTGTAGGGCTTCACTGTGGTCAGGGACTCGATAGCAGAATCCTTTAAAGGAAAAACAAACAGAGACATGCAATGCTTTTTTAGTGCTCATTCTAATGTAGAAAGAAGTGCCCAATTCACTAAAAATGTCTTCCATTCAAATAAAAAATCCTGCAGAGATTTCAAATTATGCTCTGAAAAAATTTGTCCCAATTTCTGCTTGGTCATAGAATAATGTGGTATTTCTAAACTTAGTGATCTGAACTGCAAAAATGCGAAAGGTGAAAACAACAACAAAATAGGAATTGAATCAACAAGCTAAAGGATATTTACCTTGTTCTTCTTGCTAGTTGGTGCAGGAGGTTTAATCAGCTTTTGCAGGATTCTCAGGCACATCAATGTGATGTTCTCTACCACTACAGGTGTTTTTATATTCACTGACATGAGGAATAGACTGAGAGCTAAAAGATTGACAGAAAAACAGAACAATTAAGAAAATAATCTAAAAACAGTTACACACAGCCTGTAAAAATCAGGGCTGATGTGTGGAATGTGAAATATGCCACTGAAAAACTGGGCTTACCACAACGCAGTCGTAACTCCCAGCAGCCTCCTTCTTTGGAAATGGAGTCTGTCAGCAGCAGCATTTCATACTGTAAATTACTAACCTAATGGGACAGAAAAGGAGAGTTCATAACATGAATGAAACAATGATCAGCTTCACTGTTTCAAACTCAATCAACAGACTTATTTAGTTAGCCTGCAATACCACAGGTAAGATGACATACCAAGTCAGGATTAGCCCAGTGACCTTTGAGGGCTGAGGACACCTTGGCAATGATGAGGTCATTCATCTGCTGGGTGGCTTCTGGGTGGTCTCTAAACAAAGCGAATATGGAAGGTAACAAAGAATTGAGTACACTTAGAGCCCTACATGCACACAAGTAGTAAGAAATGAACAGGAGATATTCTTTATTTATAAAAGTTTTGACTCAATTGTAGCAATCATAAGGGCCAACTGTAGGATCAATAACAACAAATCTGTTATCAATCTGACTGAAAAACAGGATGCCCTGGGAAGGAGAGCCCTACCGTGTGAGGAGACACACCAGCTGGCGAACCTCTTCCCTCATGGCTGCTGTACCTCGCCGTAAGTTATACTCAAACAGCTCACGAATGAGACCCTGGAGCACCAGGATCTGCCGGAGGGCTGGATTAGTGGCCAGTGCACGGAGCAGTGTGATACAGTGGCCTGTGACAGCTGAGGCACAGCCGTAACACTTTGTAGAGGAGGTGTGGCCGCAGCCCAGCACGGACAGGGCCCGGTACTGACTGGCGGTGAAGGTGGGCTGGCTGCTGCTACTCCGGGAGGACTTGGTGGCTGCCTCTCTCTGCTGCAGGTCATACTCCAAGAGCTCTTTTCTAGACGCAAGCACTTTCTGTAAACAGGAAGTTAGGCAAACAGTTAAATTGATGTTAAGAAACATCACATATTTCTGTCACTAAGAAGATGACCATGTATTTCCTCTGACCTGTATGATCTTGGAAAGCTCATCAAAGGATGTCTTGCAGTCTCCGCTGTACTCTTGAGCCAGCTGCTGAATGTATCTGTTCACATTAGCAGAGGAGGCCCCAAGACCTGCACCTGCTCCAGTGTCATCCTGAGAGCAATGGAGGGAAGAATACCAACATATAAAACCATACAAAAATTACTTTAAAAAAGGGATTAAACTAATCTTAAAAATCAATCTGGCGTTAGACGTTTTAAAACACTTTAGGTCCATCCTGTGACTGACCTGAGGTTTCTCTGGAGCAGCCTCGTTGACTTTAGACAGCAGGCTCTCCAGTTGAGGCCTGTGGCCCATCAGCTGGTGGTAGACCCGGTCAGCTTTGTCCAGGAGGGTGTTAATATTGGTCACAGCCTGAAGAAATAAGTACATTTAAGATTTCAAATGAAAAAGTGGAGGAGTAGGCAGTGACAGCGAATTCCATATTTCAACTGTGTGGTTTCTAGCCAAAGCAGAAGCCTGCAGCTGATTGTCATAAACAGTTAATCTAAATACTAACTATTTTCTGTACCTGTCCTGCACTAAAACTAACCTCCTACCTTTTTCCTGTCTTCTTCATTCTCAATGGGATCCACTGCACAGCACGGTTTAGCATACAGCATGAAGTCAAATCGGGCATATTTGCAAAAGCCACAGGCATTGCATAGGAAAGGATCTTTTTCATCGTAGTTTATAGACCTGAAAAATAACAACCGATTTGTCAGTAATGCATCTTTAATGTCTCCAATGCAAACCTTCAGGGGTAACGTATCGCTCACCTGCACTTGTGGCACTGATAAACATTCTCTCCACAGTTGCCACACACTCCAGGGTTAGCAGGCACAGAAGCACTGCAGCGTGGACACTGCAGGGTCTCTGTGGAGGCCTGGTAGTTCTCGTAAAAATCTGAGAACTCAATCATCAGGTTGGAAGCGACGATGGGTAAGGGGAGGTCAATCTTCACCTCAGTTTGTCCTGGGGTTAGCTGAACTTTCTTGGCTTTGTGCCAGCGAGCAGGCCTAAAAGACATCAATCAAGGACAAACTGAACATGGGAAAAATGGCTGATGAGACAGACTGGAAGAACGAAAACGTACTTATTCTTCAGCTCCACGATAGCCTGCACAGTCCTGTTGTTGTAATAGAGATTGATGGTGCGGACCATTTTGGTGCGTTTGAGGTCGCCTATCTTCACTGTGACTTTGCTGATGGTGTGGCTGCCAATGAGCTTGACCACTTGTTGAGTGGTGGTGTAGCGTGTGTCCACTTTGATCGATGACAATTTAATATTCTGGAGAGCAAAAAGAAGGAAATATTGGTGTTTAAAATATCTTGCATTCGTCAATATTAAAGGTTTTACAAATCCCACTGTTTATGTATTTTTATAAAGATAACTGTGCTGCACTTACTGAGAATGGAACTTCTGGATTGTTGCACACCAAGCAGGGGTCACTCTCGAGAAAAAACCCATCAAACTCCACCAAACCAGAAAGAGTGCTGTTGGACACAATCACGGTTAGTTTTATGTACACTGTGTTTGAAGCTTTCTTTGCAATAAGAGTTGCATGTGTGGAACCATACTTGTAGATGTTAGAGTTGGGGTGATTTGTCAGGATGTGGTTTTGTGCTCTTAGGATTTCAACAGCTTTCTGGGAATACTCCTTTAGCTGGGGTAGAGAGGGGACAAAATGCAAATACATAAACTTTTGATTAATTTACTGATAAGATTATAAACATTTGTAGATTTTCAAAGGAAACCAGCATTCAATTGATAATCAAATGGTGTATTGTATGCAGACAATACTATGGGGGAAAAAAAACAAATTCCTTCAGCCATGAGCTATTTGAAATAAATCAAACCTTTTTCTCCGTTTGAGGCGTTTTGAGTGAGAAGTATCCTAGTAGATCAACAAACTGTGCAGCTTTGCGGCCATATGCAGGAAGTTCTGGCCAGATAGCCCAAGTCAATTCGAGCAGCAGCTCTTGCTGAGATTTGCTGGAGTTCCTGTAAAATGGTTTGTATAAGAATACAGTTCAGGCCACCATTTGCATTTAAGTCTGTTTTAAATTTTCCTCACAATAACCTTTCATAGACACAGATGCATGTAATCTAGAGTGTAATTATGGTTTTGGGATATACCTACACTTGTAAAGTATTTGAACATTACCTGTAGATATGTAGTGCCAGGCAGTGGGCTTGCCAGCGCACAGCAGATGAGTTTGACTCAAGCAGGAAACAACGCAGGAATTGGATGAGTGTCTCCTTGTCTGCAAACTTGTTAAGCTGACTGACCAGAGCCATGCAAAGCTGGTCCTCCTGGCTGCTAACACCGTCTCCTGTGACCAAACCACAGAGAGAAGGAGCAGTAAGGACACAACAGTTAAAGATCCACTTTGATACCAGAATATTCTGTCTATTTGGTCACAAGAGGGATATGCTATATTCTTCGATAACAAAGGAGTGAGAGAGCATGCTTCATTGTCTCACCCTCTTTGTCTTTCTCTTTGTCTTCTTTTTTGCTTTTTTTACTGGAGGATTTGCTCTGAGAGGACTGTGAGGTTCCCGTTTGCCCAGCACTACCAGAACCTCCTCCGGAAAATGATGACGAGTTCGAAGAGGAAGTGGCTAGCACCTTGCTTCCACACAAGGCACAAGACAGGAGTTGAAGAAGAACTGGAGAAACACCCTCATCAACTAGGAAGCTGACCTGGAGCAGGAAGTACAAGACGGCTGGACACAGGAGAGCAAAAAAAAGATAAAGACAATATTAACAACAGGAGCTAGAAATATCCGATTCTGCTTCTAAAACGGGCTTTGAAATAACTTACAGTCATCCTTCACGCAGAATTTCTGCCAGTTGATGGTCCTCTGAGTGGCAATTTCAGCACATGCTTTCAGATGTTCCATCTGCACCAGAAAAAGCTATTCATCCCTCCATTCGAGAGAAAAACCTGCCAGCCTCATTCTGGAGGGGGTTACTGCTGAAGATGCTCACCAGACTGATGAGTGTGTCGTACTGCAGCGCTGAACCAGATGTGGCGGTGACCACACCAGCTCGGAGGAAGATGCCCTGCTCCTCCAGCAGCTTCTTGATGCTGCGGACGTGCGAGTCAAGCGTGTGCAGATCTCGCAGCTGACGATATTTCTCCTTTGAACCGCAAATAAACAGCAACAGCTTCCTGACTTGTCGCCTGACGAACGGTGTCTGTTGGATCATCAGATACTGAGAAGACAAGGTAGAGAGGTGACTGTGCTGCTCTTTTACAAAGAGAGAAATACAACCACTGAATACAATCAAAAATAACTTATAACTTACTTCAGACAAAAAGTAGAACCAAGAATGGTCAAATACAGGTGGTGGGATACGAGGGTTTGTGTCAGCAATCTTCTTTATCTGATACGGCAGCCGGAGCACCATTTCAGTCAACAACTGGGAGTAGGCCTCAAAGACATCAGCAGCATGTCCCTGATCACAGGAAAATAGGGGAAGTTCTCATCAAGAATACTGGAAAAAAAATTTCATTTAAAGTTGAAGACTGGCGTTTTTTGCTGTTACCTTGACATACTGACGTAGGAAGAATGGGCTCATGTCAGGGGGAGAGGAAGCTGTGTGCGTGCGGAGAAGCTGGCTCGTTGTCACAGGTTCTTCTTCACCCTGTTGACTCTTCCAAAACTCCAAGAGCGACTTGAGGACGTGCAGACAGTAATCGATGGCTCCTTGGCTGAGCAGAGCAGTTGCAGTTGCATTGGAAATCAGAGACGATGACTACAAAACAAGAGAGTGGGAGTGCACGATGAGAATCATATCAATCATCTTCCTTTAGATGAGGAAAAATGTGCTTAATATGTTGATCACATTATATCAGAGAAGATTATGTTTTAGAACTCTTTCTTCTTGGTATGCTTCTAAGACATCAATAAAATGTAGTTATTCCATATTTATAAAAGGCTGCCACCTAAGTTAGAACTGAATTAAATTAAGGGGAGGAAAAAAGACTGTACCTCAGTTGATTTTGAGCCAGATTTGGTTCGAGACATGAAGACGCTAAGAAGCCTCATGATGACCAAGTGAACTTCATTGATGGAACTTCGCTCATTCTTTTTGGACACGTCCTGCAGAACAATAAATGAATGGGGTGAGTTAAAGAATTGTATATTTTGAGCCAAACAAAAAAAAAAAAGAAAATAAGAGATTGGGTGTACCTTCTTATGCATGCCAAGCTCTGCAATGAGCTGTGCAAGTAGGTCATCCAGAGCGCCCTTATCCTTTTCGTCTTCGCCATCGAGGTCAGAGGTCAGCATAAGAATAACTTGCATGTAAGGGATGGCTTGAACTCCACCCACATTGTGGAGCTGAGACAGGTGCTGCAGCAAGCGCTCCAGTAGCATAAGACGTACCATGTGCAACCTAATGACAAACATCAAGGCACAACAGTAAAACCTTTTGCTTCTAACCTGATCGTATTTAGGTTAACGGGGAGTTCATCTACCAACAGCATCCCACAAATACAAACTTCTGTCTCTATATCATTTGTATTTATTCTCAAGATGCATTGATGGAGAGCAGAAATTTAGAATCCTGCATAACATAAACTATCCTTCATTCAGCAGTCTGACCTGTTGCTTGTGTGGATGTCTCCTTCAGTCTCTCCTTCTCCTTCTGATCCTTCACCTTCCTGCTGTGCTGTTGTGGTGCTGATGGCACCTGTACTTGAACTCACACTTCCTGGACCAGCTGGGTGGCCCTCCACTGTTGTGTCTCCATATGCACTGCTGCGCCCTGACACTGTCAAGCAAAACAAATAAAACAAATTTAAACAAAATAAATGTTTAAAAACACAATTGGGAGACAGTAATATAAACAAAAGACGTAAAATAAAAAACTACACGTCTTTTTTAATTGATTGTCACTCAGCGCTTGATAGCAAATCTTAAAGATCTGATTGTCCTTTAACCTCACACTATAATAATGTGAAAAGGTCAAAAAAATTGGTAACTCATGGAAGTGTCGACAGGGATTCAGAAACCAATGAATAAAATAGGGACAACTTAAGGTCTAATTTGTATTGACTCCACAAAGAGTATATATTTCATAGACTGGATATGACTGATTTCCAGCATGCATATTTAGTTCTTCTCATATCAGACTGGCCTCTTTTACTAAAATAACCCACCACTGTGCTCCCCTGCTACAGAGTCGATAGCAGAACCCCCACTCTCTGAGCCAACACTGCCTCCGTGCTCAGCTGGGGAGGTCCGCAACGTAGAGCCATCAGTAGCAGCAGTGCTGCCCTCATCATCTGATGCCGGGGCTGAAATCATAGCAATAGCTGTAACAGTAAATACACCGCGGTCATCTGGCCAGATTACATGATCTTAGTTCATATCTATTCACTAACAATATAAAAAAAGATCCAGCACAATCAAGCAAATTCAGCTTGTCGTTATCGTTTGATCCTTTACTCTTGTTATAGGCAGTGTGATAAAAAGTTTTTGGGTTGGAGTGAGACGAACGATAAACTCTAAAGAAAGAAAGACAATTGCTTCATATAGTATATTATGTGGGAAAAGGAGAAACTGTGCTTTTGACAAGTTTCTGAGTTTCAGGACTGGGTTTAACAAAAACAACACCCATATTGTTTTTTATTATCAATTTGAAAAAAGAAACACACTTTACTTTCAACTGTGTACATAGAATTAAAAAATAAAAATAAAAATAATGACAAAACCTTTATCAATAACACACTGATACCTGATGCTGTTGTGTCTGAAAGTGTTCCAGCATCTAGTGAAGAGGAGCTTGGGGCCTGGCCAGACAGACCAAGGCTCTGAAGGCCAAGAGCACTACTGCTGCTGCCTAAAATGCCAAAACATATAGATTTAAAACAATGACCGATATGATGGAAGAGATTCAGAATGAAGAACATACTTATACAGACAAGAACAATCCCCTATAGTGCACTCAATATGTGAGTTTGTGTTTTTCCATCACCCATATTCAAACTTGTTAGTGACTTGTTTAAGAAAATTGATTTTGCTTCTGATACATTCCAAACAAAGTCATGACCAACTATCTTCGCGGGAGTCTGACGTTTCAGTCACCACAGTATCAACACCGTACCTTGTTGGTCCTGCTGGAGGCTGAGAGCTATGGCCAGCTCCACCATCGTTTCATCATCAGCATCTGGAGGAATATCAAGCATTGGGGGGAAACCCTCGGCTCCAGCCAAGAGAGCCTCAAGAGGAGATGGATTTCCATTGTTGACATTCTCTGCATTCTCCAGGACCATTGACTCGGACTGGGAAGACAATTAAAAAGTGTTATTCATGCATTTCAACATGCATTTGCTTTGTTCAATTAGGCATAAACTTAATCAAACAAAGAGGACTACATCTATTTTCATAGGGTCCCTCTCAGGACAATCTGACTGTAATGCCAAAGACTTAATTTCTAATGCCTCACCACCATCTCAAAGTCCCCATGGTCCACTTCACCCTGCTCTTGGCTCTCCTGTCGACCTTCTTCCCCTCCAGTTACCACAGATGACTGCATCTTGTCATCTGCATCATCGTCATCATCATCATCTTTGTCCCCTGATAAAGAACATTGACCAAAACTTTTAGAAAACTTGAAATGTCATTAGTCATGGGTTTCTTTGCGCTAGGTTGATAAGAAAGTACAAATCCTAACTGCATACACAGAATCACATCTCCAGCATGTGTCGTTTCAGTTCAGATGCTAACGCTCTCACTTACCCATTGGTGTGTTGGAGCGTGGGGGGGATGGAAGCGTCACATGACGCCGCTTGTTTCTTGGTCGCAGCACTCTGATTAGAGCCTGCTTACAAGCAAAGCTCACAGCAGTGTCCTGATTTTTTGGGAGGTAAAATACAACATGGTTAGCCAAAAACTCCATACTGACCATTAATATAATAAGCCAAGTAACAGCTTCCATCCTAATTTCGACAATTATGTAGAATTTTCCGATCATTTTTGGATGTTTTACTTACAGGGCAGAGCAACATTTGCATGTAGATTTTGGAGGCTACGTTGATGTAATCCAGTTCACATGTGCAGTATGCATGGATGATATCTACCAACGCGTTAACTGTTGCTTCCACATGAGTCAGGCCTAAAGTGGACAGAAAAAAAGTCTATTTTCAACTGTGTCCGACCGACCTAAAATTACCGTAGTAAAGCAGTTATTTACTGATTGTACTGTTCAAATATGAGTAGCTTTACGTCTTATTTACACAGGTATCATGGATAAATAGTCCTTAAATAATAGAGTCACAAGGTGTGAACTCACCAGGGAGGCACGCAGGAGCAAGAAATGCATTCTTGGGTTTTAAGGCATGGAGCTTCCAGAAGTTATTCATCAGCTGTGCGATGAAGTTACTGCTTTCACCATCCACATTTTTTAGCCCATCGTCAGTCATGTCTACTTCAAGAGGAGAAAAACATTTTACCTGATTCTTCTGCCTCAGAAAATGTCATTTTAAACAAGTTCTGCCACAAGGCGTTTTTGTTTATTTCTCATCATGAAGATGTGATTATTGATTATTTTTGTGCTGCAGCGTAAAATTATACGCTGTCGTTCTCCTGTATTTAACCATCTGTTGATGGTATCAGCCTCTTACCAGAGTCATGATGTAATGATTTATTTTCTGTGAAGTGCACCAAGTTGTTGGGCCTCATGATTGCAATGGAGCGAGCTGTGATCACAAGCCTCTGGAAGACATCAGGGTCAAGCTCCCTCCCTTCACGGCTGCAGCTGTTCAGACACTGCACGGCATTACTCAGCAAGGACTGATCCTGATGGGAGGGGGAGAGACAACATTATGAGACCTTTAAAAACAGCGAAAAGCTCAGTGCTAAGAATTCAGTTTGTTGTTTTATTCAGTATACATCTCTGACTGTCCATCTTTGCGGTTTAGAAATTTAACAGCCAAGATCAACATTTAGTGACTTTCTAGATTCCCTTCAAAGTCTGAATGAAATATTTGTTGTTCCTACAACTCAATACAATTGAATTCTTAGGGATTCTTCAATATCAAACCCAAATAATCACAGTGCAATTACATAAAATACCATATCCAATTCCATTGTCTATTTATTTGCGAATGCAGTATGCTGTCCTGTGACACAGAATAACTAAACATGTATTGATTAAATATCTTTTTAAAACAGGACCTCACAGCTCACCATCTCATTGCAATCAAGATGGAATTATTTACCTTGTGGTTGTGATAGGCATTACGGCTGGTGTGCAGGCTAGCAAGAAGTCCCTTCGTCTGCTGCTGCACACCTGCAGGAGTGGGCATGGAAAGGAGTAAAGTGGCCAACTCCAGGGCAGCCGTCTTGTTTTTCTCCTGCAGAATTGAAAGCATAAATGAAATGACACCAGACAAAATTCACTTAAATTATTCTCTTTAAGGTAAAGAAAGAACAGAATCTTCATCTTACCTTTTCACTGGAAGAGCCAACTGCAAAGCAGCTCTCCAGAGCTTCGAGGGAGCTTACCACCAACCTGAAAGAGAAAGAAGATTAATTCTGCCTCTTCCATTAATGTTATAAATCCTTACCCCCACCCCTAAAAAGCATTCTTATCTATTTGCAGTCTATGCTATTCTAAAAGCAAAACAGCATCAAATGCAAGAATAAATGCGAGGGAAAAAATGTATTTTTGTTTTATGATATGTTTAAAGTCTCAAGCAAAGACACACGAAGTGGCACACATGCACAAAACCATACAAACAAGCAGAGAAAGGGCTGTTACTAACCGGTCCAATGTTGATAAGGACTCAGTTTCACAACTTTTTATTGTATTTTTGGGAGCAAAAGAAAAAGAACAAACATAAGTGTGAGGATCACAGAAAGAAACAAGTGAAGTTAAATGATTCAGCTCAACAAAAGAGAGGCATGCCAGAAAAGATGATCAGAAGAGCCATGCACTAACACTGTTAAGAGAACCCAGCTGCCTCTGGTTTAGTCAATCTACAAAACTCATGGACATATTCTAAAATAGACCAACAAGTTAGGGAAGAGAAAAGTAGGAAATCACAGATAGGTGCAAAGTGTTTTTATGTACAATCTTGTAATGAAGACACTATAATTTCTTGAGAATTTAATTATCTGTAGACAAACTATGTTTGGTGCATCAGCAAATATGTATTACTGTCAAATCTGTTAAATTTGTCACATAAACCACCAAAAATTATCCTTAATCAATAAGATAAAAACAGTTCAAATAAAACCTGGATCAGAAAGCTGATGTTTATGCTGTCCAGTTGCAGCAAAAGTGTAGATTTCAACTAAAGGGGACTCAAAAGCACAACGGTCAAAAACAGTATACCTCTCTAGCACAGTGCCATTTGTTGTGGTTGGAGTGGCTATGTCTCCATCAGAGGTGCCATTGCCCTGGTTGAGACTGGGACTGCAGACATTGTTAACTGATGCAGAAGAAAAGTCCTCTGGTGGATCCTCAGGCCAGCCAAACTGCTCCTTGGTTTTCCCATAGATCTTGACTGAGTCAAGCATGGTGACTCCAGCTGGATCGACCGATGCGCCAACTTTTAAGAAATATCAAATCAAATCAGAATATTTATCATCTAACTTAAAATATTTTGATCCCACCATTGCAACAGCTCGGATCAGTCTAATTCATGAGACATGCTAAATCTTTCAATTTGTTAGGCACTTAGAAATCACATTAAAATAATAAACAACTGCAACTTTTATGATTAATTCAGAATATTTTAAATGAAAGTGGAAAGCAATAAATGGGTTGAGACGCTCTTTTCTGGATCTTACTGAATATGGAGAGCTTTTTGTCAGCCTGCAGAGCTTCCTCTCTGGTGAAGGGGAAGTCAAACCAGCGAGACCTCGTCAAGTTTATCTGCATGGTGCGGCCAAAGACCTCCACATAAGAAGGAGCCCTTTCAATGGCCTGAGTGCCCACTTGCACTCTCATTCCAGTCATCACCATCGAACTATTGTTGTTTACCACTTCCACAGTGAATCCCCCAGGCTGCGCAGAAAAAACATGGAAGATTTGGGTTATATCGAACCCAATCATAAACCATAGCTTTTGAGGCATAAACATATAAATGCATTTATTTGGCTTAAAGGCTTTTTTAAAATAACATTTAACTATGAATGGTTTATCATTTAGTCTGGATGTACATTCAAAATTAAAATGAACATCTAGGTTATTGTTAGGCACCAATTTCTGACACTGATATTTCTACACATTTTTTAACACAGGCCACTCAATTTAAAAACTCTCTACCTTTGTGTTGGCCACATACATCCCTGTGGAGTTGAGCCTGTGTTTGATCTGCTGTCCATTGTACACCTGCAGCAAATCATTACCCCCAAACTCCACTTCAGTCAGCTGCTGGTTGTGTTCAAAGAAGTCCACCGGAAATGTCACCTGACTGGAGGTCCGGGTAGCTTAAAGTAGAATGATTATATTAGAAAACATTTAGCTGTAAACATAAACTCTCATTTTTCAAATAACTTTATGTTAGATGTATTTGTTAGTCAGCAGAGTGCATTGATCCTGAGTAAAAACCATGCAGTTTTTCAGTCAACCTTAATTAGGTTCCTGCCAGTTTTGAATTTGGTAAATAGTATATGCCATTTACCAGTCAAAAACTCACTTGCAGCAGCAGCTTTACGCTTGCGGACAGGTTTCATGATACTTATGCCACAGCTTGGCTGCAGGGAGGGTTGGAGCCAGTATGAAGTGTTATCGACATTTGCCATGTAGATTCGGAGGCTTCCATCCTCACAGAGAAGAATCATGGTCGTACGCTGTTGCTCGTTGCTGGCAGTGTGCCGGATAGCTACCATATCCTGAATCTGGGGAAGTTAAATACAACGGATAATCTTTTTATGCAAAACCGTCTAATGATTTATGAAAGACAAGGTTTTTCCAGAATGTAACATCCCTGAATGTATGAAAGACCCCAGCCCAATCACACATTTTGTAATTCCTTTCCCCACTTTGTACCATACTACCTTCCATTAGATTTACCTTTACAAACTTATTAAGCTGTCTCATTTCAACATAGTACATTACTCTTACCTTGGCTTTAGCTGGCAAAGTTTTAATCTCCTGGATAAGGAAGGTGTCGGGTTTGACCATGATCACCAGAGGTATGCCTGTCGTCTGCTGCACACAGCACACCAGACCTGGATGGTTCATGACTTCTGACCACTGACACAGAGCAGGGGACATCTTACCACTGCCACCGTTAGAGCTAAAGAAAGCAAGAGGACAGTGGAGCATTAATTGTTTTGTTTTTCCAGCTTAGCTTAGAACTTTTACATCTTATAGACCCTGTTCTGTGGCAGCGAAAGGCAGCAGTCATTAATGATGCGTTAGTACCCTTTGATGTTGATGGGGAAGAGCCTCTGCACTTCAGTTGTGCTGCGGCTCACTGTGGCAGCGAAAGACTTCCCCTGGCTGTAGCTAAAGAAAAGCATTTGGAGAACGTGGGAGTAATAAACAGACACACCACCGCCGGCCACCTGCCCATTGCTGTCCTGCAATCACAAAGAGAGAATTGACTTGAGTAATACTTTTCGCAGTTCAAAAGTTTTAAGAAACATCTCAAACACGAGTTTTGGTGTCTGAAGATAACACAAAGGCACTGACACATTTTTTGTTTAAGCTTTTAAGTCATCTTGATTTTGAGGGTGCAATGTTTCTCCAAACATAAAATCAAGTTACCTTTAAATCCTCGTGGGTTATCTCCAAAACGTTTGTGACATAGAAAGGGCCATGCTGAGCACTGCTCGATTCATCCATGACCTGAGTGTACATGTAACCTGCTGAGGACATGATTACAATGATATTTTTCCCCTCTTCATTGAAAAGGAATGTAGCATCCCGGATCTTGGAACTGGGGAGCAGGAAGTAGTACATGGGACTCAGGGCATCCACTGATAAGTCATAGATCTGTTTCCAAAGCATAAAAAAATGACACATTACTCCAAAGCTGAATTCATCTCCAAAACATCAAAAGATTCTTTGTTACATGCAGAAACTTGAAATGATTTTCATTAATAACACATTAGCACTCTTTCAAAACTTAATGTAAAGAACTGTTGCAATGCTATCAGTATATACCTTGACAAAGTCAGCAGTGATGATGGCAAGTTCAGTCTGAGAGCCTGGTAACCAGATTGCTTTGATGATGAAGTTGCCTGTTGCGAGTTGTGGGTGCAACACCAGATGGTCCGACACAGAGCCGGTGCTGCTGAAAGTTAGAACGTGGCAATCCTGGGAGCGATATGATTGAATTTAAATTAGGATGAATACTACTGTCTAAATTTGTACAACTACATTTTGTTGTGCTTTAGATTCTATTTCTACTGTTTAAAGCAAAATAAACAATGTATAGTAATTCAATGGACATGACTCATTAAAAAATAAAATCTTTAGTTTAGAAGAGGCTTTCTGACCTTAAGGCCACAAACAGCCAGGTAGTCTTCATTGCACGGATTGCCTGTGAGACTGAGTACAGTGAAAGGGACAGGGGCAGAGGCCAGACGGGTCAGTGTTAGCTTCCTCTTGCTTGAGTCAGCTTGCTTAAGGAGAGTGGACAGCTGAAGAACTGTTATCTGTCAGACAGAAGGAAAAAAAATTGTCAGGTGGTGAAGAAATTTTAAGCCAATCCAAAAAGAACAGAACCATTTGAAACACTTATGTAACTTGACACAACTTGAGAAATAGTCCACTTTTTTTTAATCTGTGGTAGTAAAGAATCTATTGTAGAACAGCATTTTTCATCTAGTAATGCACAACACAACAGCAAAGTATTGGAAGAACTTGCTCAGGTCCTTTTCGTGAAACCAGAGAGAATCTTTAGACTCTGCTTACCTTTCCCTTTTCGTGGCTAACGGCGAGATGCTGGCGGCGGCCATGAGGTGATGAGAGGACACACATGGCAACACGACGCAGGACATGTGCACTAATGAGCTGACGTATAGTTTGACCCTGGTCTCCACTGTAATTCATTCTCACGTTCTCAAAGGCTCCCTCCTGAGACCCAAGTGTGGGCACCTGTGAAAAGACAAGTGTCTATATTGTACTTCTGCTCATAAATAAACTTAATTTAATGAAGATCAAGTTAAATTCATTTTCAAGGAGTTAAGTCACTGTCATCGTTACCATTAACTGGTCTGTCATTTCCACATTCTTGTCCTGAGTATGCAGTTCGTCGAGGGCCTGCTGAGCCCGGCTGCTACTTCCCACTGCGGAGGCTTGCTGGAAGTTGGTCTGGATGGCCTCCATTAGAAACATGAGCATTTCAAGAATGGCTGCAGCAGTGGACGATCCCATCTGCCATGGAAAGGAAGCCAAAAATTAAGGTTACACAGTGTACAGTACAGCTCTTTAAATAAAAATAATTTTACAAAAGAGACTGGTGGTAAAATACATGAAGAAAATATTTTCTGTCTAACCACTTGTGAAAGTAGCTCCTCCTGGCAGCCCTCAATGCTCTTGCACACACTACTCTTCTTAGGCCTGTCTTCGTCACCAGATTTGCCATCACAGATGGTGACCTTTCCCTTGTCGGACGGTGAAGCATTCTGGTGGCGGATAGCACTCTCAGGCATTCGCATTTCACTCTGGAACGCTGACGATTCTTTGAGAGTGGAGCTTATTCCGCTGCTGGGGCTGCGTTTGACCAGCGCCTGCAGATTATGTGACACACAGTAACCCATTAAAAACAAAGATCACACATGTAGTTACCAATCAATTGTTTGGACATGCCTATAGATGTGTGATGAATGAGTTTTTGTGTCCAAACGTTTGAAAGGCAATGTGCTCTTGGATAATAAGAATAACAGCATAGACTTTTTTACATTTCTACAAATAGTTATTTTTTCTTTCACTTGACTAGCTTCTCCACTACTGACAAGGAATGGTCAAAACCAAACAAAAATCATACAATGACTTAATTACACAGAACCAACTAACTATAGTGTAAAATAAGCATTTTTCTCCATGCCAATATGACCTGCTTCTACATGACTGTTAAAGCACATTTAAAATTCATTCTTCATTAACCATACTCCAAAGTGAAAATAACACAAACATGCTCAAAACTATTAGCTGCAATCATAAGCTCAACTCTGACACAGAAGAAGAGAAAAAGTGCAATCATGAACACAAAGGAAAATTACCTAAGGCCTATGGTCACTGACAGAACAGAAAATGTAGTTGATGGTTTGATATTTACATGCAGATAATAAAACAGTAACTAGGGAAACTGGCCTTCTCGATACACAAAATAAATCAAACAGATTTTTTACCAAATGTCATCTCTTATTTTCGGGCCATATGTTTTGACTAGCTATAATCCTAATCAAATGAAATGATGGGATGGAAGTCAATGGGGGAATGACTTGCAAGCCAAAGTTACCGCTGTTGTTCTCTTCCCATGATGACCTGAGGTATTCGGTCTCACCTGGCAGCTGCCATCCTCTTTGGCACCGCAGTCACAGAAGAAAGAGCCATATTTTGCATAGGAGATCTCATGGTCTTTGTGACAGACCTTGGCGCACACTGTGCACACACCTACCCCATCCACCATCTTACAGGTGTGACAGTGGTACCTATAAAATGATATGGGAAAGACAGAGCCATGCAGAACATCAGTAAGTACTTGAATACTACATTATGAAACTACAAAGAACTACGTTTTTTTGAAGGGTCTGGACCTCCATTTCCACTGTAGGAACCAGGAAGTAATCAACAAAAATTTTTTAAAAAAAGCAGGAAAAAAACTAATTTTACCAGTGCTGGTTCATAAACTCCTTCTGAGTTATGGTAAAGGTGCAGAGTTTGTTGCAAAGGGAGTCTTCGTCCTGCAAAATGGTAAAAGCATGTTTTATTGGGAAATTTTAGGATTGAAACCCAGAAAATGAAAACAGATTAAATGCATCACTGAAAGAATCAATACTTCAACAGAATAACATGATGATGAAGTCAAAGACACTTAAAACTGAGATCATATGGATCTTAAATATACAGTAAAGAGAGTATACAGTGTGATTAACACCCTCACAGTTCAAAATAATTTTACATTTAAGTTTGTAGCCTTTATTGCTTATTTACACAACAAGTTCCTGTTTGAGAGAGAAAAAAATTATGACATCTTACAGAGTCCTCTGCTTGTGAATCATCCTCCTCAACAGCAAGTTCTTCAACCCAGTCGGAGTCCACTTCCATTGCCTTCTCATCTCCCTCGACGAGTAGCGTTGACGTACTCTGACCACTGCTTTGCCTCAGAGCATTCATCACATCAGCCAGATAAGAGATGATGTGGCATGAGCATTCTAGCATGCTGGCATGCTGATAAAGAAGAGGAGTATTTTTAATAGCCTGACACTAATATTCAATCCAAATACATTTCAAACTGGAGAGGAATCATTTTCTAAATCTTGTTGTCAAAGAAATTCCCTTTAGACCAGTGTTGTTACAAACTACAGTATATGGTATACACACAATATAGAGAAAGAAACTTTACCTTCCCATGGGACAAGTTTGTGCTGACTTTCTCCACAACATTCTTCTGTGTTAAATACTTTTTACTGTAAAAAAACAAAACACAAAGAGACTGACTTTGAACTCAAATTACTTATCAAATTACTGAAGAAGGATTAAAAAATGTAAATCAATGCATGCAGTTGCACAAAGTCTTATAAAAACATTTATTGGAACTTGAACTGAAGTGCATTCCAAACTGGTCTCTTACCATCTGGTCAGCCAATCAATGGCTGCCCTGTGAAGCTGCAGATGACCAGCGCCCTGCCCAGCGCTCGCAAGAGTTGCCATGATGACCATGAGTTCTGGAAAGCCTGTTCCATCGCCATTGGCCAGCATGTCCGTTGCCATGGGAACAAGAGTGCTGAGGAGGACAGTGCACACCCCCTCTCCCACCTGACTGTTGTCACGGACGATGTGAGTGGTGAGCAGCTGCAACAGCTGCCGGTTTTCTTGCACTATGTCCAGGTGCTCCGAGTCCTTTGGTGGAGTAGCCGTCATACGCGTCAGCCACGACTGCAGGCGGGACGGCTCCACACAGGCCAGCTGGGCCAAGGAGCCACACAGGGAGAGCAGGCTTGGGTTTGGACTCTTCTCCGCTGCAGGAGAGAGGATTGTGTGAAATGTAACTTTACAAGCATTATTTCATAGGTTACAACTTTCAGAGTTTTCCATCTCTTCAAATTCAGCTCCTTTCAGACATGCATTCCATTCCATGCATTCCAGAAACACGAGGGACTGAACGTCTGCAGTGTTTCAATATGCTGGTGCTTCTTTTCCGACAACAATCAATTAGTAGGACAAACCAACGCAGCAGTCTTTACCGCTGTGACCATTTTACTGTGAAGCACACACAATAACACAAAAAAGACAGTTTTTCTAACATCTGATCAGCTGTTTTGAGGAAACAACGGAATGAATGCTCAGAGTAGTTTGAGTAGCAGCCTAAGATGTTATACCAATACTTTTAATGATTTAGAAATAAGGTATGTTCTTTTCTATTTTTTAAAACTCTTTAGCAAGGTGGAGAGACCCTTAATAATTGATAAACATGACAGCGACAGTCCAAAAATGTGTACCGACGCTGTCCAAAATGATCATATAGGTTAGTATTTCCTATAATTGAAAGCATTTTTTTATTTCAAAACAAGTGTAGACTTACTGAGCTGGAAAAGCTTGGTGAAGAATTTCAGCACCCTGTTGCAGAATTTGGCCGACAGATTTTCATTGGCTGTTGCCATCATAATCTGAACAAGTTCTCCACTGGAAAAGAGGAGAGAAATATCAGGTTAGATGGAGGTAAAAAGATGGAATAATAATAACAGTGTGATTATTTAGGGAAATACCCGAAAGAAAAGAATTCCTCCATTGCCTTCCGAACTTGACTGCTCTCTAACTGTTTTTCTAAGTACTGAAGGCATTCCTCGAGGACCGACTCATCCAAGCCACTGAAATATTACATAAAATGATCAAATTAAGCAGGATAAAATTATAGTAATTAATAATAACAATGCAAATAAAATATATCAAGCTGCACAGGGGAAGAATGATCTGATCCAAGCAATGATCAATTTCCCCACGCAAACTGAATTTTGGTATCACATTGGTCAGTTCCCATCCCAAAATCCCATCCCACGCAACATACCTGGTGGGGTCTGAGTGAGTGGCAATGATGTTGTAACATCCTGTCACCAAACGCTCGTAGATGCGGGCCAGGAAGGCATCAGACTCTGATGGGCCTAGGATGCGCTCCAGCGAGGTGCTGCTGATCTCAGCCACGCTTTCTGTGCTGCTCTCCAGGAGGAGGGGCAGCAGAGTGCTGACAACCTGTGTGGGATTTAGCTCCTCTGTACTGGAGAGGCAAAAGAAATTACCAAATTACCCAGTGGTCCCAGGTTTTCCATAATAAGAGGTGCACCTGTCAGAGCTTTGAACTTTGAGAAAAGTAAGCTACTTACACAATGAGGTCACCAGTGAGGCGAACCAAGGAGAGAAGGATGTGCTTTAGAGATGCAGCCAGAGGCAAGGACTGACCACTCAGTGTGCCCAGATGAGCTGCCTGGATGGCACTGATGTAGCTCTCTGAAGGAATGGTATCATTGGCAAATGCATTTCGCTGAGAAAGGAAATACACAATATTGTTAGTCAAAGTTGGTATTACAATTAATTCACGTTAGTTTTTAATAACATTAGAAGCTTGAACAAAAATGTAGATAAACCAAGTCTTTGTTTACATTTGCTATAAAAAACACTGCAATTATTTTCATGTACGTTTTCAAGAAGGGCCGGAACTCATAACTAAACAAATAAAATAGAAAAAAGAAAGTAACAGTCAAAATGTGCTGAGGCAAGATCTTCTGTTATGTACCCATGAGCCGATGTTGGGGAATTCATTTGTGTTGACACTGTTCCAGGTCTCACATGTGGTCTGTACAGCTGTTGGCAAGTTCTGCATTAAACTGTGACCTGCGCACAAAGACGTGGAAGTGTTAAAACAGTGGCTTTACTGAAAAGCTGTTTGAACAAATGTATAACTAAAGAAGACCATTAGGAAAATCATCAAACAAACCCAGCGTGTTGGCCTTGCATCTGGTGGAGCCAATGGACAGAACTGCAGAATAACCTTGGAGCTTAGCATCAGTCAGCTTGTTTTCCCCTTCCTCTGGGATGTTCATCAACAGGTACGATCTGATCAAGACAAGTATGACATCAAAGTTAGAGCACAATGAATCATTCTAAAAATAAAACACATTTACAAAACAGGTTAAGGATGTTGCTCATTTTCAAAGGGCCCGTTCACGCCCCGTTCTCACCTTGTGAAGGCCGTATAAATGTCAGTGAGCTGCAGAGTGGCAGGCAGCAAATTTTTTGCGATATCAGAGGACTTGTGGGCATCGGCCTCGATCGCAACCTTGGACAAATGCTCATCTAAGGAAACCTGTACTTTGGAAATGACAGCATCCAGGGTATAGATGGCTTGTAAAGATGGCAACTGATGAAGGGGAAGAATGGCATTGGGGTCTACAGTCGAAAAGGTGGAGATCTGAAACAGAATTTGTCCAAGGGTTAAAGTTGGGAAAAATACGTTATTCAACGACACTTGTGACAATGTTGTGATCATTACCTGTCTGGCAATGTACTCTTCAGCTAGATCCACATCATATTTCACAGTGCTGCACTTCGCAGCCGTTATCTCAACAAGAGTGGCAGCTTGGTCTGTTTTCATTCCCTGCTTCACCAAGTGTTCCTGTGAGTGACGGCACAGACCGCCATTTATGGAAATAAAGCACATAATGTTGAAGACATAAACGTAGTCATACTGGTCAGAATTTTACTTGCTAACAAATGAAGTCATGGAACCTATTGTGATTGATAAAGCATCCTGCTGTACTTTCAAGCTTCAACAGACCTTGATCCAATTGACGTATGTCGATACTCGTAGACGTGAGGACCATCGCAGTGTATGCAGGATGTCGCTTTCACTGGAGTCGCTGCAACCAGTCTGTAGTTGCTCCATGAAGGCTTTTGAGGGTGGTAAAACACCCAAAATTCTCCACAGAACCAGAAAGTAGTACTGGAGAGAGCAGGCCTCCTGTGTGTTGATAAAAGCCATTTACTGAAACTATACTGAACTGGAACGATTACAATTTAAGAGGGATAACTAGAAGCTTTTTCTGTTTCTTGAACTACAAATCCTCACAAACCAGCCAGAACATCATGACATCATAAAGTATAATCGAACAAAAATGTCCTTGATATTAGTGAGTAACAGATTTGAACTGCACTGACACAAAGATACAGTCGGACCTATTCAAAAATTTAACAGACCTAACTTTTTTAACTTTGACAAATATTCTGAATGAACATGTGACACTGCAGTTGACAGCTGCCTCATGGGTTGTGCTCTCACCACAGGAGAGATGGGTTTGTTTTCTTGTCTTCTTGCAGTGTCAAACTGAGATCCCGCTGCCAGGAGTGAGACTAGCGATGCATACAGTTCATCATATTTAAGGGTTCCATTGAACAGCTTTGGGAAAACCTTTAATAAAGACACAAAAACAAATAGTAAAGAATGGTCACAGCAAAATATAGATAATCTGGTGACCCACAAAAACACATAAACCCAGGTAAATGGAACTGGATGACTGAAAACATATGACAAGAACAGAAATCATTCCAGCTCTTACCTTGTTGTCTAGTCTGCTGATGTCATCTTCAGACGCCTCAGGGGACAGCACACAATAGAATTTAGGTTGAACGTTTGAATCTAGAAAAGTTGAAAATTAAACAGAAAAAACTGTTTATATTCTGTCTGCAACAAACACACGAACATTATTTTCACAAAGGAAAGGGATTCAAAAGCAAAGACAAAAGACACAATCCATCCATGCATTCAAATAGAGGAGTTCATCAGCTTTACCTGCTGAACAGTTTTTAGCCCAGTTCTCTTCCACCTCTTTGAATCCATAGTAAAGTGGGAGACTGTTGCGCTTACTGCTTTCCTGAACAGAACTTGGCCCGGTGGATGGAGGGGTGAGAAGGTTGTACTGCACCTACAGTTTTCATTCATAAACAGGGGTTATTACATTTCCTCTTAACACAATTAAAATATGCTATTCTTTATTTTTTAGAAAAAATGTCTATGAATTGTATGAATTGAGAAATGACTATTCATGGATCTTCATAAAAAGTAACAGTTTACACTACTTTACCCCCACAACTGTTTCAGAACTAACTCTGACCTGCTCAAAAAGGTAAATGGGAGCCTTGGAGTAGTGACGCTGCAGGTAATCGAAAACCAGCAACAAGCGGGCCAAGTTGAGGGGTACAGCCTTCAGCTGGGAGTCTCTGCTCTGAGCCACCTCAGTAATAGCCTGAGTGACCATGGTGAGGACTGATCGACGACCACGTTCTGACAGATTGTGGAAAAGGAGCAACAGCAGCTGGAGGTGTTCCACATTCAGGTCATCTTCTGCATGAATGGATCCCTGCATGGTGTGCTGCTTCAAGGTTCCTAAAAATCTGAGAGAAATGTGTGGATTTTCAGGCTGGAACACGAGGTGCGGTTTAAAAAATGACAGCTCACTGCATACTACGAAAATTCAACATTTATTTAATTCATTCTTCACTAATTTAACATCTCAAGTTGTTTCTTTCAACAGTTCTAAGGGATGTCTAAGGCTGATTATATCATAAAGAATTCAATTATGACTGTCATACCTTTCCCAGACTTTCATACACTCAGGCACGTCTGGTTCTCCCTGCACGGTGGCTTTGTGCTGCCATATGAGCAGAAGTCTTGAGAGGACCGACAATGACTGAGGGTGAATGTACAGAGGCCAAGGACCCTCAGAAAAGGGAGCAACCCCTAACTGCTGAAGCAGGGTGTTCTGGGAATGACAAAAGAAAGCAACAAAATTCTAAAACCTTTGTCTTTTTATGAATAACAAACTGGCAAAATAAAACAAGCTTCTTCTCACCTGCAAGGCTGGAGATGGAAGATCCGAGGTTACTAAAGTGTGGTTAAAGTGGTACAGAGCTAAGGAAAAGGCTTCATCTGAAGAACCTGAAAGATAATAGTGACCAGCACCTTTCGTTATTTCCTATGAACCTACGAAAAGAAAACGGTTTATTTAGGGAAATCGTTTTTATGAAGGTGAGGCCAACCTTTGACATCTTTGTCGACATCTTTGATGATGCTTGCTAGCGTAGCCATGTGTTGCTCTGTAAGAGACACGCTCAGGTAGTTGCGGATGAAGTTGTTCCTGGACTTGAGCATTGATGTGGTGATAAAGTTCAGAATGCTTGAGGTCAAACTGAGGAACTTAAGAGTCAAAGAGATACGAGTCAGGGGGTGTTTACAAGTCTAGACATCCAGATGCTGCGGCAGACTACTAATACGTTTATCATGTTGGTTTGAAAAGTGTTGTCTGATGAACCATAAAAATGAGTATTTACCAGTTCAGGATCCTTTCGGCCTGCTAAAATGTTGCCATTCTCACTGGGGTTCTGCTTGCTGGGGCTCTTGAGTCTGGGAGAGGTCTCGAGGGGTGGTGGTGGTGGAGGAGGTGGCGGGGCCACTTTATCTTTGGTTGGAGAAATAGTCTCTTCAAACCATAGCCCCAGGATGGGTTCACTGTCGTCATCTGCCAAGAAGGTCAAACATTTTTTATGTAGATTTCGTGTAGTGGAAAAGAAAGATCTTAGAAACTTATGAGGTATTTGTGGAGTTGCAGTGGTGGTCAATAGTACATGAAAAGCTTCACACTGGTTTATGACACCTACAACACAGTGCAGGCAGTGGAAAAGTCATGGAAAGCGGTAAATAGTGAACAAATGCCTAGTTTTAATGAAAAACCAAAGAATTAGGAATGGGGTAGAATTTTTACATTTCCTCAATGACATGCACTTTTTTATGTCTCTTACTGAGGTGAAGACAAAGCTTGTTTAACATATTCTTTTGTTCCACATTACAAAACAGGATGTGAAATGCTTAAAAACAAAGCAAATGCTACTGTGTTTCTCTGTCACGACAGCACCTTGAAATAAATGCTCCAAAAGTCCATGTAGTAACAGCCTAACTCCTTCCACTGAGTAATCTCTCACTCAGATGCATCAACAGATCCGCTGACCTTTAAACTATATATATTTCACTCATGAACTTTTGCAGCTGCCTCTATTATTTAGGGCATTTTAAATTTGGTTAATAGAGATTGACAAAAAATGTAAGTTAGACATAATACTGAATTCAAAGCTAAATTGAATATAAAATTAATATAAATGCTTTTGTACTGCAGGCAATCATGACACACACAATGCTAGGCCCAGATTCACACTCACTAATTATAATCTATATTCCCAAAAAACTCAACACATTACTGCTATTTAATTCCATAGCGGAAAGGCATAATTTTCAAACCTGTGTTATGGATTAGATTTGTACGCACAGGCATCATGCATCAGAAACAAGAAATGCTCTTTAGAAATTATGATAGAATAAAGCCAGTTAAATTTCAATAACTGAGAATTTTGAAGGACAAGACTTAATTTTATTTGTTGTGAAATCATTGTATTGACTTAATTGATTAGTCATGTCTTAATTTACTGTATTTGATCTGACACACAAAGGAAAAATACTATTCTGCCTAATGAAAGCTTACACCTTTCCCATTCACAAACAAAAAGGTACTAAGGTCTGAAAAAAGCGAGACTACTAAAATACCCTTTTTTCCCTCAACTTTCAACTTATCATTACTAGAATAGAATAGAAACAGCTTTTATTGTCCCACAAAAGGGGAAACTCAGGATCTCTCCATATATACGCCTCAGGCTGCTCAAGTGAAATACAAATAGTTGGGATAACTCAGTTCAGATCAGGTACGTCAACTTTCCAAGCAAACTGAGTTCTGTTGTGCCTTTTTTCTATCAAAAGTACCAGATTAAGAGACCTTGCCTTCAGAATACAGAGGCCAGAAAAATACATATGCAGTGAAAAGCCTCTTTGCCGCGCACAGAACTGTCATGTTACACACCAACCAGCACCCATTCAACTACCTCAGCTGAAAACAACACAATCTGGGAAAGGTGCATCTGAGCCCTATCATTTTAGGACTGGTTTAGTCCCGCCTATGTCTGTCTTCTGACTCACGACACACCAAACACTGATACCAATCCACGTGGGTGGTATATCGCCTAACCACAGCGAGATCATTTAAATACAAAAACCAGACACAACTTTTAGGTTGGAAAAGAATATCACACAGAGCCGATATTCACATCTGCATGCAACATACATAAATCAAAACTTCAGGTGACAGCAAGACAAAGCATTGTGTGTTTGAGCCCTTTAAGCACATCTTGGGAGTTATTTTACTCAAGAATGATACCAATATTTTGATGTGGGTTCTCCTTCATTTTTATATTTAGTCACAGTTAAAGTCTCAGAGAAACAGAAAATACAGGCAAAGGTTATTCTAAAGGACGTCTTTTATCAAAAGTTTCAATACTAAAAATAATGAGCACCCACATAGTAGTGTCACTGGTATTATCCTTTGAAACACTAGGAGCCACAGATGAACCTCAGACAAAAATATATTTTTATCTTATGTCAATTTTTATCGCTGGGATTGTTCATCTTTGGCTGGTCGATTTTGGAAGCCATCAAGATTCAAAGCTCAGAGCCTAAACTGTGTGACATACAGTACAAAAATGAATCTAGGACAGTGATGTGAACACCAAATCTTTGACCTGATGACAGAAAACTGCTGACCTGAGACACAAGCTGCACTTGTCTTCTCCTGTCTTCTCTCTGCTGAAATAGTAAAAACTGTCAACTACACTGTCATTGTGTGATGGAGGGACAGAAATTGTACTACGTCACTGTGTGAGTGTATATGTGTTTACCCCTCACCCTTCTGCCATTACCTGACTGATCAGACCTAACTGCTGCTAAACTGAGAGGTTTAGCAGAGTAATGTGACTACTTGAAGAGAAAAATAAACTGCACCCGCAGACTCAGAGAGCAGTCTGAGGGGCCGGATAAGGACATCTCACTATTATCAACAGTTAGCTTTCAAGACCTTTATTGTGCCCTAAAGAAAGGAAGTTTTGATAGAGTGTTTTACTGCTTTGCAAAGGTTTATTACACTCTACATGTGAATGCGTTTTCCTTCATAAGTAAATAGCCCGATGTATTTTTACAAACAAAGTCTTCTGCACAAGTTTAAAAAAAAAAAAATCTTCTATTTTGCTTAGGTCCTTTGGGTTTCTTTTTTCTGTGCTGAATGTATAATAATGTCAGAAAACATAACTTGTGAGAAGGGTTTCCAAACTGCTGCTTTCCTGCTTCAATCCAGAAAGATGAAAGTACCTTGGCTGCTATCTTCCTCCGTACTACTGAAATCATCCTCATAGTAGGTGTTTGAATCTGTGGAAGCACTGGCATCACTGCTGACTGATCCCTTCCTCTGCCGCTGAAGAACACAGGCCTGATGAAAGCAAAGGAGATAACTGCCTCTATAAAATCATGTATTTGGCTTTTTTTTCTCTATACAATAATGAAACAAATCTCGTAAAACTATTTTTTTGGGACAAATATTCCTGTAAAATGTCCTTCTTTTGAATAAGAACGTTATTTGACATCCAAATAAATCCAATTTGTTGCATCATATTACGGATTACAATTAGTTAAATTGAACGAGTAATCATTTCAAATTTAAATCTACATGCTTATATGCACCTTTTTGTAGGACGTAGAGAGAAGAGTGAAGAGTAGATTTGTCAGGGGCACAGAGTCAATGAGTCGCTGGACCCTTTGGATGGAGGTGCTCTGTGCCATGATGTTGAGCTCAGCTGGTGGTCCATCGCTGGCCCAACCCTGCAGATTAAGGTTCACATGTTTTTTAATTTCAATGAGTCACGGCTGCAACAATTCAAGTAAAAAGAGAGTTTTAAATGGCTTGGAAATACGCGTGACTCGTTTTTGTCAACAATAAAAATAGAACAGCATGCTGTGGGGAGAAGTGCCTTTTAAGTACGTAAGAAGGCAGACATGTTTGTTTTTCTTACTCGGTGCAGAGCCTCCACTTGCAGATCCTGGAAAAGTGAAGTCAAAAGTTTGATGGCGTGATTGGCCAAAATCACAGACAGGACTCCAAACCCTTGGTGCCTTGAAGGGAGCACAAAACAGAACAAAGAAATCTTTCACAAAATGTATTGATTAAAATAATTCTAATCACTAGTGTAGCGAAACATTTAAACAGGATCCTTTGCAGAGACTAAAGCCCCCTGAGAAAATATAATACAATTGCAGTGATGTAGTGAAAGTAAACAGGCCATTACACAACAAACATGGATGAGTTCAGCCCATTAACAGAAGAATGTTTTTTCCTAATTCAGAATTACCCTTTGCCCGGGCCAAGCTTAGGCGATCCTGCGCCGTCTTTGGTGCGAGCAGCAATGTCCCGGACACGAAGGGCAGCCAGAGGATCCTTCTCTTTCCCTTTATCTGCCAGGGCAGTTGGGCTCAGGTTGAGAATCAGGTAGAGACTGTTTAGGAGGCACCAGGCTCCGAGCAGCTGGAAGTTCTGGTAATGCTGAAGTGCACGGAAACCAACAATAATGAGTCATTTCTTACACTGAATATCCAAAGCTGTAAACTGTGAGGGGAAGCAGACTAAAAATAAGCACACACCAAAACCCAGACACTCACCTCTCCTCCAGCTCTGCGAGAGTTACTGATTGCTTGTCCAATCATCTCATAGATCTCCAGCTGAATGGGAAAAAATGCCAGAATTCTGGTCATTAACACATTACCTTTGACAGCGTTCACATGGCAGAGACTAATCAGTTTGGATCAAACACAATACTGCACAAACAACTTTCTTAGTAGGTTAACTCATTAAATGTAGTTTTACTCATTTTTCTTTTATTGTCTCCACTTGGTACATAGTAATTTATGAACAAACGATATTGTACTCGTGACACTCACACATTTCTGGACAATTGTGGCAGCATCATTTTCATAGTCCTCTTCTTTTGTCCCGGTGGAGGCAGAGCGCAGCTGCAAGCCACTACCTACCTGCAGAATGGCCATGCAAGTGGCCACACTCACACCTGACGGGTCACATGTTATCTTTCAGTTAAACTACTCAACTTTCAACACAATGCAAACAAGAACTAACACTGTCCTGGTAAGTTAAACAATCAAAAATACAGCAAATAGCAAATACAGATACAAATGCCATTATTGTTGGAAATACAGTCCTCTGAATTTTTGTGATGTAATGTTTTTTAACCATAGAATTGGAGCTCCTACCAGCATAAAGACAGCTTAAAGCCAGCACAGTCATATCCAGAAGCCTCCCTGGAGTCAGGGGTTCCAGTACAGGCAGGGAAAGAGTGTCCAGAGCCATGGTGACATCAATCACAAGTGAGTGAAATCTGGGGGAAATTATATGAGCATCAGCTGAATAATAGTTATGACAACAATGCTAACTGAAACCCAACAGAACACAAACACACTGAATCGTGTAATCCTGCTACATAACGAATAAATACCCGTTGCGGACAGCGGTAGCGTCAGCTACTGTGGCTGGCATGATGAAGAAAGAGTTTGCTGACACGGCATCCTGGAAACGGTTGATGTAACGCAGAAAGTAGGGCAGGTTGAGGCACACTCGCAGCAACTTCTCAGACCCACCTGTGAGGGTAAAGGAAAGCATAGGAAATGGCTTTTTGAAAGAGACAGATCCCAATAGTCTCGAACCACCAGCTAATAAAGGAATACATAACAAGACAATCATTTTAACAAAGGAAAAACTTCTCACCAAGTTCCTGAAGGCTTGACACATTCTGAGAGACAAAGGCATTTTTCATTTTGGCCTGAAGAGCTTGATCTGTAGTTTGGTCATCACTATCACTCTCAGCCTACAAAAGGGGAGATTTGAAAAAAATCTTGATTATTTTCATAAAGATACACTAAGTGATAGCCATAAAGGGAGTGATTCAATCTTTTTTTCCCATGGCCTTTATGACAAAATGAGGCCTCTGGATGTAAACCACGTACCTGCATGTGTGATCCTGACGGAGAGGCCAAGATGGTTGTGAGGTCAGGATTAAAAACTGAAGTCAGCTGATTGAAGAAGTTCATTTGTACTTCCTTTTGTCGTAGCTCTGGGCTCACTGCACTGGGCAACTCCTTCTGATCTTCCACTTTTAAATAAAAAAGGACAAACTATTTAGGACTGCAGTATTGTAAAATATTGGAACCATAAAATGCAAAGGTCCACAATGTCTCCAACAGCCACAGTGAAATTTTAAAATCCTTCCTCAATCTACCATCAGATGCTTTAAAACACGCACAGGAGCTTAGTCAGGCTTCAGTGCAGACACTTACCATCTGACAGGGTCTTGATGGTCTGAGGCAGCTTGGCAGACTTCATCATAGCAGTGAAGGTTATGATCTCTGTGCGATCTAGCCTGCTGCATCCTGTGCAAAGTCCTTTTATGAGAAGAATCAGGTGTTTCTGTACAAAAAAAGTTTCATTAAAATGTAGTTTAAGGACAACAGAAAACAGACATCATGAGCAGAAAATGGAGAGTGCACATTGCCAATTTCTGTCATTCCAAATGTGATTTAAAAAAATGCACAAAAAGGTAATGTTGCCAAAACTGCAGACTGAAACCTTTTCCACCTTTATTTGCCTACCTGTGATACCGCACATGCCTCATCTGGGTTTTCCAGGCGTAGCAGTGAGAATTCGATCAATACTTTGCATGCTGCCCCAACTGACAGCAACTGATTTCTTGGTACTACAGATATAGAAAAAAATATTTTATTACGTTGAAAAAACACACGTCTTTGCTCTTAAAAGTTTTTGTTCTTATCTAGTAGATTATAAATAAAATGAAAGACACATACTTTGTCCACATACTGTGGTGATGTAATGTGCGGAGAGGGCCACAAATGACGAGTAGAAAGGTTCATACTGTTTGTCATGGTGAAGAATGTCTGATTCACTATAAAACAAAAAACAAGTTAAACATCCACCCAAAAGTAAAACAGTTGCATCCTGTCAAAAACTAATTTCATGAATTTACACGACTTTTTGCCTTAAACTTATTTTACAGAATAGATCATCTGGTACACAGCAGGAAGCGACACCAGGTGAATTTAATGTTGATACAAGGTGGCTACATTCTTTTAAGTTTCGCATCTGCAAAGAATCAAACATAGCTTCAAAGATGTAAGAGCATCTGAGCGTCTCAGTCTGGAAACATCTGCGCGAGGTAGAAATCACGCATGTCAAAACATGTCAACTGTTACGCTGAACTCAAAAACCAATAAAGCGAAAACCTTTTTTTTTTAAATATTTGTTGAAAAAAAATGTACAAAATTAGAAACTTGTCGGTTTGTAGAGAACACCTATGCAAGCCAGTGAAAATATGTTGAAGATTCATTTGAGATTCTGCTTTTAAACTTTAAACACACTGTTTTTATCTTATGCATCAACAACATGAACGGCCACCTGTGAAGACAATCAAATTTCTGGTAACTTATGGCCAACCGCATTATTTTTTTCCTGGTACCATGACAACTCGCACCTCTGACATACAAATTACTCACAAGTAAGGCTCACATCAGCTCACCTCAACTAGATCACTTATTTGAAACATGTCTAGTATTTTATTATACAACTGCAACTAATTCATTAACTTTTTTGGGAAAACATTTTGGCAACAACAATGTGACACTGTAAAACAGGTGTACTGGCCATGCTGTTCATATGACAGTTGGAGATTGTCTGCATGAGGTGTGTTATTGCAGAAATGTGAGGGCACGTAAGTTTATCAAAATTCAATCACACTTTGGGAAAGAGTGACTTTGATTTCAATATGTAAAGAACACAAAGGAGTTATATCTCTGTGCTCACCATCATAACTCACACAGCTACGGCATATTCTCAGACATACAAGCTGTCTCACATGCTTGTCCACACACACTATGCTGTGACAGGCCCATTTGTACTGAGGCTGTCTCTTGTTTGAAAATACTTTGCATACTTCTTTTTTTTCCAAACACACTCTGGCGTATACCTGGTAAATGTGTTCCCTTTCAGCTGGATAAAAATAATAACAATAAGCATACTCGCTTTTTGTTACCACATTTGTTTGGTTCTTAACAGATCTTTGAATCGGTCACTGCATAACTGTTCTAAAGATCCTGAGGATTGGTCACTTTAAACCTCAGAAAAATGCACCCACTCACTCTAAAATAGTAATTCACTAGGACAAGGTGCGTATCAGGGTCCGTATTCTAGTCCTGAAAATGTATCAATTTAATTTTGTTGATCTATCATTATATCTTTTTACCTCATGGACGACAAAAATAGTTTTTTAGTAACCGCAGCACAATCAGATTAAGGAGAGTGTTCCATAATGAAATGAAATGTAATCCTAACATTCAACACAGCATGATGTTTCATGTTTATTCTGTCTCATTATAGACTAAATTATGTCAGGTTTTTTCTATCTCGCAAACAAATGCTAAATTTACATATTGCTAACAATTACAAAATTATTAATAAATTGTTCATCTAAATCCCAAAGAGCATTCAAATGACTCATTCTAACACAGGACACAATTCTGCATAGTTTCAAGCTTAAATCTTAAAATGGGGGAATTACTTCATAATGAAATTCACATCAGTCCTAACATCTGTATGACATATTCATGGTAGGAAAATGCCCAATTGAAAATTAAAATGATCCAACTCGGAGGCCTGGATTTTGACTGTTATGTAGTCTGCATAAACACCTGAGGCACTGTTATAAAAAGACAACTACACCGGAAGATCAACAACTTCTTGAACAAAGCATATCTTCTGGTAACTGAAAAACTCCCCGAAATAGTAAAAGAAGAAAATGACAGGTAAAATTTAAGGTAAAACTTCACATCACATAAGTTTCCCTGCTCTTTGATATTGCGTTTATCAGTAAAATGAAACTTATCAGCAAGGCAGGAAGCTTTTTGACAGACGTGCTTTGGGGAAATCGCAATAGGTCACAACTCTAAAGTGGTGTCAAGTGACAATCTGGCTGCAGCACAGACTGCCGATCAATATTAATCCACACAACAGCACTTGCCAAGCAAACTCGTTCGGTAAGTATTTCACGAGCAAAACATTTAAGGCGACAACAACTTTTTTTTTTATCACCTGACCAAAAATTGGCAGAGAAAGATGGTCCCCGCCTACTTTTAGCCTAAACAATCATGCAGCATATCATGGTACACGGAAAAACAGTTAATGCTTAAACTGAACATTGACATTTCAAGATTAAACTGTAGTTGACAAAATCAGTGTAAAATCACATTTTAATCAGGCTTATTTGGGTCTGTTGACACTGTCAAATATTATTATGATCAGTCCATTTCATCACTTCGTTTAAGTATACGGTTACAGGCCTTTGGTTAGCTTGCACGCTAATGTTTGTGTTAGCTAGCTAATGATGAAGCAAATTTCCAAAACATAACAGTGTAACGTCGGTTAACGTTTATCAAGCGGAACCACTGGATTGAAGAAAGGGTTACATCAAAAATAGGCTATGCCGATTCTCTGATTGTGTTTTAATTCACCAGCAAGAGCACGTTGAAATCATTTTAAATTAGTTGGCTAGCAATAGCATGTTAGCTGCAGTCAGAAACTTGCTGAATACCACCGCAAGTTAAGCTCTAGTAGACAGCTAGCTGCTAGTGTTAGCTAAGCAGGTATCGTTTTCCATCGAAATTCATTATCATGCTATGTTAGCAACTTAGCCCACCGGCTATGTCCAGGGTGGATACGGACAGTTTCAAGCTAAATGAAGCCTCGAATTTACTGACACCTAACTAATTACCTGTTAATAATAGAGCCAATCAGCTGAGGTAGCTCCTTCGTTTCAAAAGCGGTGTACGAAGCTGACAGAAGCGGCCGTACTGCCGCTGTCCATTCGTGTTCCCCATCTCCTCCGCTTGACGCCATCTTGAAAACCCATAGAAAAAAACTAACTACTGGAGGAAGAAGATGTGAAAGTTAATCACAGGGGGCGCTCGCATCTAGTGACAGGCATGCAAAGTTTTCATTAAGCTCGTAACTTTTTACTTATTGTAACAACAGCTAAATGTATGTTTATGATTAATGAAATTCTACAATATTTTATTAAATAAAATTAAATTTGGTCAAATTTGACCAAATTAACGCATATACTTCATTTAAGACAAAGATATGACTCTACAAGGATGCTTTTGCCTGCAATTATTTTTAGATGCTGTGTTACAACGTATTATTTTTCATTGTGAAAGATAATTTCATATATATGTGAAAGATAATATATCCCATAATATATCCCATAATTATACTTCTGATTCTTCTGGTTGTTGCACCATGACTTGCAACAGGACTTCGCACAATCACACAAAACCAATCAGAAAGAGAATAAAACAAAAGTCACATCTCTTTGCTAACCCTTTCAATGGGATACCAACAGCATAGATTTAAAAAATTGTAGCAAAAATAGGCTTTGAACTCATGTCATACCAATTCTATTAATCATTGTATCTCATGTTTTTATTCCTTTTAATTGGGGCCACCGTGCTACATATAGATTCTACTAGATATAAACCTATATAAATATATATTTGATATTTTCCTTGTATATTTTTCAAACAGGTATATAATGTCACGTAACCAGTTTGTCAATTTTCTGCATTAACCTCTTAATGCTATATTTATCATATTTGATACATAGCTTTGTTAAATGTATTGCGTCATCATATGGTCAATACTACTTAAAAATAACCTGTATAGAAAACATACAATATTTGCTTTTTTGCATTTTAGTTTGCAGTAAAAAAAAATTAAAAGATGGCATTCCTCTTAAAAAACACACATGTTAATTCTATTTGGGGTTTTTTTTATTTTGTTTCAAAGAGCCAAACAAAGACTTCAAATAAAATCTTCAATTGTTTTTTTTTAACGTTATTATTTTTCTTCGGTGAGGCTTGATGAGTTTAACGCTGCGTGTAACGTTCTGATGCTATGCATCACTCTGGCCATTAGGTGGCAGCACTCCGCTCTCTCAAGACAAGAAAGAGGTCGGTCAACTTCCGACTTCCTCCTTCTGAAGAGCAAGTCAAGCTATTGCTGCAATGGCAAAGCTAAATTTGCTTTGGTTGAAATGTATTATTTCATTCAGTGCTGTCCAAGCTGTGTTCGAGGATCAAGTAGGGAAATTTGATTGGTAAGGAAAATGTGATGAACCGGCGAAATATTGGTTTTATTTTTCTATTTTCATCATGTTGGAAATGCTAATGCTAACACCTGTCACACTTAATAGCAGCGACTCGATGTGTTTGGGTTGGACTTTATAAAAGAGGATGCAACAAAATGATCTTGAAATGAATACAGAAATTTTCGATTTGATAATTGTCCCAGAAACTTTCAGCAGTTACATTTTTTTATGAGTTGTCTTTTAGGAAGGCAGTGGTCCCATAAACACCCTTAGTTATAAACGAGGCTTATCTCAAACGATTTGGCAATCCTTTTAACAATCTGATTATAGATTGTTTTCCTTTAATTCCACAGATTTTACCTTATTGGCAAGCATTCGTTTATTACGGAATAATAGTAATAATAAATGACAAGGCTGATCAATGCTTTTTTCTTTCATGTGTTTCACAGGAGGCAGCAATATGTAGGCAAGGTTCGCTTTTCTCATTTTGACACACATATGCAGTCATCAAAAAAAGTCCTTTTAGCAACCGAGAACAATGTTTTTGCTGCACTAAATACCAGAACCGGAGAGCTTTGTGAGTATTTTATCACTCCCCAATATGATTTAAGCTTTAATTGATGCCCCCCAATTTGATTGTTTCTTATATTTTACTTCCTGCATAAATAATTGTTCTTCTCAATGACTATTACAGTTTGGCGACACGTGGACAAGACCGGTCCAGAGGGAAACATCGATGCTCACCTCCAACATGGCCAAGGTGCTTTTTCCTTTGTCATCACATCTGACCTTCACACTTTGAAGTTCTTCCTGTGTATATGTCTAATTGATTAACCTCGTCTTTGCCTTGTAGATGCGGTGCTCGTAGTTGGTAATGGGCGCCTGCTTCGCTCCTGGGACGTCAATGTTGGTGGTCTGAACTGGGAAGTCGTGCTCGACTCTGGCAGGTGAATATCTCCCTGAATTGTAGAGGTCATTTTTAAATCTTTTTCTTTTGTAAATATTTTAACTGGTTTCTCTTTGCATTTTAGATTCCAGTCAGCATGTTTAGTTGGACAACAGGGTACAGCTAAATATGTAGCTGTGCTGAAGAAAACCACATTCTCTCTCCATTACATGTCTAATGGCCATCAGAAATGGATAGAAAACCTACCAGAGAGGTACATTGCTTTGTCTTTTTTAATTTATGTAATAATTTAATGATTTTTTTCTGTGTATGTTGAAAGAATTAGACAACGATATAATCGTTTTCATAAGCTTAGTTTGCCTTGCTAATCATGAAATTAAGAGTTACAACACAGATATCTTGAATGAAATAACTTCATGAGCAACATTGGTATTTGAAAACGAGCATTGCAGTTTCCCCTTTTAATCCACAGTGAAACCGTGGATTACCAGGCTGTCTACTCTGGGGGAAACAAGGACGTTTACGTTTTAGGAGTTGTTCCCCATTCTCACATCGCTGTAGTCGTTTACAGTGTGGATGATGGAGAGATAATGAAGCAGGTATCCTGTTTTTTAATAGCAGCACAAAAAGTAAACATTTTGAATGGAAGATAAAAATGTTTCGTACATCTTAAGAAGTGAATAAACTCCATCATTTGAAGTAGGTAGAGGAAACAAACCAATCAGAATTTATTCTTTGCTTTGCTTGTGATGCTTCCAGACCTCAGTGGAGGCTCCGTGGCTGTCTGACATACCGACCAGTTGTGCAGTGGTTGGCAAGGGGACTTTGACATGTGTGGACTCAACAACCATGTCCTTATACACACTGGATTTACATGAACAGTCACAGATGACTCAGATACCACTCCAGGTATTTAGCAGAATGAAACCAGAACCTTTCTGTAAATGAGCATGTATCTCCTTTTCTGTATTTTTTGTGAGTCTTACTTATTTTTGTCTCTACGTCTGTGCAATATTTGTGCCTTTAAAAAAAAAAAAAATGTATTTGTCTTCTATTAGTCACTTGGTCTTGAAGTAGCTGAAGGCTTTCATCCTTCCCTGGTGGCCCACAAGCCTCACCCGGCCCATCAGCCACGGTCAGAGTTCTTCCTTCAACTTGAGGCTGATCGCTATTTGCTTCTCCAGCTCAACAATGGTGAAATAACTACACTGAGGGACTTCAAGCCAGTACGTACTTGTTTCTCCACATTGCACAATTTCATTTAAAATGTTAGTTTTTATATTAGTGGTTCTTCTCCTAACCTGCACGCTATGCACAGAGATATTAGTTCCCAGATCCTCTGCCAGGGAACAATTACTATGAATGTTTTCACTCCTGCAACCTTAATCTCCTTTAAAAATAATTTACATTTACATATTGTCTTTGCCAGTTCTGTATAAATTCCAGTTGGCACTCATGCTAAAAATGAATGTTCTGAGATAACACTAGGTTCCAAAATTATTATTTTTTATTAAAAAGAGCAGGTGTCAGTGTGTCAGATATAGTATTAAAACTGCTAATGGATCTTATGGTTTTTAAAACAGCAGTTTATGTTGTTGTCTTCATTCATAGGCTGTGCTGGTTTCATTTGCAACGACTGGAGAGAAGACTGTTGCTGCTGTCATGTCACCCAAGAATAAAACTGTGAGTGAAAACCGGCAGTTCAGCCTGAACAGCCTGAAGTTCTGTTGTTGTTTTTGCTTCTTGAATAAAGAGTTAACTTGTCAAATTAATTACGGTTTGGTTTACTCAGGCTTTGTAAGTAAGTGATGGGAAGAAAAGAGTTTATTTACAAGATAAAAAATCAACGATAAGATGATTGTTTGTTGCCACTTTCAGGCTTGCATCATTAACCTCTACAATGCTGAGACTGGACGCAGACTTCTTGACACAACTCTCATTTCTACAGTGGATCCTAATGGAGGGAAACCAGAGCGAGTGAGTTTGTTTTGTTACCCAGTGATTTTTGACTCTGTGGCCTTCACACAAAGTTCAAAATGACTTTTTGAGTTGAGTTTGAAGCACATGTGGTAGTGGTTGATGTTAATTGTTTTCCAATCTGACCTTTTTTTTTTTAGCTATATGTACAAGCATTTCTGAAGAAAGATGACTCAGTTGGCTACAGAGTTATGGTGCAGATGGAGGACCACACACTCACTTTCATTCAACAGCCAGGTATGAATATCAAAGCGAGATTTGGCAGATCTGAAGGCTGATGACGCACATGCCAGTTTGATTTTAGGTTTGGCTTTATCCCCACTATCTCTGACATCAGGCTAATGTTGTCAGTGATACTCCAATGACGCTTTAGAGCAACACAGTGTAGGCGCTTTTGCAATGGCACAGCCTCCAACCAGGTTTCGACATGTTTCTACCTCACCTCATCTAACGGCCTATTGTTTTAGTTGTCGTCAAAACAACGCTTTGTTTTATTAGAACTTTCAGTCTTTGAGTGGATGGATTTGACTTCTTCACGGCGAGCAAATATCACTTGAGATTAATGACACACACACTTACTGAGGATTGACTGCACACAATAAAGTTTATTTTGTATTAGCTCATTCACGTCTGGTGAGCAGAATGAGAGGATTTTAAAAATAACATCTGTACAGATGAATCCCTGACAGCAAAACGTCCTCGCTGATTTATGTAAAGATGCAAACTTAAAAGTTGTGCATGTACACAAGAACGGAGGCTGATCCCCGAACAGAAACTACAAATCACGTTTTTCTTGATCAGGCTTTTAGACTAGTGAATGGTAGTTTTTAAAAATCATATTATTTTAAATTAGAATCGGGTGTTTCAGGATTGTATCGTCCAGTAAAGGCTTAGAGGTTCCAGGGGCTGCCTGACACGTGCCAACAGATCTGTGTCCTCCCCCTGCCGTTTCCATCCACTGTCCAGAAGAGATTTAGTTCTATAGGAGCCAGCCCAGTTTGACGGTGTTCATGTGCACTGCCAATTGTGCGAGCCCCTTTTTGTTTCGAATTTGACCACTAGGTGGTGCTAAAGCCCCCTGATTTTCAACTTTTCAGTGAACTGAAGCTGGTGAGATACCCCAACTTCAGCTTTGTGCAGATAGTTTGGGTCAATTACGAATGCTGTTCTCAACATCCCATTCTCATTAGTTTCACTGCAAAGACCAAGTGTGTTTTGTTTGAAGTCATGTTTTCCACAAACAAAAAGTGAAGTAGAACCTGTCTGTAGCTGATTGAAAGCATCAGCAGCTTTGGGGTGTGGAAGGTGAAATGAGTGAGTAGAAGAGCCATAATGAGTCTTTGTTTCCAGGGCGTGTCATGTGGACCAGGGAGGAGGCCCTGTCAGATGTGGTGACAATGGAAATGGTGGACCTGCCGCTTACCGGAACACAGGCTGAGCTGGAGGGAGAGTTTGGCAAAAAAGCCGGTAAATGTTAAACAAAAAAGCCCTTTTCAGTCTAATGAGCTCCCATCATGTCTAATATGTCCTGCTCTTGGTGTTGGTTGCTTTGAATCATCAAAGCTTTGTTTCTGTAGGTTGGTGTTGGGCTTATAGCCAGTCTAAACAAACGTGGTTTGTGTTTGTTGAGGTTATGATTCACCTAGTTTCTGTTAGCTTCACTGTCTTTTGTTTTGTTCTGTTTTTATTGCTGCATATGGATTCAGCGATTCAAGGTAACGCACGACTCTCTTTGCAATAAAACCAGACTGCCTATCTTAAGTCTAATGTCGCATGCGATTGACTGAAAATCCTTTTTTAAGATCGGCTGAGCCTTTCTTCTATTCAACAAAGCAACTCTTCCTCCTCCAGAGAAGACAAATGCGTTCTTGTCTTGTTGCTTCTTGCACTGTTGTTTTAAATGAATGTGAATCGGGACACTGACGCCCACTGAAACCCGGTAAGCAGTGCGTGTGCTCTTGCCGTCATTCCTCTAGATGGGCTGTTGTCCATGGTGTTGAAGAGGCTCTCCTCGCAGCTCATCCTGCTGCAGGCCTGGGTCTCTCACCTCTGGAAGCTGTTCTATGACGCCCGCAAACCCCGCAGTCAGGTCAAGAACGACATCACCATCGAGAACCTGTCCAGGGATGAGTTCAACCTGCAGAAGATGATGGTTATGGTTACAGCATCTGGGAAGGTAGATGGCTCAAGCTTGCATTTGGACTTAGCCATGTTTGTTAGTATTTCAGCAGAGATGGGCACCGTTGCTCAATTGTGGTCAAACTAGATCTGGTTTATTTAGTCTAAGACCAGGCAGGCCTAAAGAGAAATTACACACCAGGTGCTTCACCGCTCACTTTTTCCTGCACAGTCCATTCATGTTGGGTTTTTTTCTTTTTCCGTAAAGCTCTTTGGGATTGACAGCAAGACTGGTGGTATTTTATGGAAGCATTACCTGGAAAACATTCCACCTAATGCTGCTTTCAAACTGATGGTGCAGCGGACAACCGCCCACTTCCCTCATCCACCACAGTGCACGCTGCTCATTAAAGACAAGGTATCTGACAAAAAGCTGAGATCTGTGTTTGAAGATGTCTCCTCCAGTGCCCATATTGTTTTCCTTAAAATTCCACACACTGTTCATATTCAGACTTTTCATGCTTCCCTGACCATGTCTTTTTCTCTAAAGTGCTTTATTTTACTTGTCTAGCCTTTGTAACTTTTGAAATACTTGTCTCTGCGAAACCAGTTGTAACACAGGTTTTTTTTTTTTTTTGTCATCAGGACACCGGCCTGGCCACGTTGCATGTATTTAACCCCATCTTTGGAAAAAGGAGCCATGTCACCCCACCCGCTCTGCCTCAGCCAATACTTCAGTCACTTCTGCTGCCGCTGATGGACCAGGATTATGCCAAAGTCTTGCTTCTCATTGATGACCAATACAAGGTCTTTAGCACTTTGTAAACCGTATGGAATCATCCTGTTCTTCCAATTCTCCTTTCAGTTTGTCATGCGCTTTACTCAGAAAGTAACAAATGTTAAATAATGTTTATGGTGAGCCGACACACAGCAATAAATCTAAATCCCATTACCAGGTGTCGGCCTTTCCATCCACCAAGAATGTACTGCAGCAGCTCCAAGAGATGGCCTCTTCCATATTCTTTTTTCTCGTTGACTCCACCCAGGGAAGACTCTCTGGTTACAGACTAAGAACGGCAAGTCAAACTTCTATCTCAGGTAGCTTCAGTGAGCCGTTGAGAGATAACATTTATGTGATGATTTCATCTGGGGTGTTTTTTTTTGCCCTCAGGACTTGTCAACTGAGCAGATCTGGGAGGTCGTCATGCCAGCGGAGATTCAGAAGATTGTGTCTGTCAGAGGGAAAAGGCCCAATGAGCACGTGCACTCACAGGGCAGAGTAATGGGGGACCGTAGTGTGCTCTATAAGGTACAGTAAAGGCCTCTGAACTTGGAAATATCAGTTCAGTTATCAGTTATGTGGGAGTTACTGAGTTATGGCTCATCTTTTCCATTCAAGTAATAAAGACAAAGTCATTCCTCTTTTTTTCTTTTTAAAAAAGACTTTGCCGTTCCTTTGAGTGAAGAATCAACAGATATTTGTTAACTTGAGTTCAGGATCTTTACTTTAGCCTGGCTCTTTTTTTTAATTGAAGTTTGTTGCCGTACTAATGTTCTCCTTGTCAGGATTAAAATGGGTGACAAGGAGAACAAATTTTACAAATGTGATAAGTCATCAGTTATGTAATGACAAATTTGACAAGGTTGCTCTGCACCACTCTGTCATATTTTAAACGTTTTAAATGGCCAGTATATCCTTTAACGCGTTTAGAGGTAACTGGAAGTATGTTTTGCAGTGATGGTTATGAAGTCAAATGAATATTAGCCAGAAGTCTTGTGGATCACATGCAAGACTTTGTTCATTTAAGTGCGACATCTGCTTTTTCATTTAACTCCAAATGGTTCGTTGTGTGTCTGTTTTTCGTAGTATTTGAATCCGAATCTTCTGGCAGTGGTGACTGAGAGCACAGACCTGCATCATGAGCGCAGCTTCATCGGGATCCTTCTGATCGACGGTGTGACTGGTCGCATCATCCATGAGGCCGTTCAGAGGAAAGCCAAAGGACCAGTGCATGTTGTGCACTCTGAAAACTGGGTTGTGGTAAGCCTGACTGCTTGCTGGACAAGAAATGGAGATGTCCTGTATTACTGAATTTGGATTTGTCACAGTAATCCGAATCTGAGTTGTAACAATGATATAAATAATTAAGAACATGCTTCCATAGCTCAAGGCTGACTTGTTTTATCCGTGTGTCTGTGTGGCTTCTCAGTATGAATACTGGAGCACCAAGTCCCGCAGGAATGAGTTCTCTGTAATCGAACTCTATGAAGGAATGGAGCTCTACAACAGTACTGTCTTCAGCTCGCTGGATCGACCACATGTTCCTCAGGTGCTTCAGCAGTCTTATATTTTCCCCTCCTCCATCTCGACCATGGAGGCCACGCTGACCGAAAAGGGCATCACCAGCCGCCATCTGCTCGGTTAGTCCCAGTGTTTCTCTCTAAATTTGGATCATTTATAGATTTTCTTAAAACGGAAAGGTCTCTTTAACAGTGCTCGACTCCTTGCTAACGTGTTGCTTTGGGCTGTTTCGTCACAGTTGGCTTGCCCTCTGGAGGGATTCTGTCATTGCCAAAGATGTTCCTTGACCCACGGAGGCCAGAAATAGTAACTGAGCAAAGCCGGTAAGTTCACAGACAGATATGGTTTAACATTGAACTGCCCCTCCTTTCTGCCCCGATCTGACGTGTTAACTTTACCTCCAGAGAAGAGAACCTGATACCTTACGCACCAGAGCTGATCATTCGCACAGAGTGGTTCATCAATTACAACCAGACAGTGTCAAGAGTGCGAGGTATTTACACAGCCCCTTCTGGACTGGAATCAACCTGCCTGGTGAGTCTAGTTTCAAACGGATCCCATCAAATTACAAAGAAAGGCTTCTCTTGGTCTGTGAAATGTTTGCCTTGACATTAAAAATCTTAAACCTAAATATGATTCATCTTTTTTTTTTTCTCTCCCTTTTGTTGTAACTGTAGGTGGTGGCATATGGTCTCGACATCTACCAGACACGGGTGTATCCCTCAAAGCAGTTTGATGTACTGAAAGACGATTATGACTACATGCTGATCAGTAGCGTGCTCCTCGCCCTTTTCTTTGCCACCATGATCAGCAAACGCCTCGCAGAAGTCAAACTGCTCAACCGGGCTTGGCGGTAAAGTAATCGTCAAAGTCCTGCGCCTAACAGCCCCGTGGCTGCACCGAGGACCTCAGTCGGAGTATGTGAGAGTGCTGAGGCCCACGCCTGCTGAAGAAAACAGGCCAAAGTTCAATAAGGCCCTTAAGGAACTGCAGGGGACGGCGGGGAGGGGGTGAAAGGAGGGGGTTAGTTAAGGTTTTATGTGTCTGTTTTTTTAACTTATTTTGAAAAAAGAAGAAATGATTACACGATAGAATGATTTCGCTTTTTTCACATGATTTTGATTAAATGTTTAACACAAAACTAATTACAAATGAATGAAACGCAGATTGATTACCTTGTAGAGATTGGATATTTCTAGGCATTTGAAGGTTAGGCACATGAACAAACGTAGTTTTTCCGAGATTACTTTAGAGCCATTACTGCATTATCAGACACTTCAAATGGACAGTGATAATAACTGTGGAGGTCAGGGAACAGAGACAGAAAACCATGAGATGGAACAATGCCATACGTAAATGTTTTTTTTGTGTGTGTTTTTTATTTTTTTTTGCCTGCTGAGTTGCCATGATACCTAAAAGGCCATGTTTTATGGCAGATGAACTTTGAATATGAAGTGTGAGATGATAATGTAGCATGCACAGGAAAACAATTTGGGCTACCCTGAAGACACTTCCCAAAAGCAGAAGAAAAAAAGAAAAAGGCCCAGACAATGCAGGTTTTCCACTCCTGGTTTCTTCACCTTCTCCCTCTGATGTTTGACTGAAAATGGCTCTTTTGTCTAACAAGAAGCTGTTTTGGTGGAAACATCGGTTGTGCGCAGTAAAGGAGCCACAAGTGAAGCCTTGCCGCGTGCGGCATGTTTTTGTTACCATCCATCATTCTCAGCCCAGCCTGGTTTGGCACTGTGTGTGTGTGTTCTCAGCTTTCCTGGAGACTCACCAGTGAAGATACTGTTACCACCCTTTCATGCTTAACCAAGGAAACTGACCAACAGTAGCCTCCATTTTGCAGATTGATCCATTAAAATTCCCTGCTGGGACTCCAAACTGAGTGGTTTCTCCTCTACAAATCTTTCCCCAGAAAAAGCCGTTCATTTCTGAATTACAACTAACATTCTGTATTTAAAGAAGAGATTTTCACTCACGTGAAACACATTTCTTTGGGATGGAAATAAAGAACAAAGTAATCACACAATGAATAAGTTATTTATTTATATAAATAGATTAAAAACAAATTTTACATTTGACACAATGATAAACTCGCTGCCTTTCGCCGGACTGAATCTGATGCTGTGCCTTCATGAGAATGTCCCACAAGTTGTTAAGTAACATTTGTAAACATTATCTCATCCCATCCACAAAAATAGAAAATAATACATGTTAGCCACAGGCCAGTTCTGCACTCTTTTTTTCCCCCCCATTTGTATCGACCACATAAGAGCTGAATTACGTGGATAATTAAAACGGTTAGCAATAAAGATTAACGGCTTGCCAGCAGATCGCTGAAAAAAAACAGGGTTCACTTGCTGCTGTGCATTTAAACACATCTGATATAAAAGCAATGACTTGTACCCAATAACTACATCAAATTGAATAAAATTAATTTCAAATAACTTGCTTTTTATCAAGTTTCAATTCTAATAAAGGGAGACTTGTGTTCGGATCGTCAAACATACTAAGTAAAGTAAATCCAGAATAAAAGGCACAAATTAGTCACTGACATAAAGATCCAAGTACTGTCTCGTTTGCAGCTAGACAGTTGTCGCATGTAACTAATAATCCAAAATCCTTTTGACATTAAAGTTCATTAAAATATTTACATAAAAGCATTTGCACATAATCCAAACACTGAACTGCAACAGAATCCGAGCCAATCATCTGACGTCTCTGTTCTATAACACAACCGGACTGTGTTGTTGTATTGACCAAACGCTTTCATATTTACCACAAATGACAAAACATCCAATTTATCAATATATTAGACTTTTAAAGAACCATTTAAAAAGATAGCACACACAGAATGAATAATCCAGCACAAGCCCAGCTTGTACCCGTCTGTATTCTCTTCCTTGTAAAAGGCTCATTTTAGTTCTGCGAACACAGGCTTAACCATTAATGAGTGATGATACATTTTCCCAGTGAGAAAGCTCCAATATCGAAGTCAACCTCAGTCAGTCTGGACATTTTAAAACGAGGTATATATTCTTTCCACTAGTAGTGAAAATATCATAATACTGCGCGCCATGCTTTGTGTTGTGGGTTGAACAGAAGGAGAGGTCTTTTAAAAATACTGACCGGTAAATATTCAGTCAAAAACAGTCACAAAACCTCACAGTGAGAAGGCACAAAAAGCAGGTCAGGCGTTAAAATAACAAGACGGTGTTAAAAAAAGGCGACGCCTTGCTTTTGCGAATCTTCGTGTACTTCTTAAATATCTCAGTTTTTTTGCAACCATGGGATTTCTTTTATCGGGGCGGCGGCGGCCTCTATCTTTTCAGCCAGAGGCCTGTGCTGGCAGTCCTGTTGGGCTCGCTGAGGAGCCTCTCGCGCCTCTGGGCGTGCGCCGGCCGGCCCGGCGGCAGGAGGATGTAGTGCGTGGCGCTGGCCTGTTTGCCGTCCTTCAAGATTGGGACGATGCAGGGCGAGAGCGGCGTTGGCGGAGGAGCCCTCTCGCTCTGCTGCCTCTGCAGCGCCTTACTCACGTAGTTCGGGTTAGCAGCGAAACTCTGCGTGACGGGCATCACTCCGTTTATGTAAATGGGAAGGCTTTTGGGGCTCGGGGTGCGCGGGGGGCAGGGGGGCACGAGCGGGACTCTCGGAGGGATTTTCGGGGGCTTGTCTTCCTCGCCGCCGCTCCTGGTTTTTGGCTTAGGCGGGATGGGGATGCGGGGGGGGACTTGGGGCTTTTCACCGGGTGCTTGAGCGGGAAAAGTTGGCCCGGAAAACTGCATTCTAGGAGAGACGTGTGTCTCCAGCTCTTTGCTAGCGCAGGTTTCCCTGACAGCGGACGCCCCGCGCTGACCCTCCGCTCTCTGGCCAGCGAAGGACCAGTCGCTGGGTCCAAACCTGCCTCCCCTACCAACTTGTCTGTCCTCTCTGCTTGGCCAGGAGAAAGCTATGGAGTCCATCCCATCCTGGTAAGCGCGATTGACCTGACCGCTGTCCTTGCTCCCGCCCTTGCAGATGGCTCTGGGGCAGCTTTTGGGGAGCAGGCGCTGGCGGTCACTGGTAAAGAATTCCACCTCGCTGTCAGCCGCTTCATCTGACATCATTTCCTCAGGGTCAGGAAGGGGTGGGAGTGGTTTGGCCTCTTTGTGATGGCCCCCAAACAATACCGGTCTCTGAGAAGAAGGGACCACTTGATCCCCTTCATGGAACAGCAGTCTGTTATCCAATGTTAGGCGGTAGGTGTCCGAGTAGAAGGGAGACTGGGAAAGGGGTACGCTGGCTGTGGAAAGGAAAGAAATACTGCTTATTAAAACAAGTTGAAACCGAACTGAACTTTATACCCCGAAATCACTTCTTTGTTGAATAAGATCTGCTATCAGTGTTGTTCCTCCCGGCGCGAAAACAAACTCCCCGAGAGGGGAACGTGGCAACAACTTGCTTTTAAAACTCCCCACTTACTGCAGATACGGAGCAGGAAACAAAAGTAAAAACACGCAGAAAACATCCGCTTAACCCATCGCCTTCTTTGTCAGGCATCAGCCACAACACCCTGATTAGCGCAGGGATAGGCATTATCCGCAGGGCAGGCCCTAATCTCAGCGGAGCTTCCCATAACCTTCTCGGTGGAAACATCCGACATGCCCCAGACTGCAGGAGCAGCTGGTGACCAGGGAGCGATAGCTTCCCCTCCTCCTTAAACAGCTCCTCTCCGCGATGCCAAACTCACCTACGCTCTGTCTACAAGCTGTTTTATTGGACAAGTGGGGTTTAACCGAAGAGGATAAATCTCTTGAAGTGATGAAAGCAAAAAAATGTAACCTAACTTAAACTTGGATCATTTAAATCGGTCATTCAATACCTTAGAACCGTATCTACAAAATACTTCTTTTTTTAAAACAGAAAAATTAAGACACTCTACAGTTTGCACTGAAAATATCTTAATTATCTGATGTCTTCTTCAAGTTGACTAAAGAGCTGCAAGTTGGAGCCAATACAGTTATTTCTAATGGTAAAAACAGAAGCCAAAGTTTAACAACATACTTGTAAAAGTAATACCAAAAAGAAAGACTCACCGTTAAGCTCTCTGGCCACTCGCTGTTGCTGAAGCTCCCTTAGGTTTTGTTCCATGTCAGCACTCAGGCCGCTGCACACTCTGCAAGGCGAGGGGAGATTGAGAAATCCATACAGAACTCCGCGTAAATCATTCCTGCGCATAACCTATTGTCAGCTATTATATGTTAAAAAACAAGACTAACAGGTGCTCCTTCACCTACTTTACGTCATGGAAAAGCATTTCAGGTTCCGGCTACTCTAAAGCATAATCTGCAAATATGTTTGCTCTTTATCGAATAAGATATTATTCTGCTACCATTTATATAATTTTCACCCATATTTTGATCTTTGATTTAAAGATCTGTGCGTACACTGGAGCTCATCTTAGGATTTCTGCATTTATCATTTTGAGACACTTAATTTGTTTAATTGAATTCCCAGACTGAGTTTGTTCCCCTTTGCTTTCTTTCTCATATCTTTATTTGGCGTACCTGTTCAGGTTTGGTTGTTTTCCCCAGAAGTTATTCTGATTTCCGTCCATGTTTGGCAGAAGCAGTGGTCTTATGAATCATCAAGGTCAGTTTGTATTGATCGAAAGCTCGGCCACAGGTCAGCTCCATCGAATCAAGTTGAGCATTTCTTTTCGCAGCAGGAAGCTGTGGAAGACACAGAGAAGCTGGTCAGAGCTGTCGCACTGAGAAGAAACCCAGGTTTCGTGTGCGTTTAGTATCCCGCTGCTCTCGTTTAAAAGGGCAACGACGAGAAAAAACCCAAAACAGTATAAGACTGAAACATACTGGAACACTCCAGGTCTGACATCAGCTCACTAAAATCAATACTGAATTCTTTTGGATGCAAAAGTACTACAAAGAGATATACTATCATTTGAAAAAGGAAGCGCAGTCCTTATCAGGGCCCAAAATGACATAGTTAAAACCTTCAATGAACAACATCCACATGACGTATTTCGAATGAAAATGATTTCATAAATAAAAGGCTGGAACACTGTGTAAAAGTAAGTCCAAAGCATGATTTCACTGCTTGCAGAAGTACCAGCAATAAGGTACAAAAAAAGGTTTTCTGTATGACTTTATCAGTCTCACGTCATTGTGAAGGAATTTAGTCCATTCAATTCACTTGTTTTGTTTTCCCCTTTTTCAGTCATTCTTTTGCAAATCGTCTGCTATGAGTTGAAGGCCCCACATTTGAAACTGAAAAAGAAAGTATACAGAGGATTTAATCTATGACAGTAAAGGTTCTCAGGCTCGGCACCTTTAAAGGAGAAAAAAAAGCCCAAATCATAAACCCCTCCGCTACAATGCCTGATAGTTTGTATGAGAATTTGGGCTGATATGATGTGTTTGCTTTCCTCCAAATGTGAAGCTGTGCATCGTGTGAATCAACCGTCTAAAGGACAGTTTCTCACAAGTCCTGATCTTTTTTCAAACACAGCTTTTCAAACCAAAGCCAAGCTACCAAGTTGTTTTAAGAGAGATGTTGACTCCTTCTGTCAACTTTTACAAACCAGCCACACTTGTTCGGTTTTTCTTTTGCCTGTCTACAACCATTGCCGATGTCTTTCCTCTAGGTGTTGTTTGGAGAAACAAAAACAACGACCAACACGTTTTTGGGATTATTCAACTGTGACATGGTTCAAAATGGTGTTGTTGTACAGCTGAGGTTGAATGTTTTTTAATTTATTTTTTTTAAATGCATAGATATTTTCCGTGGCACTTGTCAAAATGATGTTTTCTCTGTTTACCTCATCTGTGCTTTTAGTGAGCCGCCAAACAACCGTCACAACAGCCGCCCTGTAAATGACTTCAGCCTGCTCTGGCAGCTGCTGGGCAGTATGCATCTCTTTGTAGTTCCAGGCTGTTGCACAACCTCTGGGTCAGATGTGGGAGGGCGACAGCTCTCCTCGCCCTCCTTCCGCTCTTTGACCATGAAACACGGCAGTATCCGCCCTCACAATAGGCCAGAATTCTTGTAATGCTGGATGACCGACACCACCACTGAGACGGTGTGTAAGCAAAAGCATGTGTACCGTTTGATTCTGATAAAAATGGGGGACCCTATCTGGTTTTGTTTATTCATCTGTAACTTGAGAAGAAAAAAGTCGTCCCATTCCACTTGACACGGCCATTTTTTACTTTTACAAGGTTTTCTAGATTGATTGATGCATAGTACCGGTCAAAAAGGTTGAAGCAACTAAATGTATCCCTTATATTTTATGGACCCTAGATTTTTATTTATGATGTAGACACATCATTGCCAATTACTGAACAAACAGCTGCCCATTTCACATTAAAATGTGAGCACTTACTTAATAACACACACTTGACTGGAGGCAGGGGTCCCCATTTTCCTATCACACAGCCATCTCAGTCTTCAAAGTCCTGCTTTGTTTCATGGCACTGATAGGTCCCCGGTATAAGTGGGAAGCAAACAACGCCGAGAATGAAAAGACAAGCCCACTACAAACAAAACAGAAGCTCATGCGTGCATCTGAATATTAATGCTGTCCTTAAACAAAACATCTGTGGCGTCATGTCCACCCGTGAGCCTCGGAGATGGAAGACGCTGAACAATTATGAATTCTACCGGCAATTACTCAGTGTCCATGAATGGAACCACTCTCAGCCATGAATGGGCCTTTGTGCCACTCTGTTGCAGAGGGAAGCAGGCCTGAAAATACAAGTGAACTCTCCCATGAGGTTAGGAGGAGAGGTGCGCCATGGAGACGGGCCGACGGAGCCGAGGCATGAGCCTGTGCCCCGCAGCCCCTGCAGGGGGACCGCGTGTGTTGGCATGGCTGGAGGGACGAGCCGCGGGAGGCAGGAGCTGAAAAACAGTTTGTTCAGCTCACGTAGGAGCCTTGATGTGTTGTCCTTGGCAGTCCCAGCCTCCGTTCTATTCAAACCGTTCACTAACCAAACAGTTACAGATGAGCTAATTACTGCATTGTGCTCGGGTGAAGTGCGTGCCACTCTCAGGATGGACCCTGATCTAACTGGCATTTATTGAAAATTAATCTGGCTACAACAGACGTGAATAAAAGTGATTTGGGAACACGGAAACAGATGAAAACGTTTTCATTTATGAGTTAAATTCATCTGAGCGGGCGGCTTTAGTTTTTTCTGTTTCCTATCAGGTAGTCAGATCAGTGGCAGACCCACTGCGTACTCCACACAAATTGGTTTTTAATGGGCCAAATCTGTGAGGCCCGTGCTGTAAATGTGACATGGCTCACGCAGCTCAATACATCATAAATGTTCAACTGATAAGAGACACAGCAAACAACAGCAGAATAAGTGTCCCGACCACTCCTCTGTACTATTCAGCTGTATTCAAAAGAACAAAAAACAAAACGAAAAGGAAAAGAATGTGCTCCCCTTTCCCTTTGTGCAATTTGAACAAAAAAAAACACTGCTTAGTTATTTATGTATAAAAAATATATTCTTCTTTCTATTACATATTTTAATAGCTGTCTATATTGACTGGTTACATTTTGATTTTTTAGGTCTACATTATATAAAATCCAAACAGTGTTCTAATATAAGGCACATGTCAAATACATATAGTTTGTTAATGTGAGTATCAACAGTTTAAATAGAGTTAATTGCTGTGCTCTTATGTGTCCCTGTGGCTGTCATAAGTTCCCGTGGCAGCGCAGTTTCAAGACAAGGCCGGTCTTAATCTGCTTGGACGGCATTTTAAATCTGCATAAAGCATTTCATAGCCACATGAAAAATAAAACCTTTTGAATCTGGACCTGAATCCTGAACCTGAGAACAGCAGATGAACTGTTTAGTTTTACAACCTTCTAATTCTTTAGCTTCAGTTGAAGTAAATTCAGTAAAATGTAATTTATTGTCATCAGAATGTTTTCACAGTAATAATATTAGTTTAGGCCAATAATTGACTATTTGAAGATGATCCATTGGGTTTCCACGGTAGAAAAGATCTATATCTATTAGAGATAATTAACATGTTCTTTAAGTGAGAAGCAAAGGAGTTGTTCAGAGAGCCAAAGAGTGTTTTAGATTAAATAAATTGTACAACAAAATAGAACCTATTAACAAAAGATTGCAAAACAGGTGAAAATATTGCCTTCATGTAATTATGCCTTTAACTACATAATCACTTCAGACATTAAGAGATTTTTAGTAACAACTTATATCGAATTTTCAATATTTCTTAAATGGTTTCAAAGACGGAAAACTGGCTCTTAAAACTTTTTTAAAAATAGCTTTTTTTAAATTCTGTTTCCTCATGTTAATTTCTCCTGCAACAATTTTTGCATCTAGGTTGAGAATATGAAATTTTCCCTGACCGATCGACTGGATAAACCACAAAAAACAAAGAAAAGTCATACTACATCTGAACAGAGCTCTGTAGTATTTATCAGTCTGTACAATTGAATTAATTTTAAGGGTCAGAGAGAGTTTACTGCCCCTGCTTTTTGGTTTTTTATGAATGTATGTGTGTTTTTTTCCCTGAGTACACGTATGTTTCATTAGGGGTTGGCTCTCCAGCGCCCACTACCGGCCGGCCGGGGGGGGGCAGCCGGCCGCTCATCCCGCCTCGCTGCCGCTTCCCCTGGGCGTCGGGAGGGAGCCGTGCAGCGGCCGGGAGTCCCCACGGACAAAAAATAACCGCGTTTTCTGGTGGAAATACACCACAGTGAGGAGCGGGGACAGTATACACACTGCTCCTCAAAAGCGTCTGCAAATAATACAAGCCATTTCGGTCTAAGAGCGACACTTTTTTAGATCCCGAGAGGAAAACAGCAGGAACTTTTTATTAAAGCCCTCATCCGTTAAAGAAGAGCGTCATTTATACGTGACGGTAAACGATTCTTCCATTTTAGCTTTAATTATTGTTTTTTAAATAACCAGTTTTCCTCCAATTATTAGTTGAAAGTATCTCATGAATAAAGTTGAGAAGTCCTACCATGAAAATGCGGACTACTCCATCACGTTAGGTCGGCTCGGTCGGTCGCTCCTTGGGAGGAAAAAGTCGCTTAAACTGTGCTCAGAGCCGGTGTCCCATCAAATCTGAGCCATGTGCACCATCCTTCCTCTGTCAACAACACTGGGAGGTGAAACCTGACTTTGTCAGAGTGACGCGGTTTTCCATAACCCATTATAAATTAATGCAACACCCTGAGCACGTTACCGTAACTCCACCCATTCCGCCTTAAAGGGGAAAAATACCCCTTAACGCCAAACGCCACACTGTTTAAAAATGTACAAGATACCTCGTTTATCACGAATTCCTTTGG